AAGCGCAGAGGGAGCGCTCCCTCCGCGCTCCGGAGGCTTAGCGTTGCTTTCAAGCCTGGAGAGCGAGAGGGGTTGGTGCGCACCGACCCCTCTCGCTCTCCAGGCTTCAGGGATAGCTGCCTGAAGCCTGTGGAGTGCAGTGCGAGTTTCCGCTGCACTCCGCAGGCTTCAGGTTCCTTTCGCTGAAGCCAGGAGAGCAAGACTCTCCTGGCTTCAGCAGAGACGGAGAGCTGCGCAGCGCCCCTTCAGCCAAGCGGGAGGAGAAATGGAAGGGGCTCCGTTTCTCCTACCACTTCGCTGAAGGGGCGCTGAGCAGAGAGGGGGAGATTTTTTTTTCTTGTTCTCCCCCTCTAAAACAAGGTGCGTCCTATGGTCCGGTGCATCCTATGGAGCGAAAAATACGGTAGGTGGCTGCAGCATGTGGTTCCACCATTGCAACATGGTCTTATGTTCAAAAGCAGCGTTCCTTCTGCAGACCCAAAGCTTTTCAGTTACTTTGTGTTTGTTTCTTTCTCTGATCTCCCTTTTCGTTTTACTCAACACCTGCATCCGTAGAGTTTGCTCTCAACCCTTCCCCAAATAAACCAGCTCTTTCTCGGTTTCATCCACACTCTCCCACCGCTGTCATTTCTGTAACAGAATTTACATTTTTACTGCTTTGTCCTGCCCTTGGTTGCATGCAGATATAGTTGCGGTGGGGAAAACACACTCCAATAAAATAAATGAATCCTGTTTGTTTTACCTTTTCTGTTTAATGTGAAAAAATTTAAAAATCAAATAAATCATGGAAGTCATCTTTTATAATTCATCCTTAGAATGATGTAGCAAATTGGGGGGGGGGGGATCCTGTAAATCAGAAAAAGAATCCAAAATCCATATTACGGTGATATACAGTGGTACCTCAGGTTACAGACGCTTCAGGTTACAGACTCCGCTAACCCAGAAATAGTACCTCGGGTTAAGAACGTTGCTTCAGGATGAGAACAGAAATCGCGTGGCGGCAGCGGGAGGCCCCATTAGCTAAAGTGGTACCTCAGGTTAAGAACAGTTTCAGGTTAAGAACAGACCTCCAGAATGAATTAAGTTCTTAACCCAAGGTACCACTGTACTTATCAGACAAACGAAAATATCATAAAACAACATGCATGCATTCCGTAACACTTCATTGGGTTAGATGACTTACACAGCAATTAGGGGTAGCGAAAGGAGGTAAGCTGGTAAGTGCCAGAATAGGGGTGGGCATTGAATTGAGGAACAGGATGCCAATGGGCATATGTTTGGGCCAGGAGTTTGTCAGCAGCAGCAGACAAGCTCACAGTCCTTCCATACAAAAATCCAATCCTAAACCACATCCTTTGTTCCAATAACCTGATTTAGAAAAAGGGAAAATAAGCGTTTTCTTGATGCTATTGTTAAAAGAAATTAGGTTTGGAAACACTTGTTGATAACTCAGAGATCAGCACTTTTTGGTCTAAATTCTACTCACCCCCCTCCCCACTGTAGTGCTTGTGGGGCTAGTTTAGCTAATCCCTTCCCACTTCTTTTTTACACCGTTTCTAAAGGGACGCAGGTGGCGCTGTGGGTTAAAGCTCAGAGCCTAGGACTTGCCGATCAGAAGGTCGGTGGTTCAAATCCCCACAATGGGGTGAGCTCCCGTTGCTCGGTCCCTGCTCCTGCCAACCTAGCAGTTTGAAAGCACGTCAAAGTGCAAGTAGATAAATAGGTACCGCTCCGGCGGGAAGGTAAACAGCATTTCCATGCGCTGCTCTGGTTCGCCAGAAGCGGCTTAGTCATGCTGGCCACACGACCCAGAAGCTGTATGCCGGCTCCCTCGGCCAGTAAAGCGAGATGAGTGCCGCAACCCCAGAGTCGTCCGCAACTGGACCTAATGGTCAGGGGTCCCTTTACCTTTACCTTTAACATGTGCCTAAGGAGACTTGCTTTGGGAGTCAGGTCCTGTCCCTGCCCCGCCCCATGTCCTTTAAACTGCAAAGAAGCAGTATCCTTCAAAATTTAAAGGCTCATCTGCCACCTGTAGGACTCTTCTATTACCTGCAGAGCAAGAGGGTTCAGGTGGCAGCTGTCCTCCAGAAGTTTATGACAAGCTGTTGCCAGGCAATTGCTTCTTTTGCAGTTAGAACAATGGCTCTCAGCCCATGGGCTCCCATACAACAACCTTGGAACAGGTGATGGGGCATCTAGCCTGATATAGCATCAGAGGATAACAGTCACATCCTTCCTCCTCCACCAATTTTGTTATGAAGTTAGCCACAAACCAATGCAGCAACCCAGCCAACTGCCATCTTTATTTCCCCAGAATTCCTGGAAGCATTTTTTTTATATAAAAAATAAATCTGATTATGGTTATTAATATTTGCATTTCTATTCCACCTTTTTTTCTCTCCAAGGAACTTAAGGTGGTGCACATAGTTTCCCCCTCCTCATTTAATCTGCACAACAACCCTGTGAGGTAGGTTAGGCTGAATTGCACAGTGGTAGCAATGGGTTTGTAGAGACAAGTCTCATGGTACCTTTAAAACTAACACTTTATTTATTTATTTATTTATGCATTTATTCATTCATTCACTTATTTCATGAGCTTATACCACGCTTGATTGTTTAAAAACAAAACTCCTCAAAGTGGTTTACAAAATGAAGATGAGACAATAAAATTACACTCTTACTTTAAACCCGCTGGAAATGACCACTGGGAGGAGTGCAGAAAAAAAGAAACGCATCTATATCAGCGAAACCAGCTACCTTCATCTGCCTCACCTGCAATTAAACATGTCTCTCTCATCTACAGCCACAGCAGGCGCTGTGATTCTCCAGTGGTTTGACTTTACCCACCCTGCCATGGCGCACTCTTCCATTGCCTCTCAAGGCAGACGGATGCCAGCAACTGCAAACTATAATTATAAAGAAATAAATAAACTGGATGCTTCCTTTGCTGCCTGTTAAGCCAGGAAGGGAGGAGAGGGGAGTGAGCTACTAGGGAAGAAAGCGCAAGAGGCTTGGGGGGATTCTGGCTATCACCGGGGAAGAGAGGAGAGAATTTAAAGTCAGAACTTATAAGGCAATGTTTTAGGACCAACATTAGCTTTCTTTGCTTCTGTATGTGTGTTAGTTATAGAAGTTGAGATCCACCACACCCCTTCTCTTCCTAATGGACTGGGGAGCTTTTGCAAAGTGGAGAGTCTTATTTCCTTTATGCTGCAACCCAAAAACACTTTCTAGGGAGTAAGACTGCAATCCTGTATATATCATTTACCTAGGAGTAAGTACCAAGGAATTGTGTGGGGCTTACATCTGCGAAGATATGTAAAGGCTTGCACTCCTGTAGGTCCTATGGAGACTGAGAGTTGCAAACTTAAGCCCCTTTGAGCACAATAGCTCTTTCTTATGAGTAAGCATGGGACACGGGTGGCGCTGTGGGTTAAACCACAGAGCCTAGGACTTGCCAATCAGAAGGTTGGTGGTTCAAATCCCCACGACAGGGTGAGCTCCCCATTGCTCGGTCCCTGCTCCTGCCCACCTAGCAGTTCGAAAGCACGTCAAAGTGCAAGTAGATAAATAGGTACCGCTCTGGCGGGAAGGTAAACGGCATTTCCGTGCGCTGCTCTGGTTCGCCAGAAGAGGCTTAGTCATGCTGTCCACATGACCCGGAAGCTGTACGCCGGCTGCCTCGGCCAATAAAGCGAGATGAGTGCTGCAACCCCAGAGTCGGTCACGACTGGACCTAATGGTCAGGGGTCCCTTTACCATTACCTTTATGAGTAAGCATACATGTGTAGGGTTGGACTATAAATACACTTAAAGAGATGTTCTTGATTTCTTATCACACCAAAACTCAAGTATCACATTGTTTTATCTGGCCACATGTATAGCTGACATTCTTGAAGTCAAGAATGTTAAATCTCTCATCATTTCCCCAAATTGCAAAAAAGACATAACTTGACAGCTGAGTACCTGGAAATCAGGTTAAGGAACAGCAATTAATTTTGCCCCTTTGCTGCTTATTTAGGTGCTATCTGTTTTCTTCACTGAGGAGCAATCTATACATAGGAACTGAAGCAACAATTTTAAAGGACTTGCATTTTAATTCTTTAACTCTCTTGTTATGGTTATTGTCCAGTTTCAACAAATAAAAATATTAATGACAAAACCGCTCGTTGTTTGAATTTCTGATGTTTCTGTATAAGCTCACCACCTTGTTTATTGGCATGTTTGAAATAAAGAACTCCTTTTTAATATGAGTATGTGCAGACTGTCATTCATTCATACATACATCAAAGCAATTCAGTACTACATAACACCACCTTTGAACCTGCCAGCATTTCCAGCTTAAAAAAATGAACTTTTATTTTATTTTAAACACATATCTTTTCCTACAGAATTGTGCTCATCCCATGAAAATGTGTTTAGCATTAGGGTAGCAGAACATGCTCCTTTTTATACCTGTAATGTGCTGTGGCTTAAGTGAGTTTAAAATGCTAAACTGCACTCGCTCAGAGTATTTCTTTCTTTCGTCTTTCAAATAAGTTTGGCAAAGAATTTTGGTTTGTTTGGTTTTTGCTCTAGAGTCTAGCATTTTGCAGCAGCGGAAAAACTGTAAAAGGTGGAAGCTTGATAGGCTTCCCAATTGAAGTAACACACATTTTAACATGCTTTAATTCTTCCTGGGGAATCAGTTCCCCTCCTCTTTCAATTAATGTGCATTCACCACCAATCACAAGTTATGTTCACGAGTGTGCGACCAGAAACCTCCGCTCCATTTCTCGTTATCAGCCATTTATGCCTTTAAAAATAGAAGCTGCGAGTTTTTCCCGGCTTTAATAAAGCACTTAGTATCCTGTACAAACCATCTGGTGTCTGAGTAAGTCTTAAGTCATATAAAGTGATGCTGGTTAATTTCATAGGATGACTGGCCGTAGGGCAGCCCCAGATTGGAGCTGAAAAGTATCTATTTATTTACAGAATCATGAATTATCAAAAATTCCTGCAGCATGCATTCCCCTCGACCCATCCCAAAGGCAGCCACCGATGTTTGCTGCTTCTCGTGGCAACCCATTCACTGCTTAGACTCCAGGAAACAGAAGCAGTCTCATCCTATACCTGGGGGAAAGCGTGGATGCTGGGAAGACCTCAGGCCACTGGCTTGCCCGTGGGGATGCTTGTGTAAAGAACTGCATTTCAGAGGTGCGCCTTCCTTTAAAACAAACCCAAACCCAACTCCACCTGCAGGTGGCTTTGGCTTACTCCGATCTCACTCAGCCTCTACTCCGGCTTCAAACCAGCTTGGCAGCGGAGCGAAAGAGGAACGCCCAGTCAATTGATCTGGGCTGGAGGAACCCGAGGAGGGAGCTTCTCCCCTCGCCTCCGGCTGGCGGGGCGGGGTCCCGATGGAAGGCGGGTCTCTATAAAGCTAGACACGCAGAGCGCCCCCCGCAAGAAAATTCTGGCCGCCGCTGCTGTTGCTGCGCGTTTTGGAGAGGAGCCTGCGGCGCTTTGGTGAGTGGAGCTAGAGGCGAAGGGAGGCTCCGCTTTCGCCTTCTTCTTCTTCTCCTTCTCCGGAGGAAAGCTTCCCCCTACGAGCTTGAAAGCCGAGCTTTGCCCATTTGGCATAGGGAACAGAGGGTGTTTTTTTTGGGGGGGTGCGACCCCCCTTTGAGCCTCTATATGCCAAGTAAATGGCAGGAAGCCTGGATGGCTGAAGGGACGCGAGCACTACTACTGGGTACCAGCCGCCCCCAGCCCCAGCTGCTGCGCCCTGTTAATTCGCGCTCCCTGCAAGCAGAAAGCTAGCGCATCAAGGAAAGAAGGGGTTGCGTGGGTTTTTGCTGTCTGGTTCGCTCCGCTTTCCTGCTTGCATGGAGTTTTTAACAGAGGAAGCATGGGAAATTGCGGGTCTTCCCATCCGCACGACCGCCCCTGCACTCGTATGCGGTCTGTTCTCATTCCAACGCCTTGCTCTGCTGTGACACACATTCTTCAAGATGCGGCTTGTTTTCCTAAACGCAATCTACTTGGGAGTAAGTGCCACCGAAATGGCTGTGGCGTACTTCTGAGTAAACGCACGCAATAATGTTAGGAGTTTTTTTCTTGTTTTTTAAGGGGGAGGAAGCCCCAGTAGTGACAGTGTCTTAGTCAGCTAAAAACCGTAAGAAAGTTCTTGTGTTTCACAGCCTCCTTGCATATCTCTTTTCTTCACACCAAGTTAAATAGAAAAGGGGTGTGGAGAAGAGACCAAGAAAAGTTCATGATGGGTACTTGTCTTTAGATCAGAGTGGGGAACCTGGGACGCTCCAAACGTTGCTGGAGGTACAAACTTAATTACAAAGAAATTGCAAAACTGCCTTGATTACACCAGAAAAAGTTCCCATGTTATTGTTGGGTGCCCTATCACTAGGTCTGGTTGAAATATGTAACTTAACCTTTGGTTGGCCACAATAAAACTGTCAGCACACATTCAAGACTAAGCCGGGTCTGGTATGGTTTCAAATTGGATGAGGGACAGTCTGTTAAAATCCCTGCATGTGGGGGTGGACTAGATGACTCTGGGTACCCCTTCCAACTTTGATTCCTTTTCCCACTGGGGCACAGGCCACATGTGATAGAAAGCTTGTAGGTGTGGAGGGTTTTGTTTTGTTTTACCACGGCAGTTAAGGAAGCACCTGCCACTCCGTTCCTGTTCGTTTTTCTAATTTCGAAAATGCCCTGAAAAGAGTTCTGAAACTTGCCTGGTTGTGAACAGAAATTATGACGGATTGGGCCAAGCTTGCGCACTAATATGTTGATATCTCAGGGCCGTAAGGCTCTTGGCTTTCCCCCTTTTGTTCCTAAGAAGGCTGCCTCCTGTTTCCCCTGCATCTTGTTTCTGGGTCTCGCTGGCCTTTTGCTTCTGCCGCTAACCAGCCCTCTTTTGAGGGTCTGGCTATATAGAGAACTGTTGCCATTCCTAGGTGTGACGGGGAGTGGTTAAGAGGCAGGGAAAAGCATCCCATTTGTGTACCTAGCACCCATAAAAACATTAGGGTTTCTTCCTTGCTCTTATTTCCCCCTGCCTCAATTAGCCATGTGGGTTAAACCACAGAGCCTAGGACTTGCCGATCAGAAGGTCGGCAATTCGAATCCCCACGACGGGGTGAGCTCCCGTTGTTCAGACCCTGCTCTTGCCCACCTAGCAGTTTGAAAGCACGTCAAAGTGCAAGTAGATAAATAGGTACCGCTTTGGCGGGAAGGTAAACGGTGTTTCCGTGCGCTGCTCTGGTTCGCCAGAAGTGGCTTAGTCATGCTGGCCACATGACCCTGAAGCTGTACGCCGGCTCCCTCGACCAGTAAAGCGAGATGAGCGCCGCAACCCCAGAGTCAGGGGTCCCTTTACCTTTAAATAAGACTTGCAAGCCACAGTCGGGTATTACAGTTGTTCTACCTCCCATGTGTTCAGCTGCCAAGTACTGGAAAACTGCATTTCCCTGTGCTTCTAACTAAGTACTTCTAACCTTGCGTAAAGGATCACTGCCTGAACATCTCTCTGGCACTGCCATTACAGTACACACTGGTGAAGCCTCGTCTCTGTGACATGCTGGGTTGGTTGGTTCAAACTAGCAGTAGCATGTAAAATGGCAGTCCATGTGCATTGCACGTCCAGTGTTCATGTGCCTGCACCTGTGAAGGGGGAGAGGGTTTAGCATGTATATTGATTTTGTCCTCAGTCAGTGCCCAAGCCCAAGTCAGAGTCTAATCGTCTGACTGGCAACAAGGATACTAAAATATATTTTTTTCAAGTAGCAGGTCCTTTGGAGAGGGCACCCAACACCAGTTTCCCTCTTTAAAATATTTCAAAGGTTTTAAAAGCAACATTTGGAGCAAAACAACAACACCACCATACTGTAATTGGACATGGAAGAAATTATAATAAAATAGGGTGTGGGAGAAAAGAGGAGAGGTTCTGTGTTGTCAGGTATTCTTCCTGTCAAGATGTTGTGGTATGTGAACTTCTGCATCTTAGTAAATTAATGAGTTCTGGATTGTTGACTGGGACTCTCTAGAAACTGCCCTCGTGCAGTAGTTGTGTGGTAGAGAATGCTCAAACTCCAAAGAACTCAGTCATAGTAACTAAACCCGGAATATAGGGATTTGTGTGGTGAGGGAGGGAGGGGTGGTGGTGGTGTGGGATAATGGGGGGGGGGGTAGACAGAAAAGGTAATGAGACCATAAATCTAAGGTACAACCCTATTCTATATTCAGAGTATTTTAAGGGAAGGTGTTTGTATTCCTCACAACAAATGAGCAGTACTTGCATTTGCTGCTTTGAACATTTAGAAAGCTTGGAAGATAAAATGTAAAAGCTTAGAATATACTGCAGATAAACTGACTTCAAAGGAAGGTCAACACAGTCCATCCTTCCATTGGTATTAATGGAGCTAACCTGGGTGACTTGGACTGAACCCGTGAACCACAGCAAGTCTGGTGGTGCACAGAATAAGTTGCCAGGCTCCCAGCTCTTTCCATGAAGGGCTTCCTGAACCAACTGCAGTCTCTCATATTTGCTGTACCCTGTTGGTGTAACTGGATGGTCTGATTAACATGTTCTTTTCCTCCCCCCCCCCTTTCTTTTTTTTTAGTTACTTAAAAGATCAATCTACAATGGCAGACAACAGACCAAATGCTGATTCCTTGTCCCGCAGTGTGCTCAGCTGGGATCAGGTCAGTCGTCTTCATGAGGTCCTGTCCGAGGTGGTGCCAATTCACGGGAGAGGCAACTTTCCGACTTTGAAAATAACTCTGAAGGATATTGTCCAAACTGTTCGCCGCAGGCTAAGTGAAGCAAACATTAAGGTGCACGACGTCCGTCTGAATGGTTCCGTGGCAGGTCATGTCTTGGTCAAAGACAATGGACTGGGTTGCAAGGATCTAGACCTTATCTTTCAAGTATGTCTCCCAAGTGAGACCGAGTTCCAGTTGGTCAGAGATGTGGTTTTGCAGTCCCTCTTAAAATTCTTGCCTGAAGGTGTCAACACCGTAAAAATTAGCCCCATGACCCTTAAGGAAGCCTATATTGAGAAGCTGGTGAAAGTGTGCACCGATATTGACCGATGGAGTCTAATCTCTCTCTTCAACAAGCATGGCAGGAATGTAGAGCTCAAGTTTGTGGATCGTATAAGGCGGCAGTTTGAATTTAGCGTGGACTCTTTTCAGATAATACTAGACTCTCTGCTCTTCTTCTATGATTGCTCAGAGAACCCAATGTGTGAGCATTTCCACCCAACTGTGATTGGAGAAAGCATGTATGGTGACTTTGAGGCAGCCTTGGATCACCTGAAGAACAGGCTGATAGCCACCAAGAACCCTGAGGAGATCCGAGGAGGAGGTCTCTTGAAGTACAGCAATTTGCTTGTGAGGGACTTCAAGCCCATGGACAAAGAGGAGATAAAAACCCTCGAGCGTTACATGTGTTCTAGGTTCTTCATAGACTTCCCAGACATTCTAGAGCAGAAGCGCAAGTTGGAGACATACCTCCTGAACCACTTTGCTGAAGAGGACAGAAGCAAATATGACTACCTGATGACCTTGCGCGAAGTAGTCAACGAGAGTACGGTGTGCCTCATGGGACATGAGCGAAGGCAGATACTGAACCTCATCTCCCTTCTGGCGCTCAGAGTGCTGGTAGAGCAAAACCTCATCCCCAATGCCACCAATGTCACCTGCTATTACCAACCAGCTCCATATACCAGTGATGCAAACTTCAGCAGCTACTACGTTGCAGATACATATGGCCAGTCTCATCCCACCTGGCTGCCTTGTAACTGATTTTGAGCTTCCTATTTTTCCAAGCCCCCCTCACCAACTAGGTCTCACACCAATCGAATGGCTCCTGGTTCTCTTTCCTCATTCCTTGAATAGCCTTGGTCAACCCATAGAGTGGGCTTCATCTTTCCTGGTTTCCTTTCCTCTCCTCTCCTCTCACTGGGGGAACTGTCCTAATGCTGTTCCCCAAAACTTCTTAAAACTGAAGATAGAAAGATGCTGTTGGGACAAAGCCAGAGTAGTAGTAACTGCTCGATTGCTTCCATGCCATGTTGTCTTCTGAAGTTTGAATCAAGTTATCTTTGCAAATAATGAGGATTAGGCTGATATGACTATGGAAGATCATAGCTACAGTCCTGTATGTCATTAGGCTGTTCAAAGTCAATAGGACTGAAGCAGCTTCTGAACTGTATGCAGGACTGAAGCCGTTTTCTTTTCCCTCAGAAAGTCTTAAATTAGCAGTTGACTCATTGCTGCTGTAGCAGGACTAAAGGATGAATTTCAGTTTGGAGAGGATAATGACGTCTGCCAAAACTGTCCCTTTTAAAGAAATTAAGGCTATCCTAAATTACATGATGCAGGAATTCTAAGAACCCAAGTCAAGCTTTTTTTTATAAAAAGCAAAGTACTAGAAAATATATGGTAATTATGAAACTTAAGTTTAATATATTATTTTCCACTGGTGTTTGGACTGACCTGCCAGGGAAATGTGGAATGCTCCTGCCCCCAGAGTTCAGCTGAAACTGCAGGATGTTCCTAAGTCTCTGATGTCACAAGTCTGATCAGTAGGAAACTGGGATGGCTTTACTTTGTTATGTTTATGTACTGAACCATTGGCTTGTAAGTGTGCATAGTTAGGGATTTCTAGAGTACAGCAGTATTGTTGAAGACAAATTGGTAAAAAACCTCACTTGAAATAATTGTTCCAAGCTTGCGGATGGCCTGGGCTGGAAGAGGGTTTCTATAACATGGATTTTCTTGTTTCAGGGGGATTCCCCTTGAAAAATGGGTTCATTAATAATTGTTTTTTTAAGTATCATTTATTTAAAAATGATATTTTTGGCCAAAGGTCAGTTGTGTGGCCCCCCCGGCAAGCCTCAAAGTATATAAGTGGGTCCGTTCTCACATGTGGTGTTTAAAGAGCCTGCCTTTAAGAAAGGATCCTGCAAAGAAGTCCTGTTAAAAGGGAACATGGTGTAGACTAGAGATATGGAAGACCCAGAAAAAAAATTGGAAAAATTGGGGGCCTTCACATTGCTAGTGCAAAAGATCAGTGTTATGGTTGGCAATGTTAATTTGCACTTTTGTTAAAGGAATCCATGTTTTGATGAACTGTCACAGGTATGGGAAATGCAAATAGTGGGTCCCAGCAGAAGTCTTGAAATTTGTCTATCAAATTCAAAAGGCAGTAAAAGAAAAACAACAAGAACCTCTTGGGCTGTCCACGGTGTTCCTATAGTCGAAAGGCCGGCCACCTACTTAATAGGCGAACTTTCTGTACATTTCCCCCCAAAGGAAACTAAGCTAAGGTTAGGCGTGGGATCGTGATGGAAATACTTACCTGGGAAACACACTGTGTTTGGATGGCATTGAGTTAATGTGGAATAGTACTTGGCCCCCTTCTCATTTAATTGTTCAAAACAAGAGGGCAGAGGGTTTTCTTACTCTTAGTACTGCTACTTCTGCAACACAGAGATAAACACTATCTGTAGCAATGCAGACATCGCTGGCTGTTCGAAAGCAGCAGCACCTTGAGTGAAGTAGTAGTTGAACAAAACTGATAAGGGGGGAAGTATAGGGCTTGTGATTTGACTGCCAAGGACTTGTCAATTTCAATTGCTTTTGGCCATTCTACACATTTTTTGCTGAGTAATTTCAGACTGCCTGAATGTTTCTTGACTGTGCTCTTCTGTCTATACATTGATCTGCCTGTGTCTTGGGGGAGGGGGAGGAACAGAAAGAAGGATCGTATTAAGTGCGGCTACAGCAACAAAGCAAAATTTAGATTCCCCCCCCCCCTCCAGCACTGAACTCAAAGTTGAAATGGACTATAATCTTAAGAGTAGCATTTCTTTACACTGGAAGAAACCTTTTCCACGCACGTCTGGTAAATATGTATTTCTTTAAATTGTAAACCTAATGTCAGTTGCCAGATGAGCAGCTTTTCGGAGCGCTACCGATGCGTATCTTATTTTGGTTTCCTTAAGGTGAAAAATAAAGTCTGTCAACTTAAACATGACTGTTGTTGTTCTTCCTCCCCTCCCCCTCATTAAGGGGTTTTCCAATGGCAGCTTAATTTATAATTCCTCCACACATCCCTTGCCCAGGTCAAATATCAACTATTTAATATCCCTTTAGTTCTTTAGTACCTTAGGTTGGAGAAAGATGTGGAACCAGCTTGCCTATTGACTTCTCAAGGGTAGTGACTTTTTTTCCTACCAGCCAGGCTGTTAACTCCTTACACAGTACGTATAAGCTAAACAAGCTGTAGCTTAGGGCCCCACTCTCTTGCCCCCCCAAAAAAAAAATTAAAGAAAAAAAGCCTGGATGTACATTTCCCAAATATAAGATAAAAAACAAATAAAATAAAACCTACATATAGCAACAGTGTTTGTGTTATGTAGGCTCCTATGATGTAAATAATGGGCCCCGCCTGCTAGCCTGCTCCCTAAAATATCACTGGTTTGCTCATTTCTATATATAGGCTGCCTACATTCTGCATGTGCAAATGGCTTTAGATACCTATTAGGTCCATAAATTACCATATAGCATATATCCAACACAAAAAACAGCGACAATTTGTTGTTGACAAAGCACAGCTGGACATATAAAAGGGCCCCATTACCTTCAGTAGCTTAGGGCCTCATCAAACCTAAATCCAGCCCTGATTAAGATGATACTAACATGACCACCACAGTGCCCTGTTGTTGTTGTTGTTGCTGCTTAGTCGTTTAGTTGTGTCCGACTCTTCGTGACCCCCTGGACCAGAGCACGCCAGGCACTCCTGTCTTCCACTGCCTCCTGCAGTTTGGTCAAACTCATGCTGGTAGCTTTGAGAACACTGTCCAACCACCTCGTCCTCTGTAGTCCCCTTCTCCTTGTGCTCTCCATCTTTCCCAACATCAGGGTCTTTTCCAGGGAGGCTTCTCTTCTCATGAGGTGAAGAAAGTATTGGAGCCTCAGCTTCAGGATCTGTCCTTCCAGTGAGCACTCAGGGCTGATTTCCTTCAGAATGGATAAGTTTGATCTTCTTGCAGTCCATGGGACTCTCAAGAGTCTCCTCCAGCACCAGAATTCAAAAGCATCAATTCTTCGGTGATCAGCCTTCTTGATGGTCCAGCTCTCACTTCCATACATCACTACTGGGAAAACCATAGCTTTAATAATACGGACCTTTGTTGGCAAGGTGTCCACAGTGCCCTAGATTTCACAAAAAACTGTCTCTCCCATCCAGGCCTATGAGACATTAATTCCAGAACAGCCTGAATAAAAACAATCAATAGTGCCCTAAGTTAATATTCATCCCTGCTAATTCATTATTCATTTACTTCATTTATTGTATACATTAACTTAGGGCACTGGTGGTGGACACATCATGCTCCTTCTGGGTTTGGTTGTCCACCTTTGGTCCCCATCCTGCACTCAACTCTCACCTGTGGCTTCTTGAAGCTGTTGGCATTCCTCCGGGACCACACCCCAGAAACAGATTCGACTGGCTGGCTAAACCAGGTGAGGGTAGCTGATGGGTCTCAAACCCTCAGTGAGTTAGGGACCTCCCCTGCATGCGAAGACAGGCTCTTGTGGATGGGACAGGTGAGACCAAGAGTGGATCCAATGGTCAAGAAGTCAGTTTCTGCACATGCTGGAAGTGAGGTGCAGATGGGGCTCATCAACCTGGGAAGGTAGCCCAGAAGGAAAGCTCTGATCCTAAAGCTCCACTGCCTTGTGGGATATATTTGGGAGAAGAAAAAGCTAAGGAGTAAACCCTACACAAATCCATATGCTGTAGCTAGGCATAAAATCTGGCAGCCCAAATGGACTGCAAATCAAAGGATACAGTCAGTGGGAGTCAGTTGTGCAGCTGTGTATTCAGTAAGGATACAACTCTAGTATCCAGTGTAGGCAAACCCAAATGTGTATTATAGATTATAACGCAGAAATATCTGACTTCTGTATGTTTTGTGTTAATTTTCCCTTCAAGAGAAACATCACATTTTCTGATTGTAAAAAACAGAGTTTTGGTCTTAGTTCTCAGTATGATGGGGATCTTATTTCTTCCCCACATACAATGTTTCTCCATACCCAAAAAAACCACCCCCCAAATCTCCTTGCTGCTAGAAAACTAGGATGACAACTAGGCTAGAACCACTCTCTCTGAAATCCAGTTTTCTATGGGGAAGGGATGTTGTGTCTGCTGGGCAATTCGGACCACATGTGTTCAGGGGCATTGCTGGACAATCTCCAACCTGTACTTTGAAATGATATAGCCCACATAGGGATTCACAGCTTCACTGATAACTAGATTCTGGTAAGATTAGGTTGTTGCATTATTATTTTTTGGTAGGTTGTTCATGTTTCTGTTTGATAGCTGAGGCAAGAATAACCTTACAGCTTTCAGAACAGTTTGTTCTGAAAGGCTCAGAAGCAAACACCCCTCCCCCCTCATTCTGGTTTCAAACACCTGCTGGTTTCAGCCTTGCACACCCTGAATATAATTACGTTAGTATTTAGGATGTTAGGAATAAATGTAGTTCTGAATTCAAACTGGTACAGAAGTAGTTTTACTTCTGGCTTGTCACGTGTGTTTTCCGAGAACATATATTGGAAAGCGTGCATGTTTTATTGCCCTGGATAAAAACAGAGGCTGCAGAACATGTAGATGAAGCTTGCCCACTCCATCATGGTGTGTAAAATTCAAAGCAAACATCTCTGCACCTATATAGGCAGCTCAGAGAGATTTTCTCTAAATGTCAGTTATGCATTACTGAATAGAGAACACCAGTTTGCATACGGTAACATATATGTAAAGGTGCAAACTTAGAAACAATTGCTGCAATTGAAATATAATTCCTCTAACCATAATGGACTCATGTCCATCTTTCCCAACATCGGGGTCTTTTCCAGGGAGTCTTCTCTTCTTATGAGGTGGCCAAAGTATTGGAGTCTCAGCTTCAGGATCTGTCCTTCCAGTGAGCACTCAGGGCTGATTTCCTTAAGAATGGAGAGGTTTGATCTTCTTGCAGTCCATGGGACTCTCAAGAGTCTCCTCCAGCACCAGAAATCAAAAGCATCAATTCTTTGGCGATCAGCCTTCTTTATGGTCCAGCTCTCACTTCCATACATCACTACTGGGAAAACCATAGCATTAAGGTGCACAAGGACCTAAATTGGATAGCAAGTCAGTTTGGCAGCTGGCAACAAATCCTACAAATACACCTCCAGGAAATCAGCTGAGAGGCCATCAGCATGGGATAAGACATCCCCTACCACTCTCTGGAAGGCATTTGGATCCATCAAGGGATGGGGGCAGACCATTGAAATTGGTCCCACAAACTGGTCACTAAAATGTCATTAAAAGGGTGGAATAGGGGTGGGGCAGAACACAGGCAGGAGGAACGATTTAGGCAATCCTCACTGATGCTCACGGGGGTCTGGAATGTAACCCCCATGCAAAATGATGGTTGCCTGTATCAACAAAAGTGAGCAGCTACTCTCTTGGAAAAACTAACCCACCGTATTCAGCTGTCTATCATCAGGTACAGCCAGACACTTTTTAATGTTGTACAGCAGAGGAGAGGGTTGGTGCTTTTTTTCTCTTCCCTTATATGAACCAAGCAAATATGGACAAGTCTCTGTCACTTGTTTGCAGCAGGCTATGGAACAATAACACTTCCCTGCTGGCTGATCTTAACTCTTCCTGGAGATTGTTCTGACAAACATTTCCTGGACATCCTCGTCACTGTGGAAACCAGAGAGTAAGCTGGGAGAAGAATGGAGAAAACCGAAAGGCATTTCTTTGTTTAGTTCTGTTGGAGATGTTGACTCATAAGTTTTGCATTGAAGCATGATCCATAGAACGGCACCCTATGTCGTTTCTTATCCTTTACTGTCGTGTTACCCCCATGAGGACAGAATAAGGATTCACTGGTACAGCGACACTGACATGAAGTGCTTTTAGTTAGAAACCCTGGAGCCATGAAGCAGAAAGGCAGATTCGTTTAAGGAGGGAAATGTGGATGCTTACTTTGAATTCTGACAGTGAAGTGGTTTTCTGAAGGACGGTCTTTTCTGTAGCCATATGAAGCAGATTTTCAGAGAGCAACCCTGTGGTCCTAGCCACAAAAGCAACAGCGTACTTCTGCATGTGAAGACAGGCACTGGCAGATTGAGACGATGAAGCCAATAGTGGGTCCAATGGTCAAGAAGGCAGTTTCTGCACGTGCTGTAGAGGGAAGTGAGCGGCAGATGGGGCTTGTCAACCTGGGAAGGTAGCTCATCTAGGAGAAAGTAAACTCTGATGCTAAACCTTCTTTGCCTTGTGGCTACACTCATTCAGGCGTTGGGTGTAAAACATCTTCAGGCGTATGGATGGAATCTTACCTGGTAAAGGTAAAAGTAAAGGTAAAGGGACCCCTGACCATTAAGTCTAGTCGTAGACAACTCTGGGGTTGTGGTGCTCATCTCGCTTTACTGGCCAAGGGAGCCGACGTTTGTCCACAGACAGCTTCCGGGTCATGTGGCCAGCAGGACTAAGCCGCTTCTGGCGAACCAGAGCAGCACACAGAAATGCTGTTTACCTTCCCGCCAAAGCGTTACCTATTTATCTACTTGCAGTTTGATGTGCTTTCGATTTAAATTGGATTTATTGATGAGTAGCTGTGGTCTAAACCACAGAGCCTAGGGCTTGCCGATCAGAAGGTCAGCGGTTCGAATCCCTGTGATGGGGTGAGCTCCCGTTGCTCGGGCCCTGCTCCTGCCAACCTAGCAGTTCGAAAACATGTCAAAGTGCAAGTAGATAAATAGGTACCGCTCTGGCGGGAAGGTAAACGGCGTTTCCGTGTGCTGCTCTGGTTCGCCAGAAGCGGCTTAGTCATGCTGGTCACATGACCCGGAAGCTGTACGCTGGCTCCCTCGGCCAATAAAGCGAGATGAGCGCCACAATCCCAGAGTCGTCCGTGACTGGACCTAACGGTCAGGGGTCCCTTTACCTTTAGGCGTGGTTAGGAATGGATTTCTGGTTAGCCTGATAGTGTATATAGGTTGTATTGTTTTTATTATCAGCTGTTAGTGAAAGAAATGGCACAGATGTGGCAATGACATCTTCTACTGCATGGCAAACCGTGTGTCCATGTATTTCTGTGTTTATGGCTTTTAGAAAAAACAACTATCCTGAGCTACAAAATTCAGCTTTACTAACCCCCTTCCTCCAATCATGGCAGGAAACAGGATTAGAAAAGCAACAAGGAATGTTAATGGCTATTGTCATCATCTCAGTTATACATAATTCAAGAGAATACACATTTAGTATTACAACAGGTCTGACATTGAAATGAGTTGTGCAGTCATAATGACCTGGTTTGATTATTATTATTTTACAATTAAAGAAATTTGCACCGATAAATATAGCTAACACTCACATGAAACCTGACTGGCTCACAAACGACTGTCTGCAAGTGAGCAAACAGGGCTCAGTTTGAGTGCAAGCTCAATTATTGCAAAAATCGCCACCATCTCTACTTAAGAGAAATACTCCAACTGTAGTAGATTTTGAGAGTACAGTACTAACTACGGTACAGTGGTATCTCAGGTTACAGATGCTTCAGGTTACAGACTCCACTAACCCAGAAATAGTACCTCGGGTTAAGAACTTTGCTTCAGGACGAGAACAGAAATCGTGCGGCGGTGACACAGTGGCAGCAGGAGGCCCCATTAGCTAAAGTGGTGCTTCAGGTTAAGAACAGTTTCAGGTTAAGAATGGACCTCCGGAACTAATTAAGTTCTTAACCCAAGGTACCACTGTATTCCACATTAAGCATTAAGGAATGAAACTATTCAGCCACTTTGTATTTTTTTCATCTTGGTTATAAAATGACTGCTTCCTGTTTAGAAGCCGGGAGGTTGAAAAGGTCAGCCTGGGAAACTGAAACCTAGTTTTTAGTTACCAGGACCTGAAGAAAATGTAAATTTGCTACCTCATATTTAACTGCCTTAGTACACTACTCAGTGCAGGGAATTGAATGGGTGAGGAAGTACTGGTAATCCTACAAACACTTACTTAGAACTAAGTTGCAAAGTGTTAACTACTTTATTCACAGACACAGTTACAGGACAACCCTGTTGTCCACAGAGTCCCTCCCTCCCTCCTGCTGAAATTAGTCTTATAAGAAGTATTCTATTATTACAGTGCTTGTGTGATGTCCACAATTGCATCTGGATTGCAAATGGGTCCACAAACCCCAAAAGGTCATAACCGCTCCTAGTGGTGCACCGATAAAACTGCTAGCATGTTTGCAAAGCTAAGCAGGGTCCAGTATGATTTCAAATCGGGACAGCATGTTGACTTTCCTGCATCGCAGGGGGTTGGACTATATGACCCTTGGGGGTCCCTTCCAACTCTACAATTTTATGGTTCTATACAGAGGGCTGCTTGGAAGAGACAGCTAGGAAAAAGAGATTTCCACTTAGTGGCAGCTGTGAGGACCATGCAGGAGCGGTTAAATTGTCTGGTTAGCAACACTCTCTCTCTCTCTTGGCTACAACCCTTGCCATATTAGGGTGGAGGCTACAAATCTCCTAAACAATCGTTTTTTATATTACTGTATTTCACAAATGAAGCCAGTTTTCGATACCACCAGTTATCCATAGATCCCAGGGTTGCTCACAAGCAAGTACGTTAAAAACAGCAACGTACACTATAAAACATCAAAACAGGAGGAAATTCTTTTTTATGTTAATTATTGTATAAGGATGAAAATATGATCTGTAAATATAAAACTGGGGGGACCCATAAACAGGATAAAATTAATTCTGTCAATGCGGCATGAACTCATGTATGTGTTTGATGGTGGAATGTTCTCCAAGCCCACTGTGTGCCCTGTGCACAACCCTTTTCTGACTCCTGAAGTCTCAGCGATACCCATACATCACAAAATGCAAATTATTCAGCCGTCTGCAACAATTTCTGATGAAGCGGAATCCCCCTTTTTTTCATTAAAAGGGAACATGCTCATTTAATTAGAATGCTCAGTTGTCATACAGAAATACCACCTCACATTCCACACAATTACCTTGTATATTTAATTGGATGCAAGCTGTGACTATGTTCTCTCACTCAGCTTATTTGAAATGGCTTTAATTTAGTGTCGTGCTTTTGCAGCAGTCGGGATGAATGTGACAAGAGGGTGCCTTTTAAGCGGTGGACCAGGAAGGCTCCCTTGGTGCCAGCATAATCTTTTGGGCCAGGTGAAGATGTTTCACCCCTCATGAGCATTTCTTGTGTTAAGCCCTTGCTGTACTTCTTTCGATAATAAGGGTTTAGTCTCCATGCTTTCAAGTATTGAGAGCAGCGCAGGGAAAGGAGAAAAGTTATCTTATGTTTGCATCACCTTCAGGGTTAAAGAAATATTCTATGTATTGAAATTTCATTTTGTAAAGTTACTTTGAGTCTCCTCTGCCCCCACCTCCTTTTTTTTTTTTTTTTTTAAGTCAGGGTAGTGGCATCCTTTGAATTTCCTGCTTCAGAAGATACTGAAGTGTTGCGGTTTGTCTCTGACTCCATCTATCCACACTGCAAAAAATTAATTTCAGTTCTACCTTTCTAGATAAGTTTCCTTCAGAATCTGCCCACTGCTTTTACTAGTTTTTCAGTGAATCTGAATCTTGAAACAGCAGAGACGTATTTTCAGAACCTCTTAGAGGTTTGTTTTTAAATGAGAATCAACTGCATTTGCTTACCAGTTTAATGGGTCATGTAGACATGTACATACCCATGCTGTGTACCTTGTATCTAAACCAGAGTAAGCTACTGCAGTTTTATCTGGTGCACATCTTCCCATATGGTGTAATTATTCTCAAATAGGAAAGAACAGAGCAGAAAATAGTAGCAAGGCAAGGAATGTGGCTGATTATATTATAGAAATGTGAAATTCAACCAGGGTTATTTCACCTCTCTCCTTTCTACAAACTTCACTTGCTTTCTCATGTGTGAATATTTTCTTCATCCTCCCGCCCTTTTCAGCCAGTGTCTCATCTAAAACTTCCTCTGAGGTTAAGTATTTAGAGAATCGTTGGATCCACCACTTCAAAGATGTAAGAAGACAGATGAAGCAACTATGAAAGCTGTAAGGTTCTGCAAGAGAAGTTATAGATTCAATTTTACAACGCCACTACCAAATAATTTATTTTCAAAACAAAAGTTGCATGGTTTACTTCTAATGATTAAAAATCTGCATCATAATGGAGATTATGTAGTCCAGGTGATAATCAGGGTTCACACATCTTGTTTTTTCAAATGCAAGTGTACAAGTAGCATGAACTACAGGAGACACTGCTGATATGTCCTTCGGGTTTATTATTTTGTGAAAAAGCAGCAGCATCCTTACATCTCACATCATCCAGAAAAGAGAGACAAGACCGTCAGATTCCTAGCTAAGTAGCATTTATGATGCTTAACTTTGTAATAGCTGTAGGGCTTGAAACAGGGCCTTGCAGAAATTTCTACAGGGAATTCTGTAACTGTGTCACCACTGAAGGTGGACTCAAAGCAAGAAGACCTTAGAACACTGTTAAACAGATACTGTATCTGTTCCTCCAAGCCACTCTAACACACAGAACTGAAGGAATTGCTGAGAACTTGGCAGAGATCAGATTCAAACACGGTTCAGAGATCTTTTGGGAAACTGGCATTCATTGGGGGTGGGAGAGAAACCCTTGAAATCAAGAGGGGGGGTGATCTATGCTCATGTTCATAAATCAACTTTTCCACTGGACTGATGCTTAAATACACAGCACATTGCGACGAGAGTTTAGATTGCACGTGTCCTTGCAAATACCATTGTAAAAAAATAGCAGAGGTGGGAGGAAACTCCTCTCTCTGATCTCTCTGAATAGGCTGCATCAGCTCAGCATGTACGGCAAGCAGCATCTCATGAGGTTGGGAAACCAGAAGGGGCAGAGCTGCAGAGTCAGAGGTCTGGAGAAGACGGATAGGAATAATACGATCCATTTTCCTACAAAGAGAGATCGAGAGACAGAGATGACATGGCACAGTGAATACACATGTAAAATACAAATCAAATCTTCCTAAATCTTGCTGAATGAAAAATCTGTCCCAGAATTGGGCAATCTTCCCTTCCTTTCAAGGAACATTTTCTGCAAGGGAATCTGTGGAAGTGGACATGTCAGCCATGTGCAGGGCCACCACTCTGACTCTGAAGGTAGCCACCATCCCAAATGTTTCTCTCAAGGATCTTTAACCCCCCCCCACACCCCGCAAAAACTTCACTAACTCACACAAAGAGGGAAACCTTTTGAAAGAGTGGATCTACAGTCGTACCTTGGTTGTTGAACGCCTTGGTACCTGGGACGTTTTGGCTCCCGAATGCCGCAAACCTGGGAGTGTTCCAGTTCGTGAATATTTTTTGGAAGCTGAATGTCCGGCGCGGCTTCCGATTGGCTGCAGGAAGCTCCTGCAGCCAATCAGAAGCCGTGCCTTGGTTTTCGAATTGTTCTGGGAGTCGAATCAAGAGAGGTCCCACTGCCCTTCTGAGAAAAAACCCACCCACCCATTATATATAAGTGTCTGGTGATTTCTCTTTCGGTGTATCTGAAGAAGTGTGCATGCACACGAAAGCTTATACCCAGAACAAAACTTAGTTGGTCTCTAAGGTGCTACTGGACATTTATTAATTTTTTTTGTAATTTTTTGTATTCTCATACAGTCATTCTCATGTTTGTAACAAAGGTAGTAATCCAAATGTTGAAAAAAGTAACATAAGAATTGACCTACCGAACAATACAGTGTAATCTGCTGGGGGCTGGCTTATAAATCTTTCCCACACAAACTTTATGGTAGACTTGCAAAAAATCATGAGATTGTGAGTAAGGAAGCCCACAAACTTAGTTTAGGCAAACTTGGAAGGAAAGAACTAGGAGATGGAACAAGTTAAAGAGTGGGGGAAGATTTCTCTTGGCGTACAACTTTAAGGAGTCTATTGCACAAACCAGAAGCTAGGATTTTAGAGGACATGCGCCTTATAACAGAAGCCATGATAAGCTGCTTCATGGCTATTGGGTGCTTTTCTCCTCCTCAGCCCCCAGTGTACTGCAGATCATGCTCTCTTCAACAATCTTTTGAAAGTGAGGACTTAACTCAAGATGATTTAAGTACCACATATGTCAAACATTTCATGATAAGCATTCCTCTTTGTTCCATATACCAGCTGCTGCCTGTGGGCTTCTCAGAACTGCACAACACCTAAACCAATATTCACTTCAGTTTTACTAAGGTAGTGTAGCTAAAGCTCTTTCCGTTAGAGAAAATGCTTCAAGCCTTTCACAGATTCAGTCAGTTTCCAAGCTTTTTCTTGTTTCCAAAGCAATCCCCTCAGATTTCTTTTAAATCAGGCGTAAGGAAAGCTTCCCCCACCCCCACCCCCCAGTTTGCTGTATGCAGCTGCTTCCATACAGACTAGAAACAGAAGTAAACACTCAGTAGTGCCTGAAGCCACCTACCCTAGTATCATATTCAAGAACAAACGGGGGAAAGTCAATTTGTTCGGGGGGAATGGCTGCGAACAACTGTTGGAGGCTTTCCACGTGGTGGATTTTGTCCTTTAGTCCCGAGACCGTAAAGGTTGTGAAAAACCACGTTGAAACCTAGTAGACAAGAATGGGAAATAAATGTTACCAGAAAAAACTGTCAATAACTGCCCAGAGTCTCAATCTTAACAATCTAGCAATTCCTTCACCATTTCAGCAGACAAAGGTAAAAGTGCATGCACAATTCAGATTGCTAGTTTAGCAATGTTAATATAGCATTCTCTAAGACTACATTTATTATTGTTGTTGCTGTTGTTGTTAGTAGTAGTAATTAGTAGTAGTAATTACTCACCCTTCACCCTAAGGGCAGGTATCTAAATGGCTTGGATGAAAAGCTTGAAAGAACTAACCATTCCAAATGACAGTGGTCCTGATTCCTATCTTCCTATGTAATTAGTCAACTCATGTTATAGAAGAAGCATGCAAAGGATTAGTACAAACTGATTATGCCCCATATTTTGGGATCCCACACATTCACTACAACCCAACCCACTACAACGTACAATTTCCCCGTTGAGCAGGGCATACTTCACCTTTGAGCGAAACGTTGGATGGACAAAGTACAGGGCCTTCAGATTTTTTTTGTACCTAGGTTGACAACAAGAGCAGTAAACGTCTCAAGTTTTAAATGAACATTTGCAGAAATCAAACAAGTTCTTAGCAATCTGCTCCATGTAAAAAAGGGCACTTGTTTCAAGCCGCAACTTATTAATGTATTTGCAGCACTGACCTGAATTGTTTCTGTGGGAAAGCTCTACAGAGACAATGAGTAGTCTCATGACAGCTGACATGCTTTTTTCATAAAACCAAGGAAGCTTATTCTAGCAGCCCAAAAGTGCTGTGTCACACAAGTGACTGGGCATATTCTGAAACTAAGCCTCCCGTACTCATTGAACACACTGTGTCTCCATGCCCACTCCCTTTTAAAATAGTTTCTTTGTGATGCTTTTTGATCCAAAAGGGAAGTAAGGAGAAAGGCTTTGGGGCCTTTCCGAGTTATACTTACTTGGCATCGACAATGTCAGAGAGTTTTTTTAGGAAATCGGAATCTAGGTGATTGTAGATATTAGTGAGCGTGTGGAAATACACAATGACATATTCCTTCATTACAATGTGGTCCATTACATGAATGAAGTACAAGAGCGCCTGGAGAAAGAGAAAAGTCACAAATGTCAGATTTCAGCAGAGGACTGCAGCACCCATCCTTGCATGAGTAATACGGCTAAAAGCAGAGCAAACTTTAGGGGGAGCGAGGAAAAAGTTCTTTCAAACTTTTTGAATATGCAGCACTTACATATGAGAACAGATTCTCTCAAGAAAGAAAAAAGTGAACGCTTCACAATAAATTCTTCCCCAACAAAAGATGCCATTCCTTTCTCACCCAAAACAAGTGGTGAGCTCACAAATCCTGAGTTATCATGAACAAAGTGGTAGACTTGAACCAGAAGCTCCAATTCCCCCTTATTTATTTTATTTATTTATTGAATTTATATACTGGCCTATACCTGGAGGTCTCAGAAAGATCAAAATATACAAAATAAAAACAAAAACATTAACCCAATAACCCCTCCTCCCCCCAAAAGAGCCACATTTTAAAAGGGTATAGGATGTTGATCAGGTCAACCAAAGGTCTGGTTAAAAATGGAACGTTCTGCCTGGCGCCTAAAGATGTATAATGAAGGTGCCAGGCAAATTTCCCTGGGGAGAGCATTCCACAGACGGGGAGCCACTGCAGAGAAGACCTGTTCTCATGTTGCCACCCTCCGAACCTCTCGAGGAGGAGGCACATGAAGAAGGGCCTCAGAAGATGATCTCAGGGTCCGGGTAGGCTCCTATGGAAAGAGGCTGTCCTTGAGGTATTGCAGTCGTGAGCTGTTTAAGGCTTTATATGTCAAAACCAGCACTTTGAATTGGGTCCAGAAACTAATTGGTAGGCAGCGCAGTCAGACCAGGATCGGTGTAATATGCTCAAACCGTCTTGCTCCAGTGAGAAACCTGGCTGCTCAATTCTCACTAGCTGAAGTTTCCGAACCATCTTCAGAGGCAGCCCTGCGTATAACACAGGCCTTACCCATGAAGTCTACTGGCCGGTCACTACCTGTGGAGAAATGCTTTGTATATGCCTGTTTATGTCTGCAGAAAGATCTGTCAATATACTAATGACAGTCAGTTCTATTACCCTTTCACATCTAACTTAGGTGAAGTAATGGAAATGCTGGTGGAATTGTACTCCCAGTTAAAGACCAGGTCCAGAACTGCTGTTAGCCTGGCCTTATTGGATATGTTGATGTGTTTTGAATTGATATGAATTGTCATGTGCTCTAGAAATCCTCTGAAGGGTGAAGAGCAGGACATAAATGTACAAAAGAATAAATAAATCTGTATCCAAAGAGAAATTTACTATTTAATCACCAATAATTTTTATGTTTGTTAGGATCTCACCTTCTCCATGTCTATTAGAGTTACAGGAATGTTCCTTCCAACCACTGCCATTACTGTACGACCACAGTTATCAACACCTACAAATAGAATGAAAATCAGAAACTTTTAAAGGTTAAGTTTAAAGCCCCCCCCCCCCCCACTTCTGTGAGCAGAAATAAAGCTCAGCCTAAAATCTGGTAGCTCATAAACACATGGTTTTAGCAATGAGGGAGCAATACTATTAAATTAATTATTAGCTTTCACTTCATAGGGCAGTGTTTCAAGGGCCACAGTTGTCTGGGACTGTAAAGGTCATGCTCCTTGTTTCAAGCCCTTTTCAGGTCTATGACCATCCTCTACTGAATGACTTATGACAATCTTGCATTACTTTTGCCAATCTTTGACTAAGCCAATTTACTTATGTGTACAAAATTAAAAATAATTATCAAAGGCTGGATTCTCCTGTACAGTGTAGCATTAAGACATGGAGACTTCCTTTTATCATATTATATCTTCACTACAATATATTCAAAAAGGAAGAGTTAAGGGGCAATTAGAATTTGCGACCTTGAACTCACCAGTTTGGTATAAAGCTTTAAGGGACGCAATATCAGACAGGTCTTCTGCTCTTGCTCGACAAAGCCAGCGATTGTAACTGGAAGGCAACCACATTAGGTTTCAGAACTTGGACTGATCTGGTTGTCATGTTTAGCAATCAAAGACCACTTCCAGAGACATATTATTAGACAAATACAGCAAACAAACCTGTCGTACTTCTCACATGATGTTATACTCTGTCAGAATCCAAAAGGAAAACGCAAGTGGAGCAGTGTGGGATTAAGTTGGAAATAATTAAACAAAAGGGGATGCGGGTGGCGCTGTGGGTTAAACCACAGAGCCTAGGGCTTGCTGATCAGAAGGTCGGCAGTTCGAATCCCCGCAACAGGGTGAGCTCCCGTTGCTTGGTCCCTGCTCCTGCCAACCTAGCAGTTCGAAAGCACGTCAAAGTGCAAGTAGATAAATAGGTACCACTCCGGCAGGAAGGTAAATGGCATTTCCGTGCGCTGCTCTGGTTCGCCAGAAGCGGCTTAGTCATGCTGGCCACATGACCCGGAAGCTGTACGCCAGCTCCCTCGGCCAATAAAGCGAGATGAGCGCCGCAACCCCAGAGTCGGCCACGACTGGACCTAATGGTCAGGGGTCCCTTTACCTTTTTAATTAAACAAAAATAAGCAGCTGAGCTGCCATCCTTCCATTAAATAGCACAGAAGCTATGTCTAAAGCCCCCAGCACAAGAGGAGGTGTTCCCCACGTGTTTCTAAATCTGCTAAAATACACCATGAATAGTGTAGCAGCTCCCAGGCATATAGAATTGAAGTTCAAAACACAATGAATCACCAACAGGAATAGTCATCTGCAATAACTTCTTACTTTCTCTGATGCTGCTTTTGTAGTGCTGCCTCCGAGAGCTGCCCTTGAAGGATAAGACGCCTCTGTTTATCAACATCTCCCTCCATGCGGGCAAAAGCATGGGAACCAATAAATGAAAAGTCTGCTTCCAGGCCTTCCTCATCAGAATTATCTGCAAAAGATGTGCAAGAACAATGAAGTAACTGTCCAAAGTGGAGCCACAATACAAGTCCAGTCCAGGAAAACAATGAGACTTATGGACAGGAGATAGAGAGAGATTATATCGCATTGCATTATGAGTTCATCAGTATCTCTTTCTGCAAAGCAAGCAGAGTGGATGAAGTGCGGCACTCAGAGTTCACCATATGGCAAGCAACAAGTATGTCAGCTAGGCGTAATTGTTCAGAGCCAATACAGAACACTGAACATGTGAATGCACTTTCTTGAATATAGGAGGCATTCTGTGAAGTCTTAGCCAAGCCTTAATTACAGAACTTGCATGTACCGGTATATATTAAGACAGCCTAGGGAATGGAACCTGGAGGCAGCCCAGCACTCCCTTCTGAACCCTGAAATTTGGATAGGACTGGAACCATCAAGACAATGTGCTCCTAAGCCAAAGATGGTCAATTCCCTGATCATCAACCAAAGCAATCAGGACAGTTTCTGCTCCAAAGCCAGATTGGGATGGATATAAATAACCTCTGCCAGGAGGTTGATGAGCCACCAACTGCACCTGGACCAGACTTAATAATGGTATATTAACAGATGGAATTTCCAGCCATGGAAATCTGATGAAGCTACTGTCATGGAAGAAGCAAGACTGCTCTTGTAAGACTTCATGGATAGCCTTTCACACACAGGTTTGTGCTGGTTTTTACTCACAAGGTTTCCAAGCTGGATGAATAGATCTCTGCCATGGATGTCTATTTCACATTGCTTTTTAAAATCCACCCTCTGATTTTTGTGTTGTTTTTAACCATTTTTAGTTGTTTCATTATTGTTTTGTACTTCACCTTGATATGCGTTTGTGTGCATGCCTAAGGTGATGTATAAGAACAACAAGTGATGTATGTTCTGAGACTGCCCTCTTCCTCCTCTTCAGTGGTAACTGACTGGTGTCAGTCATATGGATCTTGATGGCGGAGAAGAGATAAAGATCAACAGGAGGTCCGTCAAGCCCTGCATCTAAAGCTCCAGTCTCTCACCAAAAATCCAGCTCTCTTGGCAAACATGAGAGGAAAACTGGATGAGGACTCTGCCCACAGCAGTGAGGAGAAGAAATTCAGGCCAAGTTGTGCCTCTGAACACTGATGGAAGGAGTCACTTTTCATGAGATGCCTTCCTCTGACGAGGAATGACTGGGTCTGCTTTTATGGGGAAATAATAAAATACTGTATTTCCAGGGGGTTTCCCCTCCACGGAAGATATGAAAGCTTTAAGTGTGCTATACACTTACACAGACCCAGAGCCACAGAAGATTTGCTCCCAGACATGAGAAGCTAAAACAGGATTAGCTCCTGCCCTTTGACTCTATCTTATATCAGCTTCACAGACAATTCGCTTGACCCTGTTCTCACCCATTCCAGCTACAAATGGAACAGCAGTTATAGTTTGAATACCTATCTCTCCCAATGGCTTGAGGATAACCACATTAGCTCTGTAGATGATGTTTATCCTAACTCTGCAGAAGACTCTCTGGACACAATCTGCAAACTCACCCTCAGAAACACCTGGCTTTTCACTAATTCTGATCTGACGCTCTGGCACGACTGGCTCCCCTTCAGCATTGCCAATATCAACAGGAAGGAAAGGCAAGGACTTTTTCTCCTCTTCTAGAGACCTTGGGAAATACAGAGGCAGCAACTTCTGATAAGTATCCTGGAAAAAAAGGAAAGTTTGAGAATGCTTTAGATCTCCAGTTTTCAAGGCAGGTTGATAACAGGTCACAAAGATAATTAAATGCCCCCTGGTATTCTTTTGCATGGTAGATCATGATAGCACCACACTGACTGGTTAGTCAAGATCTACAGTTCTCCCATATGTGGAACAAAGTTGCAACCTCCATCGTTTTTCTTTCAACATCTGACATATGCAGAAAGGTTAGGATGTAGAGAATAAGTTTTAATACAAGTTTGAAACAATAAATCTATTCACTTATCTCCATCCTATCTTTATGTCCTAATGCTAGGGATGGGGAACCTGTGGATTTGATGTGCAGTAGAGTCCAATAGATGGATCCCTACAAGCCTTCCATCCTTTTCTTATGCAGCAACATTTTGTGGAGGGCAGGTGCCAGAATTCTGCTTCCAGAGTGCAACAGAATACTTGCTGTGGCAAGCAACATAAGCTTCACCCAGCTATGAACAGCTGCGCTGTGTTCTGGAAGCGCTAAGAAGGGATTAGCTTCAGCCCTTAACCCTTCCCCAAAGTGCTTTGGAAGCACAGGTGTACCTCTCACCTCCCTTTCTAGCTTCAAGCTGAAGTGCAGAGCCCAGGTTTGTGTCTCTGCTTCCAAGGAACATAGAGCACCTCACAAGCACAGCATCAAAGGAAGTTCCCACTGCCATCTCCACCTCTGAGCTGGAGAGGGGTGCGTGAGTTTGTTGGCTTGGTTCCATCCTTTTGGAGCACTGGGAATGTGCCTTTAAGTGCAGAGCCAAATCAAAACCCCAGCTCTCCTGTCCAGCTCCAGCACTAGAGCTGTGGCAGTGAGTATGGGATAGCCCCAAACTTCATACTGCAGTTCAGAAAAGTGGCCTTGGGGGAGGAAATGGGTCCTGGCAGCCACACAGGGTAACTTTCAATATTAGTACTTTGCACATGTAAATTGCACAGATGAGATGGAGGCTATTTAGAAGAACTGTGAAATTGCAACTTGGGAGTATGTTTGTCTGAAGGAATAAGAAGGTATTGATACCAAGTTTCTTGTGTACTTTTGGACGAGAAGTTAATCGAATCACTGGAGTGGAGAGCAATAAATAGAGATCAAGGCACAAGGGTTTTGGGACTGGGTTAGCTCAGCAGCACAGCAATGCCTACAGACGTAGACAGAGTACTTTACATACCTCTTCAATTTCAGACACTGCAAACACCACTTTTTCAAGAGTTTCCCCATGAACCTCTAAAAATCGCCGGACGGTTCCTGCAATGGGGGGGGGGGGAGGAAGAGAGAGAAATCAACACATAGAGTCAGCAAAACGAGAAGAAACAGACACCCACGTTGATGGAAAATATAGGACTACCCTTTTCTATGCCATTATTTAATGTTATTAATTGATCTAATTTAATTAGTTATTTTGCCCATCCTTGTTGACCACATATACTGTGGTGATGTTTGGGTTTCCTGACAATAATAGCTTTGGGTTTGGGATTTCGTTTTCTCAGTCTCAATTAATGTCTTTCCCAGACGAATGCTGTACATAGGAAAACAAGTACCTACAGCCCTTAGTGCAACTTGCGTGAAAGTCCTTTACGACTCCTTCATTTTACTTCACCACAAGGGCTGTTGTAAAACATTGGAACTGTTTTCTCTAACTGAAAAGACAGTTGCACTTTTCAATATAAGGACAGCTGGTTGCAACTTAGTCTAAGGGAAGTGGAGCAGGGGATTGGAGAGGGCCTTTGCAGTCAGAATATTGCAATATAGTCCCCACTTCAGTAATTATGTTTTGAATTGGACTGTAGGGAGTTCAACCACACATTGCCATCTTTCTCAACCTACTTCAATGTAGCACATCAAGACAGCTGTGCCGCCAACGGCAAATAAGGGCAGACTGCATTCCTAGCAACCAAAAGGGGAAGTCACCCGCCTCACTGTTTTACTAGTTCCTCAAATTTTAACTTGCATATTCTTATAGTTTCTACATTATGACAACTTAAGTCATGGGTAGGCAAACTAAGGCCAGGGGGCTGTATCTGGCCAAATCGCCTTCTAAATTTGGCCCACGGACAGTCCGGGAATCAGCATGTTTTTACATGAGTAGAATGTGTGCTTTTATTTAAAATGCATCTCTGGGTTATTTGTGGGGCATAGGACTTCATTCATTCCCCCCCCCCAAAAAATATAGTCCAGTCCCCCACAAGGTCTGAGGGACAGTGGACTGGCCCCCTGCTGAAAAAGTTTGCTGACCCCTGACTTAAGTGAAAGCTTTGCAACTGAAGACCTAAGGTGGCTTAGATTAACATGTATTTTCCTATGAACCCTTTGCCACAACCCTCTAGTCCCAATATTCAACTGCAACTAAGCCTAAATATATATAACCAAAATAATCACAAATCCTGCTCTGTCGTTCTTAGCAAAGCACAATGCATGCAGATGAAGCTGTATATCCAGCAAAGATCCTTTCAAGGCTACTTACGCAGTGCTATGTGGGTAGCATCCACTAAAGGGTAACCTCGTTTCACCGTGTTTATCACACAGAATCCGACTGAGGACATCGCTTGCTCCCTGCAGCCAGAAGGATAATGAAAAGCGTAAGCATCACAAACAAATCAATGCAACTGATGTCATAGCAGGATCATGTCAGCTTATTCTGTATGAATAGGCTGCATGTGTTGTATTGGTCCAACAGTGGTCATTATAATTACCGGAGCAACACCAAATTTAGAATCAAATAGTAAAAAGGATTCACAGAGATGGCTTAATCCATAATAGGTGCCCATGACTAACATGATTATGGATGTTTATACTTTTGCTTCATACTGTGGATAGATTTTGCTCTCCAAAAGCTTTTAAGAGCGGGAAGAGATTCTATTGAAATTTTCACGAAACCCCCACTGCTCCTAATAGCTGTTATAACAACTCTTGACAAAGGAGGTTTAAGTGTTTTCAGTATCATTGGATGTTTTGTGTTTGCTGGTTACTTCTTAAGACATGGTTTTCAGATCACAAAGAGGAGCTATAGTGTAAACTATGCCAAAAGATGTGAAGATTGGATCACATTAAAAAATGAATATGTGGATTACTGGGGATATTTAGCAGTAAAATAAAAAGTATTACTGGTTATTTCTTAAAATTACCTATAGATTTTTTTTTTTTTTAAAGGAAACAAATTTTCCAAAATTTTAAGATTATGAACTTGGGAGATGACAAATCCAAAATAAACTGATGGTGGGGAATAATTTAACTTAACTATTCTGAAGCTTAAGACTTTTGATCCCTTGGCATGAGGGACAAGGCATAGTGCTGATATCTGATAGATTCTGTCTAAGTGACAGCATGAAACCAAACAAACAATTTGAAAGGAGTCCAAGAGAATCATAAATGCCGTTAATCATTCAGAAGAGCACAGTGTTGCAAATTTTACTGTTTCAAAGAGCATAAACAGTTTAGACAAAGATGATGTAGCCCACAGCTCGCCTAGGTTTACAACTGAGGAGGCTGTAACGCTGAAGGTCCCATACCTCCCAACATGTAATTTTGCACACAAACCCATAGTTTTAGATGTGAGACACCTAACAAACCAATAGTCTGCACAGGACAAGAAACACAGTGCTTGTGATCTTAAACAAATTTTCAGACATTGGGCAAGACAAAAAGCCACACAGAGCTGCCACCATTCACCACTATCCCACCTCACAAACACAAAATCCACATGAAGACACCATAGAAGTCTGCAAAATGTGTCTGGTGTTACATCAGATAGGAAATGTGTTAAGCAGTTTAGCAATGGAGAAGGGGGTTAAAAGGAAACGATAGAATTTTTTAGTAAATGATGTCAGTTTGCATCCTTAATCTAATAGTCATTCTCTGAACTGATCTTCAATTGCAATTTATTATTTATTTACAGACCACTTATAAACACCATCTCCAATTCCTCAAAAGATTCCATCAACGGTGTCTGCAAAATTTCACACTTCACTTGGGAAGAAAGGCAAACTAATGCCAGTGTACTGGAAGAAGAAAAGATCACCAGTGTCGAAGCGATGATTCTTCAACATCAACTTTGTCGGACTGGTCATGTTGTGTGGATGCTCGAGTATCGTCTTCCAAAGCAACTACTCTATTCTGAACTCAGAAATGGAAAGCGTAATGGTGGTGGTCAGCAAAAGAGGTTTAAAGACTTTCTCAAGGCAAATCTAAAAAAAAAAAGTAGTATAAACACCAACAACTGGGAAACACTGGCCTGCGAGCACTCCAGTTGGAGAACAGCCTTTACCAAAGGTGTCATGGGCTTTGAAGATGCTCGAACTCAGGACGAAAGGGAGAAATGTGCTAAGAAGAAGGCATGCTTGGAAGGCACCCTCACTGTGATCAACTCCCGCCCGGAAACCTATGTCCCACTGTGGAAGGATGTGTGGATCCAGAATTGGCCTTCACAGTCACATAGACTCACTGCTATAAGCCTGTTCATGGAAGACAATCTTACTCGGCTACGAGTGATCGCCAAAGAAGAATTTATACTTAACAAGTGCTTTTGTAATAATAGCAATAGCAATAGCAACAACAACAACAATAATGATACTTTTATTATTTATAACCTGCCCATCTGGCTGGGTTGCTCCAGCTACTCTGGGTGGCTTTGAACCCATATAAAAACATAAAACCAGGCTTTCCAATGCATTCTGTTCCTTGGAATGGCATGTAGTGCTTCTCATCATCTACCCCCATTACTAAGCAACTAATATTGGAATTTGGGGAACGGAAGAATCTAAAGCACGTGGAAAATATATGTTTGGATGAAGAGAGCCAGGGGATTAGATGTTGACATGTATACTTTCACAAGCTATCCAAGATGTTACGGTATGATAGCTAAGTTTTTTAAACTTATTTCTTTACACTAGATATAGGTAGGTAGCTGTGTTAGTCTGCCGTAGTCAAAACAAAATAAAAAAATTCCTTCCAGTAGCACCTTAGAGACCAACTAAGTTTGTTATTGGTATGAGCTTTCGTGTGCATGCACATTTCTTCAGATACCTTTACACTAGTTACACATTCCAAAATTTTACATGCACTGTTGCTGTGTTTGTGTATGTGTTTGTGTATGTGTATGTGTGTTTCACAAGGTACTTGCCTGTCACAAGCAGACACATGCTTACTTTGCAAGTTGCAGAATGTTGCGATAGCAGCTGTACAGGGAGCTTTCTGCTGCTGTCCGGTATCGACTTTTGTATTTGGGACCCACAGTGTGAATGATGAAACGGGCAGCTAGATTAAATCCTTTTGTCAGCTTTGCTTCTCCTGTCCGGCAGCCTATAGGAAAACAAAGCAGGATGAGCTAAGTAATATTGAAGCAATTGAAATATAAGGATTTTAGGCTTAGCATAGAGATAATAATAATAATAATAATAATAATAATTTATTATTTGTACCCCGCCCATCTGGCTGGGTTTCCCCAGCCACTCTGGGCGGCTTCCATAGAAACAAAAAATACAGTAAAATATCACAGATTAAAAGCTTCCCTGAACAGGGCTGCCTTAAGATCCTCTTTTATGGATGGATTTGGGAACACACAACAGCTTCCCATATTATATCCAAGCTTCCTGCCAAACCTAGGTAAGAGAAAAAAGCAGCATGCACAGCTGTGTAGCTGGGTACAGAGAAGTCTCAGTTAGACATAGAGATAAGCCATGGTTTGTTGACAGAACAAGTCGGTGCAAGCCTTGGGTTCACACAACCCTACACTGGTGCAGGTAGAGGGGGAGGCGGAAGAGGAATCTGGAAGCGATATTATAAGCAATGGTCTGAGGCTGACCTATTCTGGTAAATCACAACAAGTGTTGCAATATTTTATAAAGATCTGCCGTGAATGTTTTTCATTATTTATTCATATCATCACCTATTCATTCTTGCATCGCTAATGGTCATTTTAAAGAAATTTATTACCTTGCTTATTTTATGAGGAAGTTCAGCTGTGCAATTTGTAATTTGAAGAGGGGGTGGGGGAATGGGGAGGAGGAGAGAGAGATACTTTGAATTCAGAAGCTATTCTCTAAATCAGATATTGTTGTAGGGGAAGAGTTTGGTTAGCTCTGTAAAATGGTACAGTAGTACACACAATGCACGCAACAGTCGTTGATGTAGTTTATTTATAATTTACTCATGTTGTGGTTTTCTGTATGTAAACTCTTGGTACAGAATTGGGCTGCAAGTTTAATTCTTCCTCAGATATGTATTTTTTGTAACCTGAAACATTTATCAATGACCAAATTCTCTGTTCAAAAAATCATCCCTCCAAATATTTGCTTCCATTACACCCAGTTGTGTTTTTATTAAATTAATTAGAAAGCTCAGTAAGACCGGTATAATGAAGTAAGCAAATAGGCATCAGTGACAAAATTAACTTAATATATCAGATTTAAAGAACAAAGCTAGAGACAAGATACCTTTTTGGTCAGCTGGAATAAATGGGTCCGTCACTATAGGGGTGATGGGCTAATTCCTGGTACAGCATACGATTGTGCAACGTTTTGAATTGCTTGTACTCTTGGTTACTTTGTAGAGTTATGTTTATCAGCTTCTAATTTTATTGTATTGTTACTTTTTATCACCTTTGTAGCTGATAAACTGAATTGTTACTATATAAGATAAATATATGAAAAATTAAAAAAAAATTTAAATATGCCAAATGTTTGTTTACTCTGTCTTATACATATGTAGCATGATCATTATGACAGACATGTTTTAACTTTACAGCGTAGTTTGTTCATAGATTTTTTTTACTGTGAAATGAACTTTTTAAACCAAAGTGCAGTCCCCTTTTTGGTTCAAGCTGAACGTTTTGAAGTCAACTGGATTAACTTTACTATACTTACCTTTGAGCTTCTGTAGCTCAGCCCTCAGGTCAGGTCCCGCATGTGTGCAGATACTATCAGAAACTGGGTTCTTGTCCGTGAGAGACTCATTGCTGGTGTTCACTATGGCTGTGCAGTTCAGCAGTGCTACATCCCCCCTCCTGAGGAAAAATCACCACCATTCAGCAGGCGGCACGGAAGAAAATAGAAGCACAACACACACACAGGAAGCTCCTCAGAGCTGTTATATGATTATTGCTGCATGGCTATAAAAGAGAACATACTTCATTAAGTTTTTCCCATCAGCTTTCTCCTGATATGTATTAAGAAGGCAGTAATAGAAGAATTTATATTTACGTCTCTGGTGAGTGCTCATGTTAGTCATGGAGTGCACAGTATGTCAATTTATCACTTTTCATGAATTGAATACAATGGAAAGACATAACCTCATTTTCAATACAGTGGAACCTCGGTTTTTGAAAGTAATCCACTCTGGAAGACCGTTCGACTTTCGAAACGTTCAAAAACCAGGGATCAATGGGCGGTCGGCAGAATCCAGTGAAAAATGGATAAACGCGCCTTGGAAGCCAATTACTTCTGGGTTTTCGACGTTCGGCTTCTCAATTGTTCAGCTTCTGAGATGTTCAAAAACTGAGGTTCCACTGTGCTTACAAGTTAAGAGTTATGTAACCTTACAAAGGGAAATTACAGAAGAGTTATTTGAACATCTTGCTCATGGAATTCAAAGGTTTAATACCAACTCTACACCAGGGATGGGGAATCTGTAGCCTTCCAGATGTTGTAGGGCAGAAACTCCTATCAGGCCTAGCAAGCATGGTGAGTTGTCAGGAATGAAGGAACTGTAGTCCTAAAACATCTGGAGGGCCATAGGTTCCTCTACCTCTGCTTTGTGCTCATTATTAGTACAGACTATACAGTTAAGAAGATTCAGGGCATTATCTATCTATAGAACAGCAGAAATTTATATGCAAGTGATATCCACGTGACTTCATAACTGAATATTTTTAAGAAGAGGCTTTCGCTACACTTGGTTCAGAATGCAGCAGCAAGGATGTTAACAGGCGCATGTCTATGGGATCATGTTACACCTATCTTGCAATATCACCAGTGACTGACAATCTGCTTCTGGGCACAATTCAAAGTACTGGTGATGACCTTTAAAGCCCTAAATGACTTAGACCTGGGGCTGCCTCCTCCTATACCATTCATCCCACTCCCTAAAATCAAAAGCTGGTGCCTTTCTCTGCATCCCACATATGACAAGGCAAAGGTCATGGCTACAAGAGATACAGCCTTTTTCAGGGGCTGCACCAATATTGTCATCTCCAGTGCAGATGACTTCTTCTCTGGTCATTTTTAACCAGCTTGTAAATACTGTACATTTTTATTCTGCCAGGTTTATCCATTTATTTTTATTAAACTTCTATGTGGTCTTTAGGACAAAAATCTCACGAAGGGTGTACAATGAAGAAAATACATCAAATGAAAATGGGAAAAGTCTCATTATAAACAACCAGCAATGGATAATTGGTCCCAGTATTTGTTACCACACTTTAAACACCTAAGACCATTAGAAAAATCTCTCTCTTCAAAGCACATTTAAAATATAACAGAGGCGGGGCCTGCTTAACTTTCGGGTTGTATTCGAAAACCAGGGGGCTACTGCAGAAAAGTCCTCTCTTACGCCTGCTAGCCAGATAGATTTAGCTGACAGACATCTCAACAGCACCTTGGACACAGATTTTAGGATTATGGCATAGGGATATAGTGTTTTGCCTAAAGTCATTTTCACCCATTATCACTGCTGTTGCTGCTTTGAAATGGACTTTTAATGTTGTGCTATTTTATTTGTTGCACATTTTATATATTTTTATTATTATAGCTATTTTAAATAATTGTACTGTAGTCTGATTTTAAATTCTTGTAAATAAGTACATGAGTATTAGAAGGGTGGAACAGAAACATTCATTTACTAAATGAAACAAATATGCTGAACTTCTTACCCGTTAAAGCAAATCTACCGTATTTTTCGCCCCATAGGGCGCACCTAGTTTTTTTTTGGGGGGGGGGGAATAAAGAAATAAAGAGCTGCCCGAAGCCCGGGGCGCGCTGCACAGCGCGCCCCAGGCTTCGGGATGCAGGCAGCTCTCCACAAGCCTGGGGAGACCGGCTCCCAAGGCTTGCGGATAGCTTCCTGAAGCCTGGAGAGCAAGAGGGGTCGGTGTGCACCGAACCCTCTCGCTCTCCAGGCTTCAGCAAAAGCCTGCATTTGCCCCATAGGACGCACACACATTTCCCCTTCATTTTTGGAGGGGAAAAAGTGCGTCCTATAGGGCGAAAAATACGGTAATCAGTGTTCTACAAGTCAGTGCTCAGGATGTTTTTTTATTAAACCCCCTCCCCCGTGAATATCAGCCAAAGTTTAAACCAAAAAATCATTGAGTCACATAATGCCTAAGCATTTTATGTTAAAGAATGCAATTATTTCAAAATCATGATGCGCAAGCTTACCATAATATTATTTTTTCACTGATGTCTTTCCTATATGGGAAGGGTGAGCAAGCATCAACTTGAGTCTTTTCGACTGGAACTGAAGAGTTCAACTGATCAGCCACATAAAGATCAGCCCAGCCTTGCAAACCATCAATATCCACAAAATTGGAAGGAGCCCCCAAAGGATCCATGGAAGGGATCGGCAATCGGTTCAGTTTACTTCATAAGCACTCTACACTCCTACTTGAGTCCTGCTGGTATTCTGGACACACCACAATCAGACACTCGGGCTCTTTGTTAAAAACGGAGATGAAAGTTCCTGTGAAAAAGCACATCAGTAAATCATTGTGCTGTGTGAGTTTGAAAAAAACAGATGTGTGTGTGTTTTGACAAAAGATTCCTTCATAATAAAATTGTAAGAACCCGAAGGGCACTTCCTTAGAGAAACGCTCATTCAGGGATGCGCAGTTTTCCTCCCAAATGATGCCATTTCAGGAATACTATTTACTCCTAGACTAGTCTCCAAGAAGCCCTTTAGGTGTTGCTCTCACAGAAGCAGAAAATGTAGTCCAGAAGCAGGTTTGCTGCTTCAGATTGCAGGCAAGAGCCTGCATCATAGAATGCTCCTTTATATTATTTGTTTTTTGCGCACTTACAGCACTTGCATGACAGGGAAATGGGTTCTATCCTAGTTTTCTCCCAATATGAATATGCTAGTATTCTTTGTGTACATTTACATCTATATATGCTGCAAGAATGTTGCAATGCTTGATTATTTCTCTTTTATCAAAGAGAGACTGCAAATAGTGACGCCAACAGGGCCATGAAATGCAGGAGGACAATAATAAGGCCACACAGAGCTGGGACATAAACAAGGCTTAAATAATAATAATAATAATACTCATTCAGAACAAGGATAGCACTTTTTCTTCCCCCTTAGGGTCTCTCCATGGCTATGTATGAGGATAACAAATGCCATTTGTTTTTGTTCTTGTTTTCATTATATATCATGTGTTTCCATTTTGTATTTTTACACTGTGAACCAGCCCTGAGGTCTTCAGGTGAAGGGCTGTATACAAATCTGATAAAACAAAGTAATAAATAAATTCACTGGGCCCGGTGCATCTAGCCAAAAAAGTGTCTGCTCTGGATCAAGAAAAGGCCTTTTCTGCAGGGAGAAGAACTAGAAGTTATCCCCAAAACTGGCAGAAATAAGAGACCTGTTATTACCCAGCATGTTGCTTACATTTGAGAAGTTTCCCTTCCTTCCTGAGGAATGAAAAGACGGGCAAGTGAGGAAGTAAGTGGTTATTGGTTTGGTTTGTTCCTGTTCTCATTATGTGTTTTGTCTATTTTGTGTATTTAATGCTGTGGACTGGCCACCCCAAGATGCTTAATAAATTTAATAAATAAATGAAACACACTTTGTTTGTTTGCTTATTAAATCTGCCTACTGCCCCTTAATCTGTAGATCTCAGGGTGGCTCACAACATGGGCATAGCCAGGGGGTGCAGCTGCCCCCTCCAAATCAAGTAAACAAATACAGTGGTGCCCCGCAAGACGAACGCCTCGCAAGACGGAAAACCCGCTAGACGAAAGGGTTTTCCGTTTTGGAGGCGCTCATAGAACGAATTTCCTATGGGCTTGCTTCGCAAGACGAAAGCCCATAGGAAATCTCCGGGGACCTCTTTTAAATGCTAGCGGTGGGGAGCAAAGCCTTCCCCTCCGGCCTTCAGAAGAGGTCCAGGAAGGCTGGCGGGGCCGAAAGGCTTTGCTCCTCACCGCTCAGCATTTTAAAAGCAGTCCGGGATAGCAGGGAAGCGCTTCCCGCTATCCCGGACGGCTTTTGAAGGCAGGAGAGGTCCGCTGAGCCTGGGCGCGCTGATCTCAGCGCGCGCAGGCTTCGGCATGCCGGCAACTCTCCGCAAGCAGCGGCAGCGCTGCCGCTGCTCGCGGAGAGGTCCGCGAGCCTGGGCGCGCTGATCTCCGCGCGCGCAGGCTTCGGCATGCCGGCAACTCCCCGCAAGCAGCGGCAGCGCTGCCGCTGCTCGCGGAGAGGTCCGCGAAGCCTGGGCGCGCTGATCTCAGCGCGCGCAGGCTTCGGCATGCCGGCAACTCTCCGCAAGCAGCGGCAGCGCTGCCGCTGCTCGCGGAGAGGTCCGCGGAGCCTGGGCGCGCTGATCTCAGCGCGCGCAGGCTTCGGCATGCCGGCAACTCTCCGCAAGCAGCGGCAGCGCTGCCGCTGCTCGCGGAGAGGTCCGCGAAGCCTGGGCGCGCTGATCTCAGCGCGCGCAGGCTTCGGCATGCCGGCAACTCTCCGCAAGCAGCGGCAGCGCTGCGCCGCTGCTCGCGGAGAGGTCCGCGGAGCCTGGGCGCGCTGATCTCAGCGCGCGCAGGCTTCGGCATGCCGGCAACTCTCCGCAAGCAGCGGCAGTGCTGCCGCTGCTTGCGGAGAGGTCCGCGAAGCCTTGGCTGGACAGCTTTTGAAGGCAGGTGGGGGACAAGACTTCGCCCCGCCAACCTTCAGAAGAGGTCCAGGACCTCTTCTGAAGGCTGGCGGGGGCAAAAGTCTTGTCCCCCTGCCTGCCTTCCCAGGGGCTTTGAATTGCCCCGACAGCGGAGAAGTCCTCCGCTGTCCCGGGCAATTTTAAAATGCCGCCCGCCAGCATTTTAAGATCGCCCGGACAGCGGAGAAGCCCTCCGCTGTCCCGGGGTTTTTAAAATGCTGGGGTGGGTGGAAGAAAAGCCCTTGTCCCCCCCAGCCTTCAGAAGAGGTCGGGGACAGACTGTCCCCGGACCTGGTCTGAAGTCGGCTTCCTAGGAACGCACTAATTGATTTTCAATGCATTCCTATGGGAAACCGTGCATCGCAAGACGAAAAACTCGCAAGAAGAAAAAACTTGCGGAACGAATTAATTTCGTCTTGCGAGGCACCACTGTAAAAACACATAACTGACCAATTGTGTTGCAGATAACTCAGTTCTGCCCCAACATAAATCCTGCCCTCCCCCCCAAATAAATTCTGCCTATGCCCATGGCTCACAGCAACAAAACTTTAAATACTTGATGTTTTAGTATGCTGTTATATATGCTGTAAGCCACCCAGAGTGGCTGGGGAAACCCAGTCAGATGCGTGGGGAATAAATGAAATAATAATAATAATAATAATAATGGTGTTATGTTGTTGTGAACCGCCCTGAGACCTACAATGAAGGACAGTACAGTATACAAATTTAATAAACGAAACACACTGGGAGTGTGTTACTGGGTTGCTGTTTTTATTTTGATTACATATATTGTGGTTTTTATGCTGATCTTTTCTGTGAACCGCCCTGAAACCTCGGGGTATAGGGCGGTATATAAATTCAATAAATCATCATCAACATCATCAGGGCAGGATTTAGGTTTGATGAGGCCCTAAGCTACTGAAGATAATGGGGCCTTTTATATGAGCAGCTGTCCTTTGTCAACAACAAATTGCTATATACCAATATGCTATATGGTAATTTGTGGACCTAATAGCTATCTAAAGCCATTTGCAGACAACAAAATATGTATTTTATCAAAGTAATTGATATAGAAATGAGCAAACCAGTGATATTTTAGGGAGAAGGGGAGCAGGCAGGGCCCATTACTTACATCATAGGAGCCTACACAACACAAAACATTGTTGCTGTATGTAGGTTTTTATCTTGTATTTTGGAAATGTATATCCAGTTTTTTCCCTTTAATTTTTTTTGGGGCCCCCAAGAGAGTGGGGCCCTAAGCTATAGCTTGTTTAGCTTATACCAAAGGTCTGTATAGTAAAAGCTATGGTTTCCCCAGCAGTGATGTATGGAAGTGAGAGCTGGACCATAAAGAAGGCTGATCGCCGAAGAACTGATGCTTTTGAATTCTGGTGCTGGAGGAGACTCTTGAGAGTCCCATGGACTGCAAGAAGATCAAACCTCTCCATTCTGAAGGAAATCAGCCCTGAGTGCTCACTGAAAGGACAGATCCTGAAGCTGAGGGTCCAAGACTTTGGCCACCTCATGAGAAGAGAAGACTCCCTGGAAAAGACCCTGATGTTGGGAAAGATGGAGGGCACAAGGAGAAGGGGAAGACCGAGGACGAGATGGTGGGACAGTGTTCTCGAAGTGACCAGCATGAGTTTGACCAAACTGGGAGGCAGTGGAAGACAGGAGGGCCTGGCGTGCTCTGGTCCAGGGGGTCATGAAAAGTCAGACACGACTGAACGACTAAACAACAACAACCCTTCTACCAAACGCTAAAGCAAGCAGCTTAACAAAGCTTATGTGCTCGGAAGTCGTTCTGTGCATGCCCCATTGGCATGAACCATGCGCCTTGGGAGCATCACTGCGTTCTTGCACATCCACGTCAATGGAGAGAGAATCTTTGGGAGAATTTCCTGTGTGCTCTGAGGACGAGATGGTGGGACAGTGTTCTCGAAGCTACCAGCATGAGTTTGACCAAACTGCGGGAGGCAGTGGAAGACAGGAGGGCCTGGCGTGCTCTGGTCCAGGGGGTCACGAAGAGGCGGACACGACTAAACGACTCAACAACAACAACAATGGTCAAATGGGTGGAAATCTAAACGACTAAACAACAACAACAACAATCAGGCACTGAATTGCTGCCCTTCATCTATAGATCTCAGGGCAGTTCACACCACCAAAAATAATAAATAAATAATAATAATAATATGTTTATATTTATGTCTCTGTTTATGTTGTGAACCGCCCTGAGACCTGCGGTATGCAAATTTATTAAATAACAAGGATGTTGGCTGAGGATGCTAATGCAAGCGGCGCCAGGCGGGCCCGGAAGACCCCTCGCTGGGTTCCTGAGGTAACTGAGGCGCGTGAGGGGAGAAGAGGAGGAGGAGGCGCCGTTAGGGAGTCCAGTGGGGGGAGGGGGGGAGGGGACGCGACGCGCGTTGGCGGCGGCCCCGACTGCCTGACTGACTGACTGAGGGAAGAAGGCGGCGGCGGCCGCGGGGGACACTCACGGTCTCTGCTGCTGCTTCTTCCGCCGCCCGTCCAGGCCCGGCGCCGCTCGCCGCCCTCCTTCCTCTCCCTCACGCGACGGGGGAGGCCAGCGCAGCCCCGAACGAAGCGCAAGCCGCCTCCTCCTTCCGGTGAACGCCCCGATCCTGCCCAAGCGCCGCCTCGCCGCTCTTTTGCCTCGGGAGGGAGGAAGGAGGGGAGGAAGGGAGGCTGCAGGCCGCGGGGACAGCGAGGAAGAAGCCAGGCTGAGGCGACCGGAGGGGCCACCCCAGGGTCATCTAGTCCGACCCCCCTGCAAATGCGGGGGTCTCTCTCTCTCTCTGCGAAAGAAGCCCACCGGGGACGTTTGGTTCCCAAGCAGTGGTGCGAGCCAGAAACCCCTTCTGAGGGGAAGGCGGAGGGCTCCATAGTCAGCGTCGGTTTCGAATTCAAAATGGGGGCGGGGTGTGAGTTTGACTGGCGTGCTCCTTCAAGGAGGACTTTATTATCGTTTTTATTGTTGGTTGTTCGCCGCCCTGAGCCCGGCCTTGGCTGGGGAGGGCGGGGTATAAATAAAATATTATTTATTTATTTATTTATTATTATTCCTCGTCCTGAATTCTCCCTCCCGCTCTCTCCCCCCCCACCACAGGGCTCCTCTCGGACTTGCCTAATTTGTGCCCCCCCTCCCCAATAAAGCCCTGCCAATGCCACGGCATCCCCTCGTACAGCACATCGTTGGCCCCCACAACAGCCTTGCAGAGCAGTCCCGTGGCGGGTTAGCTGGAACTCGGCCCCGCCAAGCCGCCCTCCAAAGCCCAAATCCAGCTGCAACACAGCAGGCTGGTAGAAGACATCTGGAAAGCAGCTGGAAGCCGGTCTCCTCCCCCCCCCTCAAAATTGACTTATTGACCGACTTGGGAGAAGACTGTTTTGAACCCGGAAGCTGCCCACGCAGGCAACGACGTCAGGGTGCCTCTATACTTTTTTAAAAAAGTAGTCTTATCTCGTCGCAGCTTTGAGCGGCTTCCTTTTCCGGTGACGCTTCGCCCCTCCCCTTCCGGTTCCCTCAGATGGTCAGTCGCTCCGGGAACTTGGAGCCCCGCGATGAGGAGCACGTGCTGCGCAGACGCCGGAGGAAAATAAAGCCGCAGCTGACGGTGGGTCCAACCAGCGGGCGGGGAAGCGGTGAGGGTTGTTGGGTCAGAGCTCCCCAAGGAAGGGCAGAAAGAGAGTGTCTCTGACCCAGTGCAGAGTGCATTTCTCTCGTTTCCCGCGTAGAGGGCATATCCGTGCGGACGGTAGAGCACGGGGTGCTGTAGTTGTCACCCTCTCCTACGTGTTTGCTGAGAAATCCCAACTCGTGAGTACCTACTCAAGTGTAGGAAGTCCGTAAAAAGCAGAGGCATCACCTTGCCAACAAAGGTCCGCATAGTTCAAGCTATGGTTTTCCCAGTAGTGATGTATGGAAGTGAGAGCTGGAAATGCTTGGAACCCCAGGAATCTTGAACCACTTGGGGTGGCATGCAACAAGGTCACAGGGTAGTGACCCCAAAATTGGCATTTTCTACCATTGCCCCATTGCAGAGACATCACCTTGCCAACAAAGGTCCGTATAGTAAAAGCTCTGGTTTTCCCAGTAGTGATGTATGGAAGTGAGAGCTGGACCATAAAGAAGGCTGATCGCCGAAGAACTGATGCTTTTGAATTCTGGTGCTGGAGGAGACTCTTGAGAGTCCCATGGACTGCAAGAAGATCAAACCTCTCCATTCTGAAGGAAATCAGCCCTGAGTGCTCACTGGAAGGACAGATCCTGAAGCTGAGGCTCCAGTACTTTGGCCACCTCATGAGAAGAGAAGACCCCAGGAAAAGACCCTGATGTTGGGAAAGATGGAGGGCACAAGGAGAAGGGGACTACAGAGGACGAGATGGTTGGACAGTGTTCTCAAAGCTACCAGCATGAGTTTGACCAAACTGCGGGAGGCAGTGGAAGACAGGAGTGCCTGGCGTGCTCTGGTCCAGGGGGTCAGGAAGAGGTGGATACGACTAAACGACTAAGCAACAACAATCAATTGGCAGCAGAGCCCTGCACAGTGGTACCTCGGGTTAAGTACTTAATTTGTTCTAGAGGTCTGTTCTTAACCTGAAACTCTTCTTAACCTGAAGCACCACTTTAGCTAATGGGGCCTCCTGCTGCTGCTGCGCCGCCAGAGCACGATTTCTGTTCTCATCCTGAAGCAAAGTTCTTAACCTGAAGCACTATTTCTGGGTTAGCAGAGTCTGTAACCTGAAGCGTATGTAACCTGAAGTGTATGTAACTCGAGGTACCACTGTACCTGAATTGGGGTCTGTGCATTGGAATACGTCTGTGGACAGCCACGCTAAATATGGATGCTGCAGGAAGAAGACCTGACAGCGAGGATGGGGCTGAAAGTGTGTCCCAGCTCCACCATCAGTACACATGTGCCCTGCATGCAAGTAGCATGTGAGCAGGGCTACTGGCTCTCCAGGTCACATACTTTGAGTAAGGTGTTGCTAATTTACATCATTTACCTGCCTGATTAGAATTGTAGAGTTGGGAAGGACTTTGAGGTTTATCTAGTCCAACCCCCAGCAATGCAGGTAATCTTTTACCCAACATAGGGCTCAGACTCATGACCCTGAGATTAAGAGTCTCATGCTCTACCAACTGAGCTATTCTTTGGCAATTTCCCAGGAAAATGAAATTGTTTAGTTCCAATGGACTTGAACTGTATGTGTAGATAACATCTGCACAGATGTATCCTAAAGGCAGTGCTAAAAGCATACATCCAAGTCATCCGTTAAAAATAGCAGGAAATGCTGCAAATACCATAGAATGTAATGTTTCTATGCTAATTCTTAAGAGATGGAAGAAAAAGAACCATTCCCTAAGAGCCAATACTTATTTTCTGCATTTCTGCTTCAGAATTAACATTTGCCTCCTCCCCTTCTTGTCCAGACTGGATTCTGCAAAGACCTGCGAACCTCTCCATGGGGCTTACCAAGCAATATCTACGTTACACAGGCGCTGCCCTTTTTGGAGTGGTTGCCAGCCAAAAAGGCAATATTGTCTATGTGACGCTGCGGGGCGAAAAAGGTCGTTATGTAGCAGTGCCGGCCTGTGAGCATGTTTTCATCTGGGATACTCGGAAAGGAGAGAAGGTGAGCAACTTTCTTAGCATTTGAGACGGATGTGCAGTAGCCCAAGATGTCACGTTTCTTGCATTTCATGTATAATAATGTATTTTTGTTTGCTGTGGTCACACAGAGTTGTGATGGTGTCCGCTGATGGCACAGTATTCCCTTTTGGCATTTTTCTATTGCCATTCCCTACACTGGATAGAACTCTGCTTATCCATATTGCATAGAAATACTTGAATTAAGCATAAGAGTTGATATTGTAGCAGTGCCTCTTAGAGCACTTTCAGTGGTAATCTCTTTCTTGCTAGCAGTTTCTGCCCCTTTATTTATTTGTTAATACAGAATGTATTCCTCTTAGTGTGGAGTATATAGTCAAAATAGCAGCAACATCGATTTTTAATAAGGTATTAGCAGACTTGGAGGAATCCCCGCACTTTAAATTGCTCTGAGTATATGATGGTTAACAGTAGTTAACAAATCTGTGTTATGAGTCCTAAGGCTTGCAACATATATTTAATTAAAAGATGTGCCCTTCCAGCCTTTTCTAGGTGAGCGTGGCTGTGTCACACCATATGACAACTGTCTTTTGTATTTCACCTTGCAGGTTCTCATCCTCCAGGGCCAAAAGCACGAGGTTACTGCTCTTTGCCCATCCCCAGATGGTCTTCACTTGGCTGTTGGATATGAGGATGGATCAATCCATGTATTCAGTCTCCTAAGTGGTGAAGGAAATGTTACTTTCAATGGTCATAAGGCTGCCGTTACTGCCCTGAGGTATGATGAGCTGGGAGGAAGACTGGCTTCAGGATCAAAGGTTAGAAATTCTTTGGATAACTGGTGGGTAATAGATGTAACTAAATTGTGTCAACTGATTGATGATAATGCAGTTCAAATTTAGGTATGTGGCATGTAGTGGATGAGGTCTGGAGTGTTGGTTGAACATAACATCCCTGAATCTTCAGAACATTATTGTCATAATTGATAATTTCTGTTTCATTGTAAATTGCTTTGAGGGCCATGAAAAGGTGATACAATGAAGAAAGAAGGCCATAAAAATATCAAGTATCTAGCCTGTTAATAGTTTTGTGTTTTAAAATGTGAGCACAAGGGTGAGGTAATACAGTGAGGTTAATTGTAGGTTGGTATTTGCTTGTTTTTGATACCTTGAATCCCTTGCTCAGTTTGGTTTATAGTGAGCATGGCTAAGGCAGTAGTTTCCTTCTCCTTCTAGGACACAGATGTCATCATTTGGGATGTGATCAATGAGAGTGGTTTGTACCGGCTGAAGGGCCACAAAGATGCCGTTACACAGGTGGTCCTTTTGAAGGAGAAGAATATCCTGGTTTCCAGGTAAAGGTGCTCAATTAAGAATACATCAGGCAAACCTGCTAAAATATGTTCTGAAGGGATAGTTAAGAGGGGTTGTTTCTCAGATGGGAATCATAGAATTCTAGGGTCATCTAGTCCAACCCCCTGCAATGCAGGAGTCTCAATTAAAGCGTCTATGACAGATGGCCATCCAACTTCTGCTTTAAAACCTCCAATGAAGGAATCGTGTGCTTCATCTAAGTTAAGCTGTACATGGCCCTGTTTTCTAGTTTTTCCACTTTGTAATGCATGTTTATGCTGACCTTTGAAACTCTCAGTTCACACACTGTGACTGATATTCTGTACACATATGGCAGCCACGACAGAACAGAGATGCTTGACCCAGAGTGCTTAATATTAACCTAATCCAGTGGTACCTTGGGTTACAGATGCTTCAGGTTACAGACTCCGCTAACCCAGAAATAGTACCTCGGGTTAAGAACTTTGCTTCAGGATGAGAACAGAAATTGCACAGCAGCGCAGCAGCAGGAGTGGGAGGCCCCATTAGCTAAAGTGGTACCTCAGGTTAAGAACAGTTGCATGTTAAGAACGGACCTTCGGAACGAATTAAGTTCTTAACCCGAGGTACCACTGTAGTAGTTTAAGCAGGGTGAAACTGTTGCCATTCATTGTCTATCTTTTTTTTTTGAAAGTGGAAAAGACACCCTGGTGAAATGGTGGGACCTGGATACACAGCACTGCTTCAAAACATTGGTTGGGCACCGTACTGAGGTAAATAGGATGCAGAAGTTCATATAACAAGATTATGCAGAAAAAGTCATGACTGTTGTTGTTTCCCTATTTCTCTAGCTGTGTGTTTGATCATAGACAGGTTAGAAAACAAGTCCAGTTATGCTTTAATTCAGAAGCTAGCCTCATTGAACTTACTTTCCAAGTAACTGCGGAATTTATTCCCAGCTAAATGTGTGCTTATGAGCATATCCTTAATTCATCTGAGAGATGTATCATATGTCTTTTGGGTACACTGTCCGTAGGAAGAATACCACCTTTGAATTGAATTTACATATCTCGATAAACTGGCTCCCCTTGTAGTTCATCATTTGCTTCTTTTGTTAATTCATCTTTCAGGAGAAGTATTGCATTTATTATATGTGTGATAAAATCAGTGATAAATAAAAAGGCAAGGATGGCAATCTCAGGATTCACACAGTTCTATCCTTTCCCTCCCCGTTTCATTTAAAATGTGTAGTTTGACAAGATGTATCCTAGTGGTCCAGTCTACAAATTTTGTTGTGCAAACGTTTCATTTTGTTTCTCTGACATACAGGAAAGCATGCTGTTGCAATAGTCAGTGAACCAGAAAGTGTGTAGTAGGATGTTGGAAGGGGGTGTTATTGGGTTGTTGTTTTTATTTTGATTATGTGTTTTGTTGTTTTGTGGTTTTGTTCTGTGAGCCGCCTTAGACCTCCGGGTATATTCAATAAATAAATAAATATGTTCCAACCAATTTTACAGGTGTTTGTCTTGCACAGAACTTTTGGCTTCTACCTGTGATGGTGTGTGCTGTAGGATATTTTCATTTAGTATCTCTTAGGTAAAGCGGTACTAATTAATCTGTCCTCCTTTAGCAAGGGGACAGTATCTCTTGTGTGGCTGTCTTCCCCTTTCTCCAGTAGAAAGGGCCAATTCAAATTTTGCTTCCATAGACACCCCCCGACTGCCAAAGTGGAAGGAGTCCTCACCCAGTTAGCTCCTGTCTACTCCAAGGCATAAGGGCATTGCGCAGCTTCATTGCTGTGCTGTTTCTGTCTCTCAAAGCCCATAGTGGTTCTTTCCACATACATACACATTGCAGAATAACCAGCTAATATGGGGGGGGGGGTTAGTCATTGCCAGCAGCAAGGAGGAAGGAGACATTTAGTGGTACAGTGACCCTGCTAGGCAGGGCAACCAACCCTGATCAAAAAGAAGGTGCAGCACTGGAGGCCAGGCACAAACTCCATTATGAAGGGACCAAGAAAGGCATGGTGCTGGGGGGTTCACCATCTACAAAACATTCCTTCCCTTTTGGGGTCCAGAAGATTTTCTGGGATGGTTGAATTCTGTAAGAAAGGGCAGTTCCAGAGCTTTACAGGACCCCTTTTCTGCTTCTCAAAAAGTGGCCCATTTTCATTTAGTAGCTCTGGTTACATATTTATCCTACGAATACAAGGAATCCAAATTGGTTTTGAATGGCTTATTTATTGCTGTTAATGAGGGGGCCGATCCTAATTAAAGATAATGAAGCCCTTTGGCATGTTCTCATTTAGGTGTGGGGATTAGCTATAGTTTCTGACGAAAAGCTGCTTATCACCGGTTCTGCTGACAGCGAATTGCGGGCATGGGACATCAGCTATTTCCAGGAGGTAAGAGCATAACACTTGCATCGTAACATTTGTATCTGCTTGTTTTTATGGAATTTATACGGTTCCTTTATTTGTATTCCATATCGCTGGTTGCCTCCATGAACACTTTGCAGAAGAGTGGGACGTAAATGTAAACAAATAATAATAATTTTCCTGTGCCTTGTGACATTAGTCCTTTGAATATACTGCTGCCGGTCTTGTATTAAAAGTGGCCTAGGAAGTTCTAACAATGGCCTTTTGAGGAAAAAGTCACTTCCTTGCCTTTTTCTGAACAATAAAGCTTTGTAGATGCAAAGCTGCAGGAATTATATATGGAATCTGTGACTATAATTGAAGGGATCACTTGGGTTGTGAAGCAGTCATCTATAGTTCCTCCTACACTCCCTGTTACAATATGGGAGCAATTGGAGGTGCTTCAGAGATTACTCGGCCACCCCATGGTTCCTCTCATTTCCTTCCTGTTGCTTCATTGGGTTAGGCCACATGCAGTACGAAGCTAGCTATTGGATTGCACTGGCTGGCCAAAAGGTGAATCTCTGAGAAGTTAAATAATAACAGTGACTCGCTTTCTGTTTTCATTGGGCACAGCACTGTTGGAAGTCAGTGTCTGCTCAGCATGCTTTATGCCTAATTGCCCCAGTGCTCAGTTTTAGTTGTTTCACTAACTCAGTTGTCAAGCACTTGCCTGTCCTTTGGCTTTCAAGTGTGAGCACATCTTCCATTCTGCACCTGTTAAAATGTTAAGGGAATGAAGAATTGGCTTGCAAGAGGGAAAATGGAAGTTAGAGAGTGAGGCCCTGTCGTTATTCTAAATTTATTTTACTAATTTTGGCACCATAAACAGGAACCAGACCCAAGTGAGCCAGAGTACAAGAGAAGCAAAGGGCTTGCAGACCACACTGGAGGATCTTCTGAAGAGGATAGGACAGAAGATCAGGATGAGACGGAGGATGAGGTAGTTTTCTGCTTGTGATCTTAGGGATACAACATTCATGAGTCTTCTTCAACATATGTAAAATCTGTTAAAATGTCCCCATCTGAAATGCATACAAAGGGTGAATGTGCTCTTAGTTATCACTGGGTACGTTTTCTGTGTTATTTGTGCACATGGGTCCGTATAAAAGAAAACTAAAAACTCCGAAGGGCAGAATACACAATTGTGATGGACAGTCAGGTTGGATTCAAACCATATTCATTTGGTGCCCTAAGGATTTCTTACAATGTGGGTGAGGGTGTTCAGTCTCTTCTCTCCTGCTCTTCCCCAAACAAGACCACCTGCTCCCCCTCCTTTTTTAGCAGTAATCTTCGTTCCATAGAAATGCTTTCCTTTAATGCATTGGCAAGTTGATGCAGGATCTGTGTCAGAACGTTGGTTCCTCCTTGCATTAAAAAGTCATTCTGTGCATCCTCAGATTCATTGCCGAAGCTGATCTGCTTTAAAGAGCCTTGACTGTTCCTGGACCCACAATTCTGAGACAGCTGCTCTGTAACTGGCCACTGACCCTTGGCTGCTTTTGCTGTAGTTGGAGGCAAGCAAACTATACTGTGGAAGGAGAGTCTGGGAATCCATTCTTATGGTGTACTTACCTTGGCCTGCAGTGCTAGGTTGAAGATCTCTTGATACCCTTATGTATCTGGAAGAATGTTTGACTTCCAGACCATCAGTGCTTTTAGGAGTCCTCTTGAAAGAAGCCATTTATGGTGTATTAGTACCAATTATTTGCAATACTGTCCTGAATTACTATTCTCTTCTGATGGTACGCTTTTGGTGACGTATTTTTTGAAAAAAATTGCACTATGGTTGTTTTCAATTCTTTTTGTTTGTTTTTAGCACATCCTGAGATGCGTGAAAGCTGGTTCTGTCATGCGGGAAGGAAGGGACCGAGTTGTTAATCTTGCTACCGACCGCACAGGGCGGATTCTCGCTTGCCATGTATGTTACTAGCTTTTGGAACTAACGGGGGGTGGGTGTTCCTACCTTTCTTTGAGCACTTTTCTATAGAGATTTCTGGTTTCGAGACCCCTGCAACTGACTTTGTTATCATTTTCCAAGGGAACGGACTCTGTCCTGGAAGTGTTTTATGTCCTTAGTGAACAAGAGGTTCGCAAGAAAATTGAGAGGAAGATGAAGAAAGCAAGGAAAAAAGCCAAGTAAATTCATATTGCCAATACATTTTATTTTTCTATGCTGAGAACCAATAAAGAGCTTGATTCATGTCAGGATGGAAGTGTCCTATCCTATGCAAAGGGTTTTGAATGTAGCTTCATAATCTGTGATAAATCCAACACTTGCAATTAGAATAATAGTGTGTATAACATACAAATTTACAGTTTATTTATTTTGCATGTTGCTGAGAGGCTTGGTAAAATAAAGTTCTAATCTACTGTCTTTTAAAATGCATTCTTTAATCCTTCCCCTTAAGACTTGTGTGTGGAAGGCCTTGTCAGTTTTGATGGTGCAACACAGCTGCATAATACTCTATCTGGCCCAGCTGTGTTACAAGACCTTTAATCTACTTAGCCACCTTGAGATGGAGCTTTGGGGATTTCATGGGAAATCTCAGCAATGCAGCTCTCTTCTGCCCTCTTAGCGCAGCACAAAACAAAGCAGATAACTGTTTAGTAGTACAGGATTTGGCAGAGGTGGGAAGTCTCCAATTTGCTGAAATATATTGGATAGCGGGAGAGATTGAGAAGAGCAAGTAAATTCCACCTAAGCAGTTTCAGGAGAACAAAGGGAAGGGGCACTTTGGAGTTAGTTGACACCCGTTAGAGGCTGAGTTTGGCTCAAGAGCTGCCAGTTGTCACTAGCATAACATTATCCTGTTTATGTGCATTTTTGCTCTTATTTTCTGACTCTAGCTGAGGTTGAGTTTAACATTTGTCTCATTTTTCTGGTTTTTCCTAGGAAGAGGTCAGGTGTGGAGGAGGAAGAATGTGATATCATTGTGGAGTGCAGCCTACAAGACAAGATTCAGCGTCTCACTAACATCAAAGCTTCTTCTAAAATCAAGTGAGTTCAAGGCATTAAGGGTGTTGCTCATAATTTTGATGCTCTTAAAGAGAGCTAGTGTGGCGTAATGGTTAGAACTATGACCTGGGAGACCAGGGTTCAAATCCCCACCACACAAATCCCAGAGCAATTAACAGTAAAAGCGACGAGAGAGGGAAAGGAGAGAGCTTAGAGAAGCCAAGGGTTATAAAGGATAAATGTGAGCAAGTATAGTTACATGTACGTGAGCTTTTTTTTAAGCTTGTGTGTTTCTTCCGGTGTAGATTTTGAGGGATTGGGAAACAGGTGGCATGATGCAAATGTCTGGGAGAATTCTAGGTAGTGTAGCAGGAACCCCCCACCCCAATCATTCAGTTTGTACAAACTTCACACACTCACACTCACACACTACATATGCCACACTTCTGTTATAAATTCATAGAAAAATCAACCATACATCGGATTTGCACTGTTCCATTTTTATTTTACTCCATATGACAAGGACTATCAAAGGGGGGTGGCTTGGTTCTGGTCAGCCATAATCCCTTCACCATCCCAGCACATCCACAGGAGCCCTGCCCAGTTGCTATGCCAACCCTGATGGTCCTAGACAGAAGACCATCAAGATCACAAAGAACTTGCATATGGGAGTGGATTCAGCATGGACTGAAACAAAGGACAATGATCAGATCTTCCCTCTGGGGGCAGGAAACTGCCAACTCCCCTTTGTCTCCTGGAAGTGACTCATGGGCAGGGGGAAAGGAGGAACCAGCCAGGTGACAGGACACTCAGGTTACCACCACAACTCCTCCCTCAACCCCTCCTTTCTGTAATGTATGCATGATGTCAACCCCTCCTTTCTGTAATGTATGCATGATGTTTCTGGGGGTGGGCTTGACCTAGAGGATGGGAATTTCAAAAGTTTTTATAAGGTCTTGCACACCATCTTTCTGGGTCTTTCCTCTCTCCTGCAAGTGAGGGGAACACCCTGTTGCAACAGTTCAATAAAGGCCAAGCCTACAGGCTGCTGTTTTGCTCCAAGTTATCCTGGTTGGTGTCTTTGTTTTTGTCCAAGGGAGCCCTCGGATTTTTCCGGTAACAGTAGTAAGGCACAAAAGGTGGAGGAGCTATTTAAACAAATAAGAGAATTTTGGCCGCTGAGAGTGATAGAGTGGATGAGGAGAGTTGTGCACCTTGTCAGGTTTCACATGTGGAAAATGGGCTGGGACAGACCTGGCAGTGGAGGGTTGGAGGTCAAGACAAGGAATTTGCACAGTGTAGAAGGGACCAAGAAAAGGGAATTGATGAGAGGGAGGGGTGCCACTTGACCAGAACTACAAGAGAAAGGGACGTTCTGAACTTGTGTTTTTAAAGCTATACCATTGTGCTTAGCCCCCTCAACTCTTTTATCTGCTACCTGATGTTTTCTAACAATGATGATTATTTTATTAAACAGGTCTTTTGACTTGATACTCAGCCCAAAAGGGGAGCTGAAAGCCACTGTAATGCTCCAGAACAACATAATCGAATCTTACAGCCTGAACCCAAGAGCGCAGATACCCCAAGTTATACAAGTGTCCAAAATAACTATTGGTGGTCACCGCAGTGATGTCAGAACCCTGGCATTTAGCTCGGACAACATTGCCATTCTCTCTGCTGCTGCTGAATCAGTTAAGATATGGAACAGGTATGAAATGTCTCTGACCATTGGAGGAGAAACTAGTTGCAGTAAAATGTTTACAGGAAGCATTAAACATCTTAACTTTAGATATACTGTATATTTAGATGGTTACACATTGAGTTTAGGAAGAAGCCTTTCTTTTTTGCCATTGATCTTTTGGTATCTTCTTGTAGCCACAGATGAAGCTAAAAACTTGGGGTTGTGCCAGTCACTAAACTAATTTGGCACAAGGCTTCCTTGTGGTTAAGCTTTTTGAAACGGAGGGCCATAGTCCCTTGAAAGAAAGTGATGGAGGCCTGCATATTTGGTTCTGCTCTCTTGGCATTCCTTTTCCATTCATTCTCTCTCACCCACACCACCCATTCATTCATAGTATCTCCCTTCCCCCCTGCAACATCACCCATTCGTTCACACGTATGTCAGGAATGTCATGTGTTCCCGATTTTACTGAGTCTTCCCCTGATTCTGCCTTCTCTCTATGTGTATCTTTCATGTGCCATTTCCAATCCCAGGTCTACCTTACAATGTATCCGGACCATGGCATGTGAATATGCGCTTTGTTCACTCTTCGTTCCCGGAGATCGGCAGGTCATTATAGGAACCAAGGTAAATTTCTGTACCTTCTGAACCTGAACAATCCCCCGCATGTTTCAAGTATCATCTTTAGAGGAAGTTCAGTATGTGTAACTTAGAACCATGTGGAATGTTATTCCTGGAGGCATAGCTCCTCAACAAATGGAGTCCTAAAGGGAGATGCAATTTAGTTTGTCCTAGGTATACAATCTGAGAGAAAAATCCTTATTGTACACCTAATACCTGATTTTCAGTATATTGCTTTGGCTAGATAAGCCTCGGAGCAGTAGAGAAGTATACTTCTATGTGTTTTCCAAATTACTCTGAAGACATGGGAGAAAAGAGGCTCAGGTGATGAAATTTATGGATTTGTTTGAAGGCCTGTGGTTGGGAATGTTTTCTCTTACATGGCTAACTTTGACCACAGCTATTATAACACCATATTTTTCAAACATGGAGTTATACTTCAGGTGACTTGGAAGAAAATTGCAGAGTTATAAGGAATATTATAAGGTATATTACCATACCTACTCATGAGTCAGACTGTGGATGTGTTAAACTGCTCCTGGTTGTCTTTGTCTTTAATGAGTTTTGAATTCTTCATCTATACCTTTAACCATATGAGTGTGCTAAGAGCATGGCTGTGAGTGAAAAATGAAACACAAGAGATTTCCCTGATATTGCTGTCTCTCTCCTGCACCTGGGACTTGACAAGGAACTGTCTTTTGTTTTGGCCAGAGTGTAATGCAGGGGTCAGCAAACCTTTTCAGCAGGGGGCCGGACTATATTTTGAAAAAAGAAATGAACAAATTCCTATGCCCCACAAATAACCCAGAGAAGCATTTTAAATAAAAGGACGCATTCTACTCATGCAAAAACACGCTGATTCCTGGACCGTCCGCGGGCCGGATTTAGAAGGCGATTGGGCCGGATCCGGCCCCTGTGCCTTAGTTTGCCTACCCATGGTGTAACGTCTCTATTTCTTCACCGGCATCTCCCTTGGGTGTAATTATTGAAAAATCAATAGCAGTGAAAATCATTGTTGCTAAGAGAGAGTTACAAATCAGCAAGTGCCCCGTTTGAATCTTGCCTCAACCATAAACTCATTAGGCACACCTTTTTTTCTCAGCCTCAGCCCCCTTCAACCCCAAATCTGCTTTATGGGATAAGAATGCCCACCTACTTTACAGGATTGCAAATTAAGCTGCTAAGCTGCTGTTGGGTCATTGCTCAAAATGGGATGCTATTCTAGACAGATGTAATTGAATCTGCCTGACCATCCCACTTTCCTTCTTTCTCACACTTGGAGGCTATAATGAGTTACATTCTGTAGAATTTGGAATCATCTCTGTAACTAATCATCTGGCTTTATTATTGCTTTAGACAGGGAAGCTGCAGCTATTTGATCTGGCTTCCGGGATTTTATTGGAGACCATTGATGCTCATGATGGGGGTTTGTGGTCCATATGTCCTTCTTCAGACCAGGTAATTAAAGCACGCTTTCTAATTTCTCACCATATGAACAGACTCAGGCCATGCGATTGTCATCTGAGGCCCCTCTTCATTTGCCCCCTGCTTTGGCGGTCCAGAGGGTAGCAACAAAATAATGGACATTTTCAGTGGTCGCTCCCTGCTTGTGGATTGCTCTCCTCAGGGAGGCTTGCCTGGCATCATCAATACATAGCTCTTGGTGCCAGGCGGAAACATTTCTTTTCTGCCAGGACTTTGACTCTTAATTATCTGTGGTCTTGAGTGGGTGGGATGTTTTAATCCTTTTAAAAACAGGATTGTCTTTTAAAATTTTCTTCATTTTGCTTTTATGCCAGCTTTAATGTATGTGTTTGTTTCACTTTAAGTTACCATGGTAAAAAAGTGACCAATAAATTTAAATAATAATAATTCATATGAATTATTTTAGTGGTACCACATTTAAGGATGCATTATTGTCTGTTGTTGTTGTTGTTGTTGTTGTTGTTGTTGTTGTTGTTGTTGTTATTATTATTATTATATTTATATACTACCATTTATCAAAAGATCTCAACAATTAGTGCTATCATGTATTGTGATTATGTTTTTAATATGCTTTTGTATTTTTATAGTTTTGATTGTAAATCACTTTGATACTTTTTGTAGTGGGAAGTGATCCACACATTTGATGAAATAAATCTGAATTTTCCTTTTCCTATCAGCGTGGCTTTGTTACAGGAGGTGCGGATAAATGTGTCAAGTTCTGGGAGTTTGAACTGGTGAAGGATAAGGACAGTGTCCAAAAGAGGTGAGGGTGTTTTTTCAGGAAGCAAAGCACATCTGAACTCCACATTTTGTCCTCACTCTCTTGGGAGTGTACAGTTCCCTCAAAAATACAGCACAACATTGTCTTCCCATCAGCTGACATCTGCTTCCCAACCTAAGTTTCTCTTCCCTGGGAGAATGTGGGGAAAAGGGTGGGTGTATGGCGAACATCTGAATAGGCACTAAACACCGATGTTTGGGGTCTCCTTGCCTAAGAACTTGCAATGCAGATCTAACAAAGCTTTCTGAATTTGCTGTGCAATACCAGTTCCATCAGTTTTCTGCTTATACGATCCTAGGCTTTCTGTGAAGCAGACTCGCATCTTGCAACTGGATGAAGATGTTCTCTGTGTACGGTACAGCCCCAACCAAAAGCTTTTGGCTGTAGCCTTACTGGACTGCACTGTGAAAATATTCTACACTGATACCCTCAAGGTAAGCATCTTTGGAAATTGAGGTCCAAAACTCTGGGAAGCAGTTGCCGCTTGCTGTGATGGCCTTTTGGTTCCCTCATCTTACGTGTTTTCACTGAGAGATCTTGGCAAGTCCATTATTTTTCAGTATTCTGCAAATAGGGATGCAGAACTCCCCATGTGAGTCTGTAATAAGGAGGAGGGTCCAAAGTAGTGGAATGTACGCTTTGAATGTACAAGGCCCCATGGTCTAATGCTGCCAACTTCATTTAAATGGATGTGATGTGATCAACATTGAGACTTTGGCAAGTTGCCACTCAAAAGCAGAAAATACTGGGATAGATGAACAAAGCTTTCAGCTTTTGGATGTGAGAGGATGGTGGAAAGGGCAAGGTTCTTCCACACATCTGCACACTTTTCATACATTGCTTTGAAATCTGCACACTTTTCAAACATTTCTTTGAAATGTTTTTATTGTTTTTATTGTTTGTTGTTTACAATCAAGTGGTGTATATAAAATTTATGTCATTAAATAAAGAAACCTGTAACTAGCTGATATACATGTCGTCTTCTTGCTTTCCAGTTCTTTTTGTCTCTCTATGGACACAAGTTGCCCGTGCTGTGCATGGATATCTCCTATGTGAGTATGCCATTTGTTGGAGATTTTGGCATTGTTCAGTGATGGAACTTCATATCACAGTTCTTCTGCACTACACCAGTGTGGTGTAGTGGTTAAGAGCGGTAGTCTCGTAATCTGGGGAACCGGGTTCGCATCTCCGCTCCTCCACATGCAGCTGCTGGGTGACCTTGGGCCAGTCGCACTTCTTTGAAGTCTCTCAGCCCCACTCACCTCACAGAGTGTTTGTTGTGGGGGAGGAAGGGAAAGGAGATTGTTAGCCGCTTTGAGACTCCTTCGGGGAGTGATAAAGCGGGATATCAAATCCAAACTCTTCTTCTTCTTCTCCATGACAAATGCACATTTCCCCCCCAGTTGTAAATCTTCTCTGTGCTGCTTCATGCTAGTCTCATAATTCAATACAAACTATAGAAAGGCATGAGCTGAATGAAGGCAAGAAGTTGTAGCCTCGTTAGGTTGAGGAGCTCTTGCTCCCCCAGTGGTTAGCTTGAAGGCAGCCCAAAGCTGTGTCCATACCTACTTTGGTGTGTAGACATGTAGAATCTGGGCAATGTAACTGTAGTTTTCAAATTCTGTTTTCAGTGAGAAAGTTGAGTAATGGGGAGAGGCTGATTCATTTTCTCTGGCAGCGTGCAGCAACATGAGATTGTCGTTCTTTTAACTTTTGGAAGTTATGTGCACTGATTGGAATATCGAAGTGCTTGTCTATTGGAACATTCCATGGGGCATAAATGGCTGCTGTAATTAAAATCAGAGGATAACACAGAGCTTCTTGGAGCCTGAGTGCTGCTTGCCTAACTGCTGGTAGGGATACCCGTATTAGGTGCACTGAAATAAGACACCTAGAGTTGGCTGCCTGATGATGAGAGCTAAGAAATTAATTTGCTTCACTTTCCTTGAAGCATAACGCAAGACCTTGTTCTGATTCAAAAAAGTGCGTCTTACTTGACAGGACGATAAATGGAAGCTGGGGGTAATCATGCTCTCACATCCACAACTGAGTTCCCTTTTCTTTCATTTTTTTGTTATAGGATGGGGCATTAATTGCAACTGGCTCTGCTGACAGGAACGTGAAGATCTGGGGCTTGGACTTTGGAGATTGCCACAAGTCTCTCTTTGCCCATGACGACAGGTGGGCAGATATCAAAGGCCACCTAGATGCCCCTGGTGTAGCATTTCTCCCCGCCCCCAAAACTAGGTTTTTCTGGTGCTTAAGTTCACAATTGTCATAGCCTCTGTGGAGTCCAACATATGGGGCTGCATTCTGCAAGCTCTAGGCTAGAATGCCGGTTAAGTTGGCCTTGCTGAATTTTCTAGTCTGGAGCCTGCAGAATGCTTCTTTCTATCCCCTTAACTTTGGCATCAGACACCTCAGTGGAAGGGCAGGTCACAGGGTCTCCCCTGCACAGTTCTGTCACCATTCATTGGTTTCCCAGTTTAGGAATATTAAACATGTTTCTATGAGTTGATCATGCTGTACGGTGTGGGTTTTCTTATTGTGGATTTGCACTTGTGGTACTTAAGGGACCAGGGTTGCAGGGCAGGCGTTCACTGCTTGTGTCTATGTGTTTTGGGATCTGAGTTTTTGTAGGAAAGAGAAGCCACAGTGTTTTAGCCCTGAGCTTTTGCTTCCCTTCAAGACATCACACAACTTGCTAGCCCTTTCTGTTCACAAAACCCATGAAAACAGTTCAAGGAAAATACTGGTGATAGCTAGTTAAGTCATGCTTGGAACAGAACCACTGATTTCAGTAAGTCTACTCTCAGTAAGTCTACTAACATTGAATATCATCTCACTGGAGAAATCCCTGGTGCTCCTATCATTTTAAGTTGAATGCGACATAATGTTGCATCAGTGGTGCTGATGGGGCTTCTGATGACAGCAGCAGATACTTCTTGGCTCTCCTTGAGTGCTGTTGCATGGCTGCTAGTGTTTCTTTTAAAAGCACCTGGGCTTCTGGAATGGAAGCCACAGACTCCAGAGGGAAGGAATAAGGACAGGAGAATGGAAGGAAGAGGCAACTGAAGTCATAGCTGCATGTATCTTTCCCCCTTTCTAAATAACCTCTGAGAAATGTAGAAATGTTACTATGAATGTTGTGTTGGAAATGGTAGTGAACTGATACTCCATATCTTTCTCTTATTCTCTTTAGTGTGATGTTTCTTCAGTTTGTACCCAAGTCCCACCTCTTCTTTACAGCAGGGAAGGATCGCAAGATTAAGCAGTGGGATGCTGATAAGTTTGAGCATATCCAAACCCTGGAGGTAAAATAGGAGATGTGTGTATTTGCCAATCTGGAAGCAGTGGTCGCTTCTGTTGATTGCTCCTCACTATCTGCATCTCTGATTTGTAGGGGCATCACCAGGAAGTGTGGTGTTTGGCACTCAGTCCCAACGGAGACTTTCTCGTCTCCTCTTCTCATGACAAATCGTTGCGTCTCTGGGAAAGGACAAGGGAGCCCATTGTTCTGGAGGAGGAGAGAGAGATGGTAAGAAATGTCATCCTGTGTAAGAGGGTACCTTTGGTATCCACTCTTAATCTTAAAAGGGATCCAGATTCCAGTTCTTGTGCAGCTTTTCCTTTTAAAAATAACTAAATAAATTTGTGTGTCCATATTTTGTGGCATTCTTTCCAAGGTTTTTTTTTTTTAGTTACTTTTGACGTAAAAGGACCATGGGAAGGAGATATGTACTGGAAAATGTGCTGCTTCAGGTATTCTGAATTTGAAGCAGGTGTGTTTTAGTGCTTGCTAATGCTGACAAACCGAATTATTTTCCTCTGCAGCAAAGAGAAATGGAGTATGAAGACAGTGTAGCAAAGGAGGACCAGCCCGTGGTAAGTAATACATGTTTGCACATTCAAATGTTCTTGCTCCCAAGTCAAGCAGTGGAGTTTCCTGGGAGTCTCAAGATGCGATTCTCCAGCTACAATGGAAAGCACACATTTCAGTGCATTGGGGGATGTAAAATATGTCAGCTCACATTTCTTGACTGTGTTTGTGCGTGACATTTCAAATGCATGTTTTGGGTTACCGATTAGATTGAGCTTGGAGATAACGTGAACACTTGCTCTGGTAATTAAAGTAACATTCAGTTCTAGTTTGTGCCAGAATTTTCACTTAATCTGCTTTCCAGAAAACCATCATATGCATTTTGGCTTACCACTTACAAAGCGCCAGAAATGTTCTGCACACATATTAGACAGCCCTTGCTTGCAGGCTCACAATTGTAGTACAGAAGGAACGCAAGCATTGGAGTAGCTGCTTCTTCATTGAATGATGGATGGGACCAAGTTGATGTTTTTCCAGGGAGGCAGGTAGTGCAACCTTCCAGTGGCCCCTACTAGATGGTAGAGGCCAGAATGTGCCTCCCCTAGTTTTGCAGTCCCAGGGGAGGGGAAAAGCAAGCTTCCTGCACACCTTTTTCTGGACCATGTCATGTTGCTCTCCTCCTGCTTGAGTGAGGCAGGGGAGCAGTTTCCCACCGGAAACAATACCATGATTATTTCAGATCCCAAGAAGCAGGTGTGCTGGAAAGCTAACTGCTTGAAGATTTTCTGAGGAGTGTATTCAACTAACTTTTACTCAGGTCCAAAAACTTCAGTGGGTCTACTCTGAATAATAGTTAACTAAAACGCTGTATTTGATTCTAAGTGAGATCTTAACATTTCTAAACAAATTAAATAGATATTAGTTGGTAATCCACCAGTTCAGTTGATGAAATATGCAAGGAAATGAATTTAACAGAATTCAGCATTGCCCAGACAGGGTCAGCTATGCTTCAGTGCAGCAACATTCTGGTGTTTCTGTAGTGGAAGAACATAAACAAAAGAGCAAAATGTAAACTGCTTAGGTGGTCTTTGTCAACTAAGCAGTATACAAATCTTGTAAAATAAAACGAGAGAATTGCCCTTAGTAGTAACCCTCAGCACCCACTTCAGTCTGGAAGCAACAGCAGCTCATAATTTTACCACAGCAGACCTGTTGCTGTTTTATATGCCTCGTGTCACTTGGTTCATAATTTCTTCCCTTCTAATGAAACAGGGAGACATATTGGCACTGTGTTGCTGTTGGCATCTGTCTGTCTTGAGAGACACTTTGGGGGGTGAAGTCAAACCACTGAAGAATCACAGCATCTGCTGTGGTTGCTACAACCAGTAACTTGTAAATGCTGCCTCCCGTGTTGCTTTTGCTGCATTAGCAGCACTGAAGTGCCCTCCCCGGGGCACAAGCCTGGGCAGTGGGTAGGGAGGTCCTGGGCTGCCCAGTGACCCCTCTCGGCCTCACTGATGTGGTCCAAAGGAAAGCAAAGCAATACGTTTTGCACCAGCTTGGCTTTGCACTGAAAACTGCGACAGGTTAACCGTTCCTGTTCTGTTACCATTCAAATTCAAACACAGACCAATGCAACTGTTCTGAGGCAAACTGGAGATAAAACTGCTTTGTCCATCATGATGTTGCAGAGGCTGTGACACCATTTTGTTTTGTTTCTTTTCAGGTTCCTGGGGAGACTCAGGGAGAGGCTGGGTTAGCAGGAAAGAAGACCATTGAAACTGTCAAGGCAGTAAGTTTGACACTCCAAGTTCCTTAATGCGGGGCACTCATTAGGGAAAAAAGATGCCTTTCTGACTCTCTAGCTTGGAGTGTTCTGTTTAAAGCTCGGGTTCCATGTTAGTGCTAGGGAGTCTCTCTTAAGGAATCACAGCTTTTAAACTGAATTAGCCTTCAGCGACCTCTTCAGTGAGAGATGGAAATTGCCCATAACATGCAAGTCACGTCTTCTGTGACAGAGATGTGTTGCTGACCTCTGCAGAACTCCTCTTGATGATCACCACACTTATTTTTCTAGCAGTTCTACAGCTGTGGGAGAAAAGGCAGCACTTTCTCAGCTGCATTTTGCATGTCCTTTTGTTTCAATGGCACTTAAAGCCATGAGAGGTGGAGTGGGCACAGGGGAGGTTACAACAGTCTGCCAACCCCCAACAGCCACCTTGAGGATCAAAAGAAGAAGAAATTTCATTATTTATATGCCGCCCATCTGACTGGGTTGCCCCAGCTATTCTGAGCGGCTCCCAAATATTAAAAACACAATAAAATATCAAACATTAAAAGCTTTGCTATACAGGGCTGCCTTCAGATGTCTTCTAAAAGTCAAAGAGTTGATTTCCTTGACATCTGGTGGGAGGGCATTCCATAGGACGGGCACTACTAACAAGAAGGCCCTCTGCCTGGTTCCCTGTAACCTCCACTTGTTGCAGTGAGGGAACTGCCAGAAGACCCTTGGAGTGGGATCTCAGTGTCTGGGCTCAACGATGGGGGTGGAGATGCTCCTTCATGTAGGCAGCTATTTAGGGCTTTAAAGGTCAGCACCAACACTTTGAATTGTTCTCGGAAACATACTGGGAGATCCTTTATGTAGATCCTTTATGGCCAGTGCTACACGGTCCCTGCAGCTGCATTCTGAATTAGCTGTAGTTTCTGAGTCACCTTCAAAGGTGAGTGCATTGCCATAGTTCAACCACTCTGGCGAGACAGTGCACAGGCCTCAGCTGTCTCACCAGGTGAAAATGTGTTTGATTATTCCACCCTCTTGTGCATAATCAAATGGATGTTCAACTTTCTACTCCGCATTATCACAGCACCTTCATTTTGTCGCGCTGCTAATGTGCCATTTTTGTGTTTGTAGGCTGAACGGATCATGGAAGCCATTGAGCTGTACAGAGAAGAGACAGCCAAGCTGGAGCAGCATAAAGTGATCTGCAGAGCGGCAGGAAAAGAGGTAGGAAGGAGTTGTGGTCTGTGTTCTGTTCAGCACAGTGTGGTGCCAGTTTCTTTCTCGGAACACTTTTAAAAAAATCAAAGGGAAGCAGATCAAAAAGGGTAGCACAGTTGTTTGGTGATCTCACGATGTGTGGTGTGCAATTCATTTATTCATTTTATATGTATGCTGCTTTTCCACCAAAAAATAAATTAAAATGCTCAAAGTGGCTTACAACAAAGGAAACAGAAATACTTTTTAAACAAACACTACAAAAGGAGCTTTATAATAACATAGCAAAACAATAACATAGTACCAATTTCATAATAACAAAGCAAAACAAGGGCAAACGTAATAACATAGCAAAACCCCCGCATTTCAGTAAAATAAATATAACAGTATTACTTAAACTTTTCTGCAGAGATACGTGTGCCTGATTTGCAACCTGCTTTCTTTCTGCAGGTTCCTCTTCCAGTAAACCCTATTCTCCAGGCATATGGCAATATTTCGGTAAGTGAAGTATGGGGCTGCTTTCTGGAATTTTGAGACATGTGGAATGTTAAGCTGCCTTTTCCTGGCATTCTTGTGTTCCAGATGGTGTGCAATGCTATTGAGGGGAGGTGGGGAGTTGTCATGGGTTGGGGTATGTGTGTTTTGATTAGTTTGACTTAGTCTATTATTCTGCTGCTGCCTGTTTCGATAAAAAATAATTGAGACATTGAGACTGGTTTGCAGGCCGGACCTTTCAACACTCTGAGTGGGATGTGGGGTGGGAGTTCTTTGTAGAGCCAGAGAAATTGTTGCGAGATACAGATTTTTCCATAAGAAATTTCAGCTAGCAATGAAATCCACTCTTGCCCTTTTCTTGCAGCCTTCTGCTTACGTACTGGATGTCCTCAAGAAGGTTAAGTCAAGGTGAGTACCAGGAAGCTGCTTCAAAGTATTATGAATGGCTCATAGGTTTGACTGAAGGAGGAGCTGAGGTTGGAATAAGATGGTTACACCAAAGTTTGTGGGCTTAGGATGTATGCACATTCATGAAACATGAAAGTAGTTATTTCCTTGGAGGTTTTTAAGCAGAGGTTGGATGGCCACCTGTCATGTATGATCTAGTTGAGATTCCTGCATTGCAGGGAGTTGGATCAGATGACCCACAAGGTTCCTTACAGTTTTACGGTTCTGTGATTTTGTGTGTTGACACAGCTTGCTGTGAGAAGGTATTTGAAGTTGAGTATTTGAATCTGGAATATAATATCTGCAGGTTCTGGAGATGTACAGTACACAGAGTCCTTGACTATTGGGGTCGTAAGTTCTTTAGTGCTCATAGTGCATGGTAGGTAAAGGTAAAGGGACCTCTGACCATTAGGTCCAGTCGTGGCCGACTCTGGGGTTGCGGCGCTCATCTCGCTTTACACGGAAACACCGTTTACCTTCCCGCTGGAGCGGTACTTATTTATCTACTTGCACTTTGACGTGCTTTCGAACTGCTAGGTGGGCAGGAGCAGGGACCGAGCAACGGGAGCTCATCCGGTCACGGGGATTCGAACTGCTGACCTTCTGATCGGCAAGTCCTAGGATTTGTGGTTTAACCCACAGCGCCACACGTAGTGAGGACCAAAGTCAGTACTCTGCCACCAGAGTGCTTTGGACTGGAGATGGCAGGCATATGTGCAGGCTTTAGGAACATAGGAAGCTGCCTAGCACTTAGTCCAACCATTGACTCACTTAGCTCAGTACTGGCTGCCCTGACTGGCAACAGCAGTTCTTCAGGATCCAGGCAGGAATCCTAGAGTTGCCAGGGACTGAACCTGTGTGTGAAGCAAAGGATCTACCACTGAGCTCTGGTCCTTTCCCACTGGGAAACATGCATTGTGAGGTTGGCACTTGTGAGTCTATTTAACATTGCTTACAACTTCTTTGCAATACGGTTAGCAAACTTTCTGCAGCAATTCTTGTTACGGAATGGCAGGAAGTTTGTGTCCTGGCGGAGCTGTGGCTAGAAATTGCAAGAGTTGACATTTAAGCCTCATTCCATCCAGATGATCCCTGCTTTGCTGATCGGTCACGTGAAGTTTCTTCCTGGGAAAGCAGGCAGTAACAGTGCCAAGTGACTGTTGAAAAAGCCTTGCTTTGCTTTGGCAGAATCTGTTGCCCTGCCACCTTTGCACTAGAGAAGGGTGGTCCAACGTGCGGTCCTTTTTTGGCAGCCCTCGAAAACATTTGACAACCCCCCAACCCTCACACTACCTCCCCAAAGCCAGGCAAGTGAGGAGCTGGACTTTGGGAAGGAGGCATGAGGACTCTGGCAGCATCCTGAAGTTCTCCCAACTCCTTCCCAAAGCCTCGTTGGCACTTTTCCAGCTTTGGGAAGGAGGTGGGAGGACTCTAGGACACTGCCAGAGCCTCATGCCTCCTTCCCAAAGCCCAGCGCTTCCCCCTTCTGCATGACAAGGCAGTGTGCAGCCCATGGGTTCAGTGTCAAAGTACTCTTGTGGCTCACTTGGTATGAAAAGTTGGGTCTCCCTGTGTTAGAGGCATCCCACTGATAAGGGCTTGCTATTATAGCTTGATGCTAGGCCTGGGCGATGTATTGATACATCATTCAGGGTCGGTTTGAGGGTCAGATTGCCATAGTGTTTTGACCCAGCGGTATATCACGGGTGGGGCTTGCCGGCCAGCCGACACCTTACCTTCCTCCTCCGGTCGAGCAGGCGGACGGTCTCCTTCCTCCTTGTGCTGGGTGCCGGTGGCGGTGGGGGCGGTGGCAGTTTCACCCGAGTGCCTTGCAGGGCCTGGGCCGATGCCCCTTCCTTTTCAGCCTCGTGATGTATCATTGTATGGCGATGTTTAGCTGGTGATACATTGAAATGTTGAAACCTGAAATTGCCCAGCCCTACTTGACGCCTGGGGTGGGAGAATGCCTTACTCTCCTCTCTTCGTCACAGTGAATTGGAGGAATCTCTGCTGGTGCTGCCCTTTTCATATGTGCCCGACCTCCTTGAGCTCTTCAATCAACACCTCCAGTTGGGTTCAGAGGTGGAACTGCTATGCCGAGCTCTCCTGTTCCTTCTCAGGTAAACCCCACGGCTGAAAAGAGTGCAGGGAAGCTTCCTGGCTTTGAAGCTGGTCATGTCTAGCCCGGCACCTTGAATGGTTCTGACCAAAAGGTGAATGAGCTCTATGGTACCATAGAGACTTCCTTTTATTCTTCAAGCACAGGCTTTCTCAATGCTTCCAAGTGACATTAACTTTATTAATAGGAAAGTGTTGACAAACCATTGCCTCTTCAATCCCTCAGGCAGAGCTGTCTTTTAAGATGCTTTCTCTATCGCTTATTTCAAATAGTAATTTCCAGCTGGACAGCAAACTGAGTTGCCAAACAGCAGCACGTTCCTTAATTCTATTCAACCCTTGTATAGGGAGAAGACATCATAGTCTCTGTTTAGGTCTGGTCTTGGCAAAACCAGACTTCAGTGTGAATTGCTCTGCTACCTCTCTGTTTTCTTCCCCCTCCCCTGCAAATTGAGGCATAATGATAGCCTTAGGAGAATGCCCAGAAAGCTTAAAGGGTCTTTCATAAGCTCTGTATTTCTCCATCAGATATGTCACTTAATCATCAAACCTGGCATCTACAACATGGTGCCTCTGAGTGCAACAGCATCTCTTAATAGCTCTCCTGGCACCCGTAAGAAGCCTTTGCGCTCCTCTCCTGCCTACTTTGCCAGGAGTTTCTCCTCTCTTTGGAAGTGGGAAGGGAGCAGATTCTGCCTGGAAAACTACAGAGTTGAGAAAGGAAATGGAAGACATGTTGCTCACTCCCACTTCCTCTTTCAAATGTCTAGTTTTGTAGGTTGAGCCTGGCGCCGAGGTAGAAAGCAGAGTGACCAGGAGGGAAAGCAGAGAGAGAGAGAGAAAAGAGGAGCGGGGAGAGTGGTCTGACCAAAAAGAAATGGAAAGAGTGTGTGTTCTTTCTCTCTGGGCGACTCTGGGCTTGTTTTTAACCCCTTTTCCTTTCTGGTTGTATGTTCTTGCTTTGTTTCCTCCTCTCCTGTTGGGGAGGGTGGGTGTCTCTTTGCTTCTCCCCCCTCCCTATTTCTCTCAGTGGTCTCCTTGTTGCTTCTCCTAATCTCTTCTCTTTGGGGGATCTGTTTTTTACCATGACCAAATACAATGAGATCCAACACTGCAACAATGAACCCCCCCCCAATTGACATGACAATTCAATAGAAAAAGGACTGCCCTCCACTTTCTGTTTTACTTTACCAATGTGAAATACTTCAGATTGAAGGGTGTCATCTTGTCCATCCTTTGTAAGAGTGCACGCTCTGGGCATCTCTTAATCAACCAGGAGGCCAGAATAGAGTAGATCTTATAGATTAGTCTGGAAACCACAACTTGGCAGTCTGACAGTGAATTTTGGGTTCTCTCCCCACTCCATCCCTAGGATACACTTTGGACGGATTACAACCAATCAGCTTCTTGTTAAGGTGATGGAGGACCTGAAGAAAACCACCATCTCTAAAGTCAGCCAAGTGAGGGTAAGTAAGTGCGCATCGATGGGAAATTTACACAATCTATGGGTAAGGTATGTAAAGGGGGCAAATTTTGGGTGCCCATCTGCTTTGCCCAAGCCGCACTGCCTCTTGATCCCTCTTCCGGTGTCAGTAATGGCGTGGGACAGCAAGTAAGTTCTGGTTATCACACGTACAGTGCCATAAACCTCTAATTATGAATCTTAGTATTTGAGATTTGCATTTATTATAATAATAATTGCATCTTTGCAGATTAATCTTGTACCATTTTCCTATTTAGTTTCTTTGGTCTGTCCAGCTATGCTAGCAATGTGATGAGCTTAATCGTGGGGTCGGAGCATATGGTTGTGTTGGGGACATTGCTGCAAAAGGCCTCCGTGGCAAGCGGTCTTTGCCTTGGCTGGAACGTTTGCAAGGAATTTCCCCAGGACACCATTAGCACAACTACTGCTTCCATGGTTCGCTCAGATGGAGAGAAGCAGGGAGGCTTGTGATTGTGGTGGTGAGGACCACCCTGATTGAAAGTATTTGCTGTAGACTGGGTTTCCATCACAATCCACACCTTTCCCTCTGCCAGGAACACAGAAAAACTATCAGTGTGATTGGGATGAATAATTTTAGCAAGCACTGGTTGTGAAGGCTGTTTCAGGAGTATCTGCGTTGTGACAGTAACATGTGCATCTCTTGTAACAAAGCAGGGTTAAGCATGTGAGCTGGGAAATCCCACTTCAGCCTTGCTAGCCTATTACTTTTTCCAGATTTAGGGGCCCACCTGCAGTTAAAGGAGGATAAAGTTGGAATATTTTCTTGGGTAGTTGTGAAGATTACTGAGGAAATGAACACTGTGCTATGCTGATGGTTCTATCAGAGCAAGATTTTCGACTTCCCAGACAGAATGACCCCCTCTCCTTCCATGCACTTTTCTGGAAGTGTTCTCACTCCGAGCCAATTTTGTGGGGGGAGGTGGAGGGGAAGCCTCATCACACAAATGGAAGTCCTTGCAGGGACTTCAGCTGACAGGGTTCATTAGCTGAATCCTGCCCACTGTCTCTGACATAGTTTGGTATTAGAACAGTAGGGAAAGAACCACTGAAGTTGGCAAGTGATGGCAAAAGCATTCCACGTCTGCCTTCTTCCTGCTTCTTACGTAGGTCTACTTATGTTCTGCCTATAGGATGTGCTGGGATTTAATATGGCCGGCCTGCAGTTCCTGAAGAAAGAAATAGAAGCCAAAGATGAAGTGACTTTTTTTGCTGATGCTACTGACCGATTTGAGGAGAAAAAAAGGAAGAGAAAGAAGAAACAGAAGATGATTCTTGCAATGGTCTAATTGGGGCATTTTGGATTTGTTGCTCCAGGAGAATGTGGGTTTGTTGTCTCCAGCACAGAGGGGTGTGAGGTTCTGTGGAAGCTTAACCCGAGCTGCGTCAGGTTGTCACTCACAAATCAAAAGGGAGGGGTCAGAGAAGGATCAAAACACCGCCCCCCCTCCCCAGCTTATATTTCACCTACTGTTTGCAGCTGCTGCTTTCGCTGACCTGTGGCCTTGGCACCTTTTAAACAGACCTCTCTTCCTGCCCATCAGCGTAGTGACCTCACATCGCACAGTCCATTGGATTTCGGAATGAATCGTCACCAAGGCTAAATCATAAGGGCAGTACTCCCTGCCCTCACTCAAATGGACCAGTATTTTTGCCGGTTTTCAACAGCATTCCTCCTCCACCACCACCGTCAAAATTTGGTGCAGATGTGTTGAGTGAAGCCTTTCCCAAAATGTACTTGTTTAGCTAATCCCTAGAATTAAAACTTCTTTGCAGTCTACCATCTTCCTTTGCAATTTAAGCTTCATAGTTGTTTCTCAAGCAATTTAAACACCAGAGAGGAGAAAATGTTTTGATACATTATATCTGTTGGGTTCAGCTTGTTTCCTTTGAAGTTTTTCTGAACTAAAGTTCACTGAAGAGTTACAGAAGTTTAAAAAGCCCTCAAACGGTACATGTACTTATTCACTGAATGCATCCATCAAGCAATGTGGTGATGCATTTTCTGAGAAGGGATGCTTAGACCTTGTTTAGATGCTCCAATACGGCCACATTCCAAATGCAAACCAGTAGCTAAATTATTGTGTTAGCTCTTAAACCAAATTGGCTACAGGACTGAAAGGTCGAAGGGAAATAAGTAATATCCCTCCCTTCATCATTATCAATGTGTCTCAGGTGTTCAAGACATTTTGCATTGTCTGCTCTTGAATAAACTGAAGAGATTTGTATTAATTTGTTCACAGAAGCAAACTTATCCACTACTCACATTTGGCTCAGTTCAGGAGTTGCCAGCTTCTGAAACAGCTTTAGGGAGCTGGGGATGGGTGCTTGTGTTGCATGTCAAGGGGGTTTTCTGAGTGTCTATTAGATTGTGATGGTGAAGGTTATTCATGCATGGTGTGTGAGTCTGAGATGAATGGCAGAATTTAGAAGCTTGAAGCTCATTTCTACAAACTTGAAATGCAGGATAATTCCTTTCGCATGCCAGTTTCTTTATCCAAGCTAGGGCACTCAAAAACCACCACCAGAGGTTAAATAAGGAGGCACACACTTACATGGGAGTTTTTAATAGAATTTCATAGTTAACCCCACTGAACTCAAGATGGTTTACTTCAAAGCAGATATATAGGATTGTACTGCAAGTTACATTTAAATCTTCTACCTTTAGTTAACAGATACATGTGCCTCATCAGCCACAAAAGCATTAATGAGACATCGCTCAGTATACCCCACTAATGTCAACCTGAGAGTGAAAGGTCCTCTTACTGCTGGAAAAGAATGGGCAGGATTCCCTTCATTTGGTTCTTAATTGCTCCATCCTATTGCTTCATGTCTTATCTTAAAACAGAAACTGAATCTGGTAAATAGTCTGACTGGATAGCTATTTCTCTCCAGTAAAACTGCTTGGTGGTAGCACAAATGGAGTGGAAAGCTCATTTCCCAGTTCCACTGTTAAATAAAATATTGTCAAAGTCCAAATCGGAGAACCACAATGACGAGGAACTAAACTTTATTGTTAAACGTTGATGCCTAAATATATATTAATAAGTATCGATGGGAAATTTTTATACTTCAAAAACATCAAGATGATATTGCTGCTAGATAATTTTACCATTGTAGGGCTGTTGTGATGTTATAATCACCATTCCAAGCCTGCCATGGTCTGTTTTGAAAAACAGCAACAATGCGAAGTTAAAAGATAGCCGGGCTGTGTTAAAAACTTCATTGTAGTTCTTGTTGCAGCATTGAAATTCCAGCGCAGGGTAATGTGACAGTTTCATCACTAAGGAAGAATATTCGCCCACTGAGTAACGAGTCTGAAACCAAGAAAACTGAAAATTTCAAAAAGTGCCTTTTTTGTAATTATTTCACTAATTTTAAGAGCACTTGTGGATAACCTCCATGTGGCCCACTGCAGGTGGCCGTCACCCTCCTGCTGTTGAATTCATCCCTTTGCTGAATTTTACCTAGCGCTCACTTCAGAAACAAATCACATTTCTCTCAGCTTGCCAAACAGCTTTAGGGCAGGCTGTGAGGAGCATGCTGAGACAGAGCCATCCCTCTCTGAATGTAAACTGCATCCCTCCCAGCCTACCAAGCAACTGGCAAGCAGAGGCAAGCGTGGATGTGACAGGGAGCAAAGGCACTCCAGGAGAGCCATGGTGTGGGCCTCCCCCCATAAATCATGCTGCAGTAGGTGAGGTCTAGCGCCGAGGGCCTTCTGGCAGTTCCCTCACTGCGAGAAGCCAAGTTACAGGGAACCAGCCAGAGGGCCTTCTCGGTGGTGGCGCCCGTCCTGTGGAACGCCCTCCCACCAGATGTCAAAGAGAAAAATAACTACCAGACTGTAATAAATGTAGGGGTTACTCGTGCGCAAGTTGGTGCCACTCCTGGCTAGGTTGCCTTGTTAAACCTTTTCTGTCTGGACAGCCCCTGCACTTCGTGGCTGTTCAGTCGCTAGCAGAATCCGTCAGTGGGCGTTTCTTAAACCTTTTCCAGCATAAAAGTTGTTTGACTCCAAGTCTCCTCCTACTCTCCCTGCGCGGAAGCCTTCTGCGCAGGGAGGGCGTGGGTAGCGGAGGACCCGTGCTCTCCTCGCTGATCTCCGGCGAGGAGTCCTGGAGCCCCTCGCCGATTCCCCCATCTGCCCCCCTTTATCCCTGGTGTTACGCTGATTTCTTTCCCCAGCTGGTGAGCCGCCTCTCCCCCTGCTGGGCCCTTCTCCAGCATCGCTTGAGAGCCTAGCCTCCGCCTCTGGCTCCGATGTCAGTTCCCTGACACAGACTTTTAGAAGACATCTGAAGACAGCCCTGTTTAGGGAAGCTTTTAATGTTTGGACTACTGTATTTTAATATTTTGTTGGAAGCCACCCAGAGTGGCTGGGGAAACCCAGCCAGATGGGCGGGGTATAAATAAAAAAATAATATTATTCTCTCCCTGCTGGAGTGGAGAGAGTATTTGAAAGCCCTGTGTGCATATGCCCAGGTCACTGGCATATGGCCCCTGAGCACTCACCCACTGTTGCTTGGGGGCAAAATGGTTGCTCACCCCTAATTTAGAGGGGAACGCTGCAACTGATCAGTTGCAGACCAGCTAAATCTGCTTCAGGAGTCAAATGCAGCAAGAAGTGTCGACAGCAGTTCCTCCTCAACCACAAGGGTTCAGTGTAGGAGCCCTGGCAGGAAGAAAAGGGGTAATTGATTTATCTTCCACTTGTTTCCAGAATGGATGCAACCTCAGCTAAAGCCGTTCCGGTCCTCTCCTACCCCAATCTCTCAAATTATCGCTATACCAGTAATCCTTGTTGTCTTAATGGTGAGGTAGGCAGTGCCATGGAACTATTTTGGACTATGACACCATTGCCGGTAGCCTCCATACAATTGGCAAGGAAGCCAGTGGCAAGGAAGCCAGTGAGTTATAAATTTCAGGGTCTTCACTTTTGGAAGATGCACTGAGATCTGCACAGTGTGGTAGGAATCAGTTATCAGAAAGTACATACTGTTCAAACGGAGTTTCCGCGCTTAAATGCAATTAAATTACTTACGTTAACCAGGTAGCTTGTGGGGTAGTATAACTCTAAAATGAGAGGTTGGGCTTTCTGAAACCAGCTGAGTGGTAGGAGCCTTTCCCCCTTGAGGATAGTTGGGGGGTCTGCTGTCATAGATGTTGCTTGTTAAGACTGGTGAAAGGCACGTTAAGGATGTTGCTTTGTGAAGCACTTGTGTGTGCCCTGTTAATATAGATAAAGAGCATCTCTCCTAACCGGCAGAGGACTGCTTTGGCCATTAGGTTCCAGCTGGCACTTCCACTTCTGGTGACAAAAAAAGCATTGCGAAACTAGTAAAGAACAGAGATGGGAGCAAGCTTCATTAACCACGAACCCCCAAATTTGGGATCCCCTGCAAACTTGTGCCATAGTTTTGCAGCTTCCTCCAAGCTGAGTAACTGATACATTCGTTGAAAAACTCTGTCAAAGCTTTGAAGGCGATCCCAAATTTCAGGGTTCATAGTTAATGAAGCTATGGGAGCAGGCTGATTCAGGAGACAAGAGCTGATGTTATTCAAGTAGAGTTTAGCTCACATCTGGGATATGAAGTTGGGTTCTCTCCAAACTCTTACTCTTTCGCTGGATGATGAAGAGCAGCTTCAATGATTAGCAGCTTTCCAAGTTCCTACAAATGGTGGAAGGGGCAGAGGTGCCACCCTGTTCCTCATTAGTATTTGGAGTTTACTAAGCAAGCATATGACAATGGCCTTCAAATAGCTGAAAGGCTGCCACACAGAAGATGGAGCAGGTGTTTTCTCTTGTTCCACAAGGCAGGACCAGAACTAATGGAAGGGAGTTGCATGGGTGGAGATTTCTACTGTTCCTGTCATTTGTTTTCTTCTTTTCTATTGTGTCTGTAAATCACTGTGAGTCATTTCCAGGAGAACCTTACAAAGAGCATCTTTACAACATCAGAAAAACATCAGAGCATATAGGATTTCAACTACGCTCAGCCAATGTTAAGGAGAAGATTTCTGGCTGAAAGGGCAGTGGGGACCACAGGATGGCCCTGTAAAAAGCTCTAAACATTTAGCCTTTATAGAATTTCTCTTCCCAAACATTAAAACAACATTTTGAAACAACTTGGGTTGCGTAAACATCTCCAAGGGTTGGAGTTTACCCCCAAAGGCACACACTTCCCATTGTCTCCCGAGAGAGACAGATGTCAACAATAAACATCTCTCTCCAAAAGTATTTTAAGGGACTGCAAAGTCTTCAAAATAAAGTAACTTGCTCAAAGTGTGTGAGTGTGTTGGGGGTGGGTGGGTGTGGAGTTTTGTGGCCGTCTGTGCAGTAAAGGCCACCAGTTTGTCCTGCACAGAAAAGCAATAAAGGATATTTGCTTCCACAGGTAGGAAAAGAGTTTCCGTTTCTGTGTAAATTTCGATCCGATGGGAAACTTCACCTGCTCCCTCACTGCCTTCTACTCCAATAGCCATAGCATAGATATCGACTTCCAGCTCTGTTTGCAACCCAGAAGCTACCTATAAAAAAATCATTAAAATTGAGCAACGCTGAACCTCCTCATGAATGGTTTTTCTCACATCATGCAGGAGGACACCAGAAACTGTAACAGTAAAAAAAAAAGGACGAAGCTGAAAGTACCCCAGATTAGTTGGACTCATGTTGAAGGCTGTTTGCTTTACCAAAAAGTGAGCAAGGACCAGGGGAACAATGGATGAGGAATGGGAGAACCTCACCTACAATGTTCAAGATGGTGCCGCCTCATAGCACGCTACAAAACAGGATGTTACACCTCCAACAGAATCTTCTTTACCAGCCTTACTATAGAGCAAGTAGCTCCCAATGTGAGCAACAAGCTGTGTGCAGAGAATTCAAATGCACCTTTTCAAAAAAAAGGATGTGTGCTCTGCACTGTTTGCTGTAGAAGAATGGGCAGTAGCAAAACAGAAACCCTTTTGGAGAAATTATTCTGAGGACTGTCCTTAGATCAGACAATTGGAATGGCTTTTGGCTTAGCAGCCTTTTTTAAACCAAATGATGTTTCTCATTGTTGCTGGGGTGGGTGGTGGTGGTTAAGCATCAGAAAATAAAATTCCCCTTTTCTTTCTTTTTAACAGAGAAGGAAAATAAAGAGCTGCAGATTTAGAAGAGCGGGGAAGTAAAACAGGCAGGAGTTCAGAAAAATCTTAAGCAAGAGAGCTGCTCTTCTTAGGCAAGGCAGGAAAAGCAACGGGAGAATGCACCTGGGGGGATGGCCATGTGCGCCTGCCTCGTGATAAATTGAGATTTGTCAGGATTATGAGAGCTGAAACTGAGATTCAGGTAGTGTTTCATAGCTTTGAATGCCTTTTTCAGAAAGCTGCTGCCACTGCAATATTGGAAACTCCTCCCTCCTAAGCAACGTCTTGAAACATTGAGGACCCCAGCACATGAAAAAAACACGACAAACACCCCCTGACTTACAGGCCCTGGGGTGTAGCACACTCGCAATCCAGTACGGGGTGGTGGTTGCTTCACCCGAAACCTGCCAAGAAACAAAGTGAGCTAGCTTGTTGGTTGGGACTGACTGGATCAGGAAGCAAGAAAATAGCAGAAACATAGAATCTTTTGCTTTTTTCATGATTGCCAAGATTTCTCTGCACCCCTTTATCATTTTGTGGAAGTCTTGCCAAACATGTAGCAGCAAGGAAACAAATATGGTGCTTCAAATAAATAAATATGCCAACCTGCAGAAATTCATCCCGATGTTCTTCAAGACTACTATGGTTTTGTAAGTGCAGCCCTCCTTGAGAACCCCAAATGACACCTTAGGTGGGATGAGAAGAAAGCCTGACATTTGCTGCGAAGCTGCTGTAGCAGAGCATGTGTGAACTTTGCCAGAAACGGGATCTTCACCCTGCATGAATGAGAAGCACGGATTAGGGAGGCCAAACGTACTCCTAATTTGAAGGCAAACTGGCCTGAGAAAAATGACCCATTATCAAGCAATCCTCCATTCACAGAACTCATACGCTTCACAGTAGACTGGCGTTCTGTGCCCAGAACCCCTAACTCAGATGCCCAACACAACCAGCATCAGACACTGATGGGCACCTAACAGCGCTGCCAGTAGTACTCTGCCCAGTGCCAACCTGGGCCCCTGCCTAGCACTGTTACCTCCCCAGAATCTCCACAGGGCCCAGATGCTTTGCTCCTGCCAGCCAATTACTTCTGTGGAAAGAATAGGGTGAGATGTTACCCAGTGGTGGTGGGCAGCAGAACTGATTATAGAAGCTATGCTGGCAATTGGTTTGGGTCTCTGGGCGATGGCCACCATCTTGGATTTTCCCAATATATGATGCCTGATGTTGCGTATTGCCTCTTGGGGAACCCAGTATTTATTTAGTCAACAAAACGTGTAAACTGCTCAACTGTAATAAATCCTCTAAGAGGTTTGCAAGAAATATGGTGGCCTTCACACATGGAACAGAGCCAAGGCCAGCTCTGCTCCCATCAGCTCTGCTGCCGGCAGCCCCTGGGGCCAGCCCTAACATTATATTCCAAGCAATATGGCAGTTTTTGTTGGGTAGAAATAACGCAAGTTGAATGTTTAAGCAGATGTACAATGGCTGACCTAGAGCTGATGGCCTGTCATGTGGGAATGCACGGAACCGTTCATAAGGCTGATTCGTCATCACATACATATGCAAAGGAAAAAGTCCAATTGTATCGACTTCAGCACGGGGAAACTCGAGCAAAATCAGCCCTTCAGTTTTGGGGTGAGTGGGGACCTAGAGGCTACAACAAATTCCCATCAACCACTCACACAGAGTGACCATCTATGAAGACAGGATGCACCTTATACTGAGCCATGCAATTATCCTTCCAGCCTAGAGTTGTCAATAGCTTTCCGACATCTCTTGCAGAGAGAAGTCTTTCCCAACCCGATTACCCAAGTTCTTTTAATTGGAGATAGAGATAGCAGAGATCAAAACGTGTGAGCTGCCATTGAACTGTGTGGCCTCCCTCTGCTTCTGATTGGCTTTGGTATTTCTCAATGGCCAATGCAAGGCTGGAGGCAGACCGTCATTTTTTAAGGTGCTAAATGTAGCGCAATAGAGCCACTTTCATTTTGTCCCACCGTTGTCTTAGGCTAAATGGATTGTGCAGGTTTCTAAGCACTATTACATCAGTATAATAACAGATGATGCATCTTAAGAAAAAAAGTGTTTTAAGAAAGAAGTTATACTTCTACCGTTTGTATTCATGGTTAGGTTAGAAATGGTGGAACAGTGGAAGATCAAGTTTCTTACCTTTCGCCTGGGTACAGAGTGTGTCTTGTCTCTCTGTATGGACACAGGCAATTTCACCTTCTCTTTCCTTGGGGATCCTGCTGCATCCACCAGAAGAGACTGGAGTTTTGGCTCAAAGACAATCTCCAATCTACTCTCAGCCATTTCTGTTGAAAACGAAGAGAGTTCCAAGGCTGACTGCAGACTCTGCACGAGTCCACTTCTACAGTTCTTGCGCAATTAACTGAGAGCTATTCGTTTTTCTTTTCTGAAATGCATGCAAGGCATGCATCCAAATATCTGCTCAAATCCCAATGACCCTTTCTGGGAGGTGTCCCCTATCTTACGTGGTTTGTTTCGGGGCCAAACTAGATGTGGTATATCAGCAGACCCATTTGTTTAAACCAAGGTGTGGCCTGACCATGAATAAAGAAAGACCCAATCACAAACAAAGGAAAGGAAGGTAAAGGGTAAAGGGACCCCTGACCATTAGGTCCAGTCGTGACCGACTCTGGGGTTGCGGCGCTCATCTCGCTTTATTGGCTGAGGGAGCCGTCGTACAGCTTCCGGGTCATGTGGCCAGCAGGACTAAGCCGCTTCTGGCGAACCAGAGCAGCACACGGAAACGCCATTTACCTTCCCACTGGAGTGGTACCTATTTATCTACTTGCACTTTGACGTGCTTTCGAACTGCTAGGTTGGCAGGAGCAGGGACTGAGCAACGGGAGCTCACCCCATCATTGCGGGGATTCAAACCACTGACCTTCTGATCGGCAAGCCCAAGAGGCTCAGTGGTTTAGACCACAGCGCCACCCGCGTCCCATTCTCCCATCCTACTCTGTGGCAAATATAGATCAGGCCCTAGCAGTCAAACTTTTTCTTCCTTGCCTTTAAATCCTCTTCCTACTCTGCCTCTGAGCCCTCATCATCCCTGCTTAGCTAGGATACTTCCATTTCTTTCATCCTTTGGCTAACAACACTTAGCTTTCTCCTATCTCTAGCTCTTCTGCTAGGTCTCTGCTAGGTTGGCAGGAGCAGGGACCGAGCAACGGGAGCTCACCCCATCGCGGGGATTTGAACCGCCGACCTTCTGATCGGCAAGTCCTAGGCTCTGTGGTTTAACCCACAGCGCCACCCGCGTCCCTTAAAAGGATAGGTACATGGGGCCAAATTTGTAGAACAAAAGAGGAACGTGGATTAGGGGATCCTAAGGCTCTTGTGCAGCAACTGCTTACTTTCCTATAGCCTCCTGTTCGAGGTACATTTCTGCAAGCCAGTCTTACTTTTGGTTCCTAAGGAGAAAGTGTCTAAGACTTTAAGGTGATAAACTCAGGGAAGGTAAGACGTGGATGGGAGCGACAGTGTGTCATCCCACCATCCCTACACTCCTTAAACCAAACTTCCATCTCTTTTCCACATGATTGGAACAGACATAGGTTTAAGCCTGCTGATCTGCTTGCTGTAATATTTACTTGGACATTAAAAGTGGATTAGCCATCTTGGGCTGCTTGCGGCTCTTTTTATTTGTTTTAGCTCAGAGTAACTTAAGTTTCACTCCCACTCTTATTATTAGCTACTTAAGGTTGTCTCACTTCCCTACATTTTCTCATATTCTTTTTCATCCCATCATCTTTCAAAGATGAAATGTGCTTTGAAAATTCAGGAGTGTCCTATTTTTTCTGGGAACTGGAATAAATTTTTTTAAAAAATAATAATAAGCAAATCAATAAAACATAAAAAGAAAACCCTTGATCCAAAAGTAGTAGCAGTCCTAATTGCAGAAGGCATGACTGTTTTTTTTTTTTATTTTGGAAGAAAAATCCCTGAAACAACATGCTACTAGTAAGAATACTTGGCATTTTTATAGCTCTCTTCCAGTGCAATCCTATGCCGCAGTTATGTCCTTTCTTAAGAGCAATGTTGCTAGCCTGTAAACACTGTCTCCCCAAATCGGCTTCTTCAAGTTTCTCCTTTGATACTTTTTCTGAACTATCCATTCTATGATACCAACAAGCTTTTGCAATTTAAGGACTGTGGGCAAACAACAATACGTTTAGACTTAAAGGTTATATTTGTAAAAGGTAAACTAACTGTAGGTACCAAAATTGGGCATCTATCACCCTGTGAAGCGTTGTACACACTTTTGTGCTTCAAGGCCTAGTTTCAGAAATTTGTGCCGTTTCAGTCTCAGAAATATAGAACACTTCAGAGGGTCTCAGAAAAGTTTCAGAGACAGATTCTTGGTAGCAGTTCCCTCTGTCTGGAATGCCCTCCCTGAATGTAGGCAGCCTTGTATAGGGAAGGTTTTAATGTTTGAGGGGCAGAGTACAAATAATAAAATGATGATTATAATTATGATTATGTGAGGCGTGTCTCCCTCCCTCATAATTAACATTCTGGAGGAATTTAAAGATGTTCCTGCTTGACCAGGTATTTCATAGCTCAAATCCATTATTCTTGGCACCCTTGAAATTAACTGTGAAATGATTGTTTGAAATGTTTGTTTGTTTGACAGCCCTGGGTTCCTTTGGGAAGAGTGAATTAGAAATAAATTAAGTAAATAATGAGATATGTTTCTATTAGTAAATGGAGTACATATTATGAAGGCACGTCAAGTCTGCAGTGCTTCACCATCCAAAGGAAACTAGCACTAAGTGCTGTCTCTAGTTTTCAACTTTGGCTCCTCCCTAAGGTAACAGTAAAGGGACCCCTGACCATTTGGTCCAGTCGTGACCGACTCTGGGGTTGCGGCGCTCATCTCGCTTTATTGGCCGAGGGAGCCGGTGTACAGCTTCCGGGTCATGTGGCCAGCATGACTAAGCCGCTTCTGGCGAACCAGAGCAGTGCACGGAAACGCCGTTTACCTTCCCGCCGGAGTGGTACCTATTTATCTACTTGCACTTTGACCTGCTTTTGAGCTGCTAGGTTCAAAACCCACAGCGCCACCCGCGTCCCTTTGGCTCCTCCCTAGGGGTAGTCAAATATCACGAAGGTCTGCTCATCTATCACTGTGCCAGCATGCAAGCCTGCTAGTTCTCAACTGCTGACAAAACTTTTACTTGTTGCCACATCTAATTTATGACTTCCTTTTCCAAGTGACCTGCCGAAATACTTTACCTGTTGTGGAGAACTCTGGGTAAACTTCAGCACAGATTACAGAATAACCTGATGAATTAGTGAGCGTACCGCCCGAAGTCTTGCTTCTGTCTGACAGCTCCAGCATTCCTAGAGAAATACAATAGTGACATTGACAAGCTAATAGTTACATTGACAAACTAACAATACAGTGGTGCCTCGCAAGACGAAATTAATCCGTTCCGCGAGAGTCTTCGTCTAGCGGTTTTTTCGTCTTGCGAAGCAAGCCCATTGACGGATTAGCGCTATTAGCGCTATTAGCGGTTTAGCGGCTATTAAAGGCTTAAAGGCTTAGGGGATTAGCTGCTAAAAGGCTATTAAAGGCTATTAAAGGCTTAGCAGATTAGATAAAGGGGGGGGAAAGCGAAAAAAAAATTTCAAGACTCGCAAGACATTTTCGTCTTGCGAAGCAAGCCCATAGGGGAATTCGTCCTGCGAAGCAACTCCAAAACGGAAAACCCTTTCGTCTAGCGGTTTTTCCGTCTTGCGAGGCATTCGTCTTGCGGGGCACCACTGTACTACAAACTTAGGGCAACCCCCCCCCGGGGGGGGGGTTGAGGTGTTTGGGAGCGAAAACGTCTGAGTTCCAGGGCGTTTGGGATCCAAGATACGACTGTAATTCAGTTTTACTAGCAAATCAGAGGTTAAACTAATCCCTTAGAAGCGCGTTCGCATGACACACCTACATACTGCAGCCGACACACTAACGTGTCACGGTACACACTTGTCTGATCTAGTCCAACTCTGATCTGCAATGCAGGAATATGCAGAAATGCAAGAATGTGAAGCTGCCCCATATGGGGATCAAACCTGCAACCTTGGCGTTATCGGTACCACGCTCCAACCAACTGAGCTATCCAGGCCAAATGTGTGAAGCTGTCCTGGAAGGGGCGGGTGAGGGAAGGAACCTGCCTCTTTATGTGATGCTACTTACCGTATTTTTTGCTCCATAAGACGCACTTTTCCCCTCCTAAAAAGTAAGGGGAAATGTGTGTGCGTCTTATGGAGCGAATGCAGGGGGGAGGCAGGCAGGAAAAGCCCCCAAGAGCCGCACACAAGCTCCGCGTGGCTCTTGTGGGCTTTTCCCCAGGAGGGAGAAGGGACTGACACGGCCAGTAGTCAGTCCCTTCTCCCTCCTCGTAGAAAAGCCCGCAGGAGCCGCACGCTCCTTAAAGGGTGCGCCGCTCCTGTGGGCTTTTGCGGGAGGTGGGGGTATTGCCATAGCCGTGCAGCCCCTCCGGCTGGGAGAGGCTGCGCGCGGCTATGGCTTCTTTAGCCACGCACAGCCTCTCCCGGCTGGAGAGGTTGCACGCTGCTATAAAGGAAGCCAAGACAGTGAGCGGGATGGATCCCGCTCGCTGTCTTGGCTTCTTTGCTCTTTGGGGCTGGGGGCAGGGAACCCGGGCTTCCCCTGGCAGCTCCAGAAGCTCTGGGAGAAGCAGACAGGCTTTTTATCTTGATTTCCCCCTCTAAAAACTAGGTGCGCCTTATGGAGCGAAAAATACGGTATGTGCCCTGTTGTGCTCTATAGTAGCACACAAGGAGCATGAGAAAGTGCTGTGCAACTTGCAGACACTGCCACCATGTCCAACTATGGAGGATGTAAGGGCAAATGGGGACCCAGCACTCACAAATTCAAGAGAGGGTCATTTAGTGTTGCAGCGTTACCTAGATTGCTTTCACCCGATTCTGTAATTGTATCCAGCAATGGTCCCTTCTTTCCTTTCTTTGAGAAGGGAGGGAGCTTTTTCGAAAGACTTTCAACATCAGGAAGCTTTAAAGAAAAAACAGAGGAGGAAATTAACTTTCTAACAAAAACAGTCAAAATATGAGTAACAAATTTATGTCCACCAGTGCCGTACACACAATTCCGTATGTCTGAGCAGTGAGAAGGGCAAAGTTATTAGGAGCAGGTTGTCAGTAGCCCAGTACAGTGTAAATGAGGTGTTTGTATTAGCCCAACTCTGTTAAACTTTCACAGCCCACTTACCTCCTTATTCAGAAATTCCATGCCAAATTCTGAACTGAAATAGGGGGGGATGACTTTGTTCCTTATCTTCATGAGACATTCCTTTCCATCCTCAATTTCCTGCCTAATTGGAAGGAAAAGAAGAAATACACAACACTATGATGATTTTACACTGTTTTATAACCAGGAATTATGGATTGCCCATAGTTAAGTCTAGAACGTTTAAAAGTGAAAAACTGGGCAAATTTGCCCCACCAGGACAGGAGAAAAACCACCCCTCCTTTCTTTCTTTGTCGAGAGAAAATGGAGTACACCTCCGGGGTGAAGTCAAAGGGCTGCATTAGCAGCACCAAAGTGACCTCCCCGGGGTGCAAGCCTGGGCAGTGTGTCTGGAGGTCCTGGGCTGCCCAGACAAGAAGACCCCACTCTTGGCCTCACTCATGTGGTCCAAAGGAAAGCAGGGCAATACTGTATTGGCCCAAATATAAGCTGCACCTGAATATACCGTATTTTTCGCTCCATTAGACACACTTTTTTCCTCTTAAAAAGGGGAAATGTGAGTGCGTCTTATGGAGAGGGAGAACTGCGCAGCGCCCCTTCAGCGACGCGCCTGTCCTGGCTTCTGCCTTAGCCCTGCGCAGCCTCTCAGGGCAGGGGGAGCCTTCATCCCGCTGCCCTGAAGAGGCTTGGCGCGGTTATCCCAGAAGCCAGAACAGCCACACGGTATCCCAGAAGCCAGATCCCTCTTCCTGTTCTGGCTTCTGGGATTCAGAATAATTTTTTCTTGTTTCCCTCCTCCCAAAACTAGGGGCGCCTTATGTGTGTGTGTGTGGGGGGGGAGAGACACTGCATTGCCAGCGGCCTTTCCCCTTCCTCGCTTTCTTCTTTCCTGTCCTTGGGGGAGAACTATGCTCCTGGTGCTGTTTGCCCCACGCTCCTTGCTGCATACCGTAAGGTCATGAATATAAGCCACACTTTTAACTTTTCATGGTCAGAATTTGGGGGGGAAGTGTGGCTTATATTCGGGCCAATACGGTACATTTGGGACCAGCGTGGCTGCAGGAGTTGCCGGAAGGAGACATACAAGGTTTGATCCAACCACCTTAGGGACTTGTCGGATTTGTGTAGGGTTTATTCCTTAGCTCTCTCTTCTCCCGAAGATATCCCGCAAGGCAGCAGGGGTTTCCAAAATCTACAGACTCAACCACATTCTTTCTCCCCCTGCACCCCACCCCAGCTTCCACTTAGGAACTTCTGAATTCTACCCTTAAACAAGCAGCACTGTTACCTGGTCTGAGCAAGCTTGACCTGCCAGAAAGATACATCCTGTGCCTCTTCCTGGCTGTACGAGAAGAAAGGAAGAAGTTCACCAAATATTATTCTTGAAATATGACACTGACATCTTATGCAAAGAAATAACACAATATATAAAATCTTTCAACAACTTTACCTTCACTTGTAAAGATTCCTGCAGCTGGCAACTGGCCTGTAATAATGCCTGTGAGTAAATAATTCACTGCCAATAGCCTCAGGTGCACTTTTTTACTTTAACATAAAACACACATCATCAGAGCCTGTGATTTAGGGCCTAGCTAAGGAAGACGACAGAATCTGCGACAACACTTATGTTAGCATAATTGTCTAGCGGTCCAGATCAGGCTAATTACAGCAACACACACCTTACAGGTAATGAGTAAGTCATGGCTGTGCATTTATGACAACATCTTATTACACTGAACTCTTACCGGAACCTCTGCCAATATTCTTCTGTTTTCTTTGCAAGTGACTCCCTTGATGGATGGTGTGAGTGTGAAGCCACTGCCTGCTCATATATTTCAGCAATATGAGCTGTAAAGCCACAAGAGAAAGCGATGTAGCAACATGTCTCAATCTGTTCTGACATTCACATACCTGTGTTGTCTTCTGTTCTGCTGCTATCACCTGATTTTATACAGGTCTTTCTTCTGCTTGATTGTCCACCAATGCAGAAATATACTATATATGCATTTTTATGTATATCATAGAGCACAGTTTATGTACATGCATATTTCAGCCGTCAATAGATACTTGTGAATTAATTACTTCCCCTGTGTTTTTGTTTTCAAAGTTAAGAAATTTCCACAGGGGTAACTATTAATCTTTTGCAGCAAGAACACCAAACAGCTTTGTGGCACGAGAACTTATTTTTCTGATTGTGAGCTGCAGAACCACTTTTTTATGAGAGTTGTAAATGAGAGACCTTTAAAATGATGTCACCTCTCCACGCATGGTCTATAAGAAGGAGGGAGGAAAGGGTTGGTGGAAGAGAAGTTTTACATCCACCAACCATTTTCACTGGCAATTCTCCTCACCAGCAGTTCTTTAACAGATATTACTTAAGCACCAGCAACAACATTTCTCTACTGGTCCCAAAATGTAATTATAAAAATAAAAAGCTAACACAGAATATTTGTGGCAGATGAAGAGAAATATTGCACACAAGACTCACTAGTGATTTTTAAAGAGCAAAGCACGTTTTCTCACTCTTACCTCTGCTGCCTAGATCTTCTGAAGGTTCTTCAAGGTTAGGGAAAGACTGCAATGAAGAAACATAGCTTGAGTTGTGTAGTTCTAAATACGTATTTTCCATGGCACTTCAGCCACACCAAATATTTAACAAACAGCTATTATGGGGCTTAAAGCCACCAAAGGCATTGGTGATACAGTGGTGTGTGTCATTCCTGCTGTCAATATGTGTGTCTGGAAGAAGATGACTATTTTGAGAGACCGGGATAGAAATATGAGGAAGATTTCCACTGCAGCACATTGCTCCTCTGCAGTCTAAAAATTAAACAGCAGACAGACCCATTATATGGATACGTATGATTACCGCTTCTGTACTTTTTACTTTTTTCTGACCTGCAAGCAAGGTTTAGACTTATTACAAGTTATTGTAAGTTTAAATTAAGTCTGCTGCAACTGGATTTCTTATGGACTGTGCCAATCCTGAATGTACTGGATGTGTGGGCCATTATGCTCATTTGCCTTCAGTAGCAGTAAAGCTCTGCTGGATGAAATACAATTGCCTCTGTTTTTTGCAACGTGTTTAAGTTTTTACTCTGCTAACCAGACATTGGAATCTGCTCTGGATCAATATTATATAGAATTTCAATGACAGTGGCACCAAGCCAGCTGGATCTAATAGAGACATTTAGCCTAGCTGCTGGTGTTGCAGAAAAGATGTTTGTATCATACTCTGCCCTCCTTCTACCCTGTCCATTTCTGTACCTTAGCTATCTCTCTACAACAGTTACCGCATTTTTCCGTGTATAACACACCCCTGTGTATAACGCGCCCCTTATTTTGGGGGATTCAAATTTAAGAAAATGTGGGTGGGGGTTTCCAGCGTTGTTGACCTCAAAAAACTTCACCCGACAGACCAACGATGGCAATCCTACATGTCACCGAAGCCACCAATTGTCTGCCCGCTCACCGCCATTCGCCAGCACAACAGCTGCAACAGCAGCCAATCGGCAGCAGCCCTTGCTTCAGCCACGAATCGATTGCCCTTCTGCAGATAACAATCTCCTGCTCGTGGCAGCAACCGCTCCCCTGCCCCACATATTAACTGCCCATGTATAAGACAACCCCACTTTTTTTACATTAAAGGTAAAGGGACCCCTGACCATTAGGTCCAGTCGTGACCGACTCTGGGGTTGCGGCGCTCATCTTGCTTTACTGGCCGAGGGAGCCGGCGTACAGCTTCCGAGTCATGTGGCCAGCATGACTCAGCCGCTTCTGGCGAACCAGAGCAGCGCACGGAAATGCTGTTTACCTTCCCACCAGAGCGGTACCTGTTTATCTACTTGCACTTTGACGTGCTTTTGAACTGCTAGGTTGGCAGGAGCAGGGACCGAGCAACGGGAGCTCACCCCATCGCAGGGATTCAAACCGCCGACCTTCTGATCAGCAAGTCCTAGGCTCTGTGGTTTAACCCACAGCGCCACCCGTGTCCCTTTTTTTACATTATTTTCTAATAAAACAATCTTGTGTTATACACCGAAAAGTACGGATGCCTTTGCAGTGCACAGCTGCTGTTAATGTCTCCCATCATCTTCATTTCCCTTTCCTTTTGTCGGCTGCAAGAGTGAGGGCATGGAAAGGAATCTCTGGCACCTGTCATCAAACACCTACTCTTCCACTCCATCCCCACAAAGAAACACCCATGCACCTTTGCAGCTTAGTTTTTAAAGCTCTTTTCTTTAACTCCTCTGCTCTGCAACCATGCTTTTAAATTTTTTATTTCTCCAATCAGCAATCAGATGTTGCCATGAATTTATGCCTTGAGTTCGGCAAGCATCACCTCCTACTTTGGAGCCATTTCCTGGTGAGGGAGCAGGGAATGAAAAGCTGCTTTTGCTAAAGCACACTTAGATAGTGTCACCTGTTACTTGCAATGGCTGTCAGGAACAGAATCTCATTTTGACCGCTCCGCCATTTACTCAACACCCACTCTTTTGTTTCTGTATTTTATTTCTGTGCCTTACTATCAAAGAAAAGAGTTCAAAGAAGTTCCATTTAAGTTTCTGATTCCAGCTGCAGCTGTGAACAGAGTGGAACTGGGCAGAGAAAAGGTTCCTGTTATGAGACAATGAAGTGAATGAAGTGCAAACCCAGAGTTTTCTGGTTCAGAAGTAATGGTTGACAATGGGTCACTACAAAGGGGAAGAAATAGGAGAATGTAAGGGAAGGAGAAAACAGACCCCAAGGTTTGGGGAAATGCAGAACTGAGCCACTGTTGTAATGAAGGCAGAGTCACTCTCCCTTATAAAGGGAATTTAAGGGAACCTGAATTTAAGGGAACAACGAAACATGCAGTCCTTACCATAACTAGCTTGAGAAGGTCAGCAGCATTTTCCTTCTCTTCTTCCATTCGTGGATCTTTAATACACATCTCTTCCATTTCTTCTTCTTCCTTCATGATTTTTTCAATGTACTCCTTAAAACCAGGGCAGTGGAGAAGAAACAGGAAAAATAAACTTTCTATAAAAAATGTTCATTAGAGTAAGCGGTGGTGAAAGTGAAAACTAACAGTTGGTTCTGTGTATGCATTTTAAAGCTTTTGTCAAATTACAATCTTCTTTTTCTTTTCTTTTTGTAGAATCAGACCTATGTGAGCCAAACGGTGGGTTTTGAGAGTCGCTTCAAGTGTGGCGGTGTTTTGAGAGAACAGGGTACCTTTAATTTCCGGTTCCTTCACACTTCTATATTGCCTGAAATAAAATTTCACGGGAAATGTGTGTGCTCCTTCTACATTGATATGGAAAGATTTTGCATCCCCCAGGGGAGGGAGACAGAAAAAATCTATTTTGTAAGTTATAGAGATACAGATAAACAGAATGAGGTGCTTCTGCTGCCTGCGTACTCCACACTATTTCTGTTCAAAGCTGTTCTGAGACAGTTACTGGTATGGAACACACATAACAATCCATTCACACAAAGTCATTTGAGTATGATTCTTTTCAGTTTGGTGTTGCTCGGCACACAAGAAACTTCAAAAATCTGAAATAAATTAAAGTGAAAAAGCACATTCGATGTGACTAAGATGCTTCTGGAACTGGTTCAAAGCTATCTGCCTGCGGAGCTCCCTACATATATCAAAATACTTCTCTCCTTTCGTAAGAGATTTTGGCAGGTTCAGTGGTAAACCTGCAGAAGGTTCCAGGTTCAGTCCCCAGCATCACTCGTTAGATCAGAAACCTGATGGCAGCAAGTGATTGAAAAGACCCCGAAGAGCCACTGAGAATCAGTTCAAAGAGAACTGGACTAGATGGGCAACAGCTCTAGCCTGGTATAAGGCAGCTTACAATATGACAACTTTGCACTGGGTCAGATGAGCCTTCAAACTGCAGTACATTATGATGAAATAAACTGCCGTTTGTTTGATACACCAAACATTTCATGAAGGAAAATAGAAGGAAAAGCAAAATGGACAAAAAGATGGGCAAAATGGGGGTGGGGGTGGACAAAAAGAATCACATTAAAGGTAAAGATAAAGGGACCCCTGACCATTAGGTCCAGTCGTGGCCGACTCTGGGGTTGCGGCGCTCATTTTGCTTTATTAGCCGAGGGAGCCGGCGTACAGCTTCTGGGTCATGTGGCCAGCATGACTAAGCCGCTTCTGGCGAACCAGAGCAGCGCACGGAAATGCCGTTTACCTTCCCGCTGGAGCGGTACCCATTTATCTACTTGCACTTTGACGTGCTTTCGAACTGCATTCCCACCCACATATTCATTAGTTTATTACAGTCATCACCATCATCACAACTTGTAACACTAGTGACACATTTAAATGGCTGAACTGCACACTGGCCCACATGCCAGGAAGTTTCTTCCACACTTTGATCCTTGGAATGTAGCCTTATGAGGCTTTGCCCTCGGGTGGGAAAAATATTGCGCCCGGGAAAGGGAAGTGGGAGTCAACAGACACTCAATGAATAGTTTCGGAGAAAAGGCTTTTATTTCTACCATCCATGAACTGGTAGAAGGAGCAAGTGTGATAGTTCACAAAAAGCATGCACGGGTTCACAGTCATGTGCACAGAGTTTATATACCCATTCCAGTTCCCTCCCCCTTTCTCCTCCTTTTCCCAGGAGTCCTGCCCCATGAGTTCCTCTGAGCATGAACAGAAAACTGTCTTGGGACTATTGGACTCTTGGCACCTTTCCCAGGAAAGGGGGGGTGAGAAGCCTTGCATGCCCAAGATGTTGCAACTAGAATGAGATAAGATTCGTTTCTCAGGCCTGAGTATTCTTGGCAATGACAGAGCCTATTCATTAGCCTTTAAAAGTAACATTTTGCCTTGCAACAGCAGAGCAAATGAGCAGATGCTTAGCTGCTGAGAAAATGATTTTGAAAAGCTTTGAGAAGCTTTGAGCCTGCTTTGGGGGGGGGGGGTGACTTCGCGCCTAGATGGGGTCACCTGTCCTTCATTCCTTCAGGAAGGTGTGAAATGACCAGTTTCACAAGTGCTTCTTTGTGTACAGGACTCTGTACTGTCAGATGAAGATGACATTTATATATGGCTGACCTGTGTGCTGAACCAAAAACTGAAAGTGACAGCCTTCTCAGTGCTGAGCCTTTGGTGTTTGTTTGATACACCAAACATTTCATGAAGGAAAATAGAAGGAAAAGCAAAATTCTGATTGCCTACTCAGAGTGACCACTGGATCGTTGGGGGGAAAGGAACTTAAAGGGCTTTGTTTTCCATATGAACCTTGATTAAACGAGAGATCTTCCTGAGCTCTGGTGCAGTACTGTAGTCTTAGTTCTTTTCTTTTCTTCTGGATCATTCATCAAGCCGGCCTCCTGGGTTGCCATCTGATCCTGCCTGGATTTTCAGTCCTGACTCCTGACTTGTTCTTTAATTCTGCTTCCTGATTTGCCTTCTAATCTTGACTTGCTCATTGGTTCTAACCCATTAAGTAGAACTTCTGGGAATTTCTTGGACATCATTTAAAGAAGGAAGGGTGAGTCCTTTAATTCAAGCTTCTCTGAGCATTCAGGTTTTTTTAGATGTACTATTGAAAGCTTAACAGATCAGCTGCGGGTTTGCTTCACTAGATCTTCACGGGGTTTGCCTTACCTTCACAGAAAGCTGCAATTTCTGCCTGAGCTCATCAGTGACTGGCGAATACTGGATCAAGCGGCGGATTTGGAGTACATTTGGACATTTCTGTATAGGTGCCGGAGAACCTGCTAACTGCTTGAATTCTATGCACAGCCCTTTCCAAGCATTCATCCCAAATGGAGGACCTGGAGTCTTTCTCTGAGTCCAAATGACAAAGAGAAAATCGAGATTTTACTTGTTATGCATTTTAGTGGGACTTTCTTCTAGGCAATGTCTTCTGGATCAACCTATCAGAAAATCTGCTTTCAGCCAGTTGCATCAGAAAGCTTGCTATCATATAACACCTGTCCTGAAAGATCTACGTTGGCTCCCAGTACGTTTCCAACCACTATTCAAAGTGTTGGTGCTGACCTTTAAAGCCCTAAACGGCCTCAGTCCAGTATTCCTGAAGGAGCGTCTCCACCCCCATCGTTCTACCTGGACACTGAGGTCCAGCTCCGAGGGCCTTCTGGAGGTTCCCTTGCTGTGAGATGCCAAGTTACAGGGAACCAGGCAGAGGGCATTCTTGGTAGTGGCGCCCACCCTGTGGAATGCCATCCCATCAGATACTCTGTTTAATATCCTGTTGGAAGCTGCCTAGAGTGGCTGGGGAAATCCAGCCACATGGGTGGGGTATAAATTATTTTTCTTCTTCATTAATTCATCATCATCATATGAACTATGTATTAGGGTAATAAACATAAAAGCCTGAATGATTATTGCTTTTGAACCTTGGATTATGTTGCTATTTATAATCATATGCCTCTCCTCATATGAAGCAGCCCAGACTCTGTGGTCATCATCTGAGGCCTCCCACAAGGAGTCTGGAGGATGGCAACACGAGAACAGGCCTTTTCTGTGGTGGTTCCCCATTTGGAAAATGCTCTCCCCAGGGAGGCACCTTTGATACATATCTTTAGGAGCCAGACAAAAACATTCCTCTCTCCTCAGGCCATTGGCTAATTCAACCATCTACTGTTACCATGTTATGCGTGTTTGTGTTTTTATATTGTAAACTGCCCTGTGATCCTTAGATGATAGTCAGAAGGGCCGGATTTAGGTTTGATGAGGCCCTCAGCTACTGAAGGTAATGGGGCCCTTTATATGTCCAGCTGTCCTTTGTCAACAACAAATTGTCGCTGTTTTTTGCGTTGAATATATGCTATATGGTAATTTATGGACCTAAGAGGTATCTAAAGCCATTTGCACACGTTGCCATGCAACCAGTCCATGCAGAATGTAGGCACCCTATATATAGAAATGAGCAAACCAGTGATATTTTAGGGAGAAGGGGAGCAGGCAGGGCCCATTACTTACATCATAGGAGCCTACACAACACAAAACACTGTTGCTGTATGTAGGTTTTTATCTTATATTTTGGAAATGCACATCCAGGTTTTTTCCCTTTAATTTTTTTGGGGGCCCCCCCAAAGAGAGTGGGGCCCTAAGCTATAGCTTGTGTAGCTTATACGTAAATCCGGCACTGATGGTCAGTACAGAAATTTAATAAATAAACAAAGTAATAAAATAATGAGCCCATTAAATAAGTCAATGATTTTACAGGCAGCATGATGAAATATTATGAAGGTTCTTAAAAGTGAAGTTAGAAATAGATTCTGATTTCCCCCAGAAGATCCTTCAGAGATGTAGCAGGAGCCGATTTTTACATGCCTAAATCGACACATCAAAATGAGGATGTTTTCTGGGTCACAAATGTTTTAATTAATCTACATCTCTTTTCTTCTCTCCCCATGTCCCAAAGGATTGCTGGGGAAATTACCTTAATGAAGCAAAGTGCAAACTCTACTAAAAGGCCAAAATTATATAAGGGACAGCATGCGGGAGCTGAAAATCTGAGGAAAGCTGTTACAGTGACATCACCAGCACCCTCTCCTAGTCATTTGCTTGGCTGGTAGAAGCGGATACGTTTGCATAGACTTTTGTGTCTAGCCAGGCAGGCAGCTGCATCAATTACAGGAGGAGAAACAGCACAGTGGTACCTCTGGTTACGAACTTAATTTGTTCTGGAAGTATGTTCTTAACCTGAAACTGTTCTTAATCTGAAGCACCACTTTAGCTAATGGGGCCTCCTGCTGCTGCCACGCCGCCGGAGCACGATTTCTGTTCTCATCCTGAAGCAAAGTTCTTAACCCGAGGTACTATTTCTGGGTTAGCGGAGTCTGTAACCTGAAGTGTATGTAACCCAAGGTACTACTGTAACTATCTAAGCTTCTATGTTCTTTATCAACACAACAAAGCATTGCACTATTTTGGCAACATTCCACCTATCTCTTCAGTAACTAAATGTAACTAACCTGAATTTGGAATGGCTAATTTCCTCCTGGAATGTTTCATGTCAAGTTGCACATTTTTTAAAAAAAGTTCTGCGACACAGAGCCTGAACAAGGTCTTCCACCCGCGGTTTCTTTTCTCATCCTGAGATAAAGTTCTTAACCCAAGGTACTACTTCTGGGTTAGCGGAGTCTGTAACCCGGAGTGTTTGTAACCCGAGGTACCACTGTACGTGGACCCAGTCCAGGCACTCCTGCCCTCAATAAATCACTGTGAATTCTTCAGATGAACATTTTTTAAAAAATTGGCCTGCCAGCCAGATCAGTGCAGTCATATCACGATCAAGTACTGAAGGAAGCAATTCTGAACGCTGCATACCTCAACTGGAGGGAAATCTTCCCAGGCCCTTGACTGGAGATTATAAGGGATGATAGTGGACGAATCTCTCTTCATCACCCATCGAGACACTTCACTCAAAGGGCGAAGTACGGTAATGCTTAGGATTCCTGGTTTGAAAGACAAATAGAAAACCCAGAGAACATCACTAGTCATTCTATCTCTGAAAAGATTCAGGTAGGTGGTCATTTTATTTTGTTTTTAGGTATTTGTAAGCTGTCCAGAGTAGCTGGGAAAACCCAGCCAAATTGGTGGGGTATAAATAATAAAATTATTATTATTATTACAACAATGATGTAAGTCTAGACAAAAAACCCGCCAGATAGCAAGAAACAGCTGTGATGAAGAGTTTTGCTTTGCCACATTCACAATAGCAAATAGATGATACACCTGGGGAAAGTAGACTTTCCCAGAAACAGAATGTTGTTCTTTGAATTTCTGAAATTGTGTGGTAGGATGTGCCCCCCCCCTCCAAAAAGCCAACTGATCATGGGGAAATTGTTATGTATAGTAATTTAATTCACTGAAATTGTAAATGCTTGCATGTGTTACTATGTGGTTAAATCTGATTGGTTGGTAACTGAATTCTAGAGAGTTTTCCGGTAGTTCTCATGTGGTTGGCTAACACTGGTCACATGGGAGGTACTTAGCGCAAAGTGAGGTTACAGGGAACCAGGTTGAGGGACTTCTCGGTAGTGGTGCCCACCCTGTGGAATGCCCTCCCATCAGAAGTCAAGGAAATAAACAACTATCTGGGCTTTTAGAAGACATCTGAAAGCAATCCTGTTAAGGGAAGATCTTAATGTTTGATGTTTTTAATATTCAGTTGGGAGCTGCCCAGAGCGGCTGGGGATACCCAGCCAGATAGGCAGGGTATAAATATTAAATTTATCATCACCATCATCGTCGTCATCAAAGCAAGACTGATCTGAATGGAGGATTGTGCTCCTACCTGGGCATTCTTGTATTGGCTCTTGTATAACTGCTGTAACTGGATCACCATACGCATCGGTCAGGTATCCCTCTGCATCCCTGGTACGGAGGAGTTCAGTCCCTGAGCCGTCAGCATACACAATGAAGAATCTAAATCATCAATCCCACACATCTGGTCAGTTCAAGTTCAGGCAAAGTACATAACGAACAAAACCAGAACAATAGAAGAATGAATGAAAAGTCAAAACTGGGCTACTATAAATTTCCCTCCAAACCATTGACTCAGTCACTTCATATGCATTGCTTTTAAAAAACCTTGGATCATTGCAATGTAGAACAACGAAGGAGGGGCAGATATGGCACAACAAATGTGGTGAGAAATAAAAGAGGACCAAGGAAACTTCAAGCAATAGTTAAAATCGTTGGCTCAGGTTGCATATATGTGTAAATAGGCCATTTATCCAAAAGACACACACACAAAAGCACTGGTTAAAATATGGCAGCTGGCCCTATAAATGACATAATGGGCAACATTTATTGATTTCCTACCTGGGTGCATGTTCTCCATATACGATTGGCAATTTAACTTCTGTGATCTCTGATTCCTTTCCATCAGCATCAATATTAGCAATGAATTCAGAAGTGCTGCCATCAGCCATGACCTGCAATGAAAAGCAAAGTCACTTGGCCATAACTATAGTTCTGGGCACTCACATCTTTGGCATTATGTATACAGAGGTTATTTCCACCTGAATCTGTAGGGAGGAACTACCTATTCCATTGTATTCAAGTCTCGTCTCTTCCTTGGAAGCCTCACCTGTTACAATCATCTATTTAAATTTAAAGGGATGGGATCATTTAAGGAAAAGAAGACTAAGTTGAAGGGCAATGACGGCGTTTTTCAAACACTTCCGTAATGCTTTAAGCCCCCCCCCATCACCCCTTGGGTGATATTTTGGGATGGTCTTCAAAGGGGGGCAAAAGTGTTCAACTGAGACCAGTTGCACAAAACCAATGTAGAGAGAGAAGGGGAGAAAGAAAGAAAGAAAGAGGCGGGGGACATCTGCTGAACATACGTTTTCATGAACATTTTGCTCAACTCTGCTTTAAAGCCTCTAATTGCTTCATCTGAAGTGGTGACATCATTCTCATCTTTCTCTCGCTTTCACCAGATAATCTGGCATGGCTTATTAAAAGGTAAAGGGACCCCTGACCACTAGGTCCAGTAGTGGCCGGCTCTGGGGTTGCGGCGCTCATCTCACTATATTGGCCGAGGGAGCCGGCGTACAGCTTCCGGGTCATGTGGCCAGCATGACTTAGCTGCTTCTGGCAAACCAGAGCAGCGCACGGAAACGCCGTTTACCTTCCCGCCGGAGTGGTACCTATTTATCTACTTGCACTTTGACGTGCTTTCGAACTGCTAGGTGGGCAGGAGCTGGGACCGAGCAACAGGAGCTCACCCTGTCACGGGGATTTGAACCACCGACCTTCTGATCAGCAAGTCCTAGGCTCTGTGGTTTAACCCACAGCGCCACTGGCATGGCTTATACAGAAGCCCTAAAAAAGAGGTATAAAATGCAAACAGAGAGGGAGCAGAGCTGGCCTCGCGGTGCATTCCCAGGAGACCTTCTCCTTCCCCAAATGTCCCTAGCTAGCTGTGGTGTAATGTGTGTGTCTACACACTTCTGCCTGATCAGCCTGTTCCCGGAGTTGTGTGTTCCATTACACGTGGCACCAAAACCAACATGACTCAAGCATCTCCCCACGAGGACTCCCCTCTTGTTCTAATGCCACCCTTCTCACATAACCACTTCACTGTGGCTTCTTGCCATAGGCCAAGCCAGTGTTATGGCCAACGCTGGCTTTTGATAACAGAGATGAAGGCATCAAATCTCAGCTCAACCACGAAGCCCCCTGCGTAAACATAAGACTAGTCACTGGCAGCATAACAGGAATTATTGTGAGGATAACACTGGGAAATGTAGGGCAAGATTATCACAAATGCTTTCCTAGAACAAAGGGATAGAAGGAACAAAAATGTAAGAAATTAAAAACATACAAATTCTCTTTGCTCGTGCATATAATCCCACATCTAGAAGAAATACATAAATACTGTACATAAACCACAGAAGGTCGCAAAATCTAAAGTGCTTGTTTTCTCAAGATCTTGGAAGCCTCATAGGTGGGAGATCAGTGGAAACCCATTGGAACAGGTTAAAAACTTTAAATACCTAGCTCATGGGTAGGCAAACTAAGGCCGGGGGCCGGATCTGGCCCAATCGCCTTCTCAATCCAGCCCGTGGATGGTCTGGGAATCAGCATGTTTTTACATGAGTAGAATGTGTGCTTTTATTTAAAATGCATCTCTTGGTTATTTGTGGGGCACAGGAATTCGTTCATCCCCTGCAAAAAATATAGTCCAGCCCCCCCACAAGGTCTAAGGGACAGTGGACCGGCCCCCTGCCGAAAAAGTTTGCTGACCCCTGACCTAGGTGTCCACTTCCAATACAACACTTCCTGGAAATACCATTGTAAGCTTGCACTTAACGGAGAGGATACTCTAGCTCTGGCTATCACCCGTTTCTTCTTTAACAGAGGGAATCTGTTCATGCCAGCTGCTCAACAATTGTAGTAATGACGTTATGGAGAATGTGGCAAGATTTTTGAGTGACGCCATAAAATGACATCACCGTAGGTCCTAAGAGCCATCTTCGTACCTCATGAAGTCTGGACAGTTTTATCCTAAAGTATCTCCAACTATGTTTCGTTAATTGTGTTGTGTTCTGATCCATGTGTACGATGCACTTTTTAAAATGCCAATAAAGCAGATTGGCTTAAAAAACAACAAACACACAAACATAAACCATAGTTGGCACTGACCAGTATTTCTGGCTTTGTGCAAAGTGCAAAGTTAGTTGAAAAGAGAAGCAAGTGCTTCCAATGTTCAACTTCTCAGAGTCATGTCAGAATAGGAGCTGGAAGCACACTAGCTGAAGGCTCTTTAAATTTATCTTAATAAATTAAAAGCCAAATGATTGACTATATATATTTTAAATAATTACAACCCAATTTAAAAGCAAACCTCGTAAAACAAATCCACACAATGAACTGCAGAACAAACTGTAGTATTTTACCTTAAAAATGTTTCCTGCCTGGTCTGTCACCTCACAGGCAATACTGGAGTTGTGTTTCATAACGTATTTCCCTGCCTGCTGATCCTCAAAATTGGATACAAGATCACTTCCACTTTTTTCAAATGCCTCTGGAGAGTAAACTGCACAACAGTTTTCATCGACGAAGAGGCAGCCTTTGTTCATGGGCAGTATCTACCACGATAATAAAGGAGGAGATTCAGCCACCCATAAATTTACTAATCAATGTAAGTGCCATGGAAATGCAGGATGAATTAGTATGAAAATGGATTGCAGTCCATCCCTTTATGCTTAACTACTTTTCATGTTGGAGAAGGAACTGGCAATCCACTCCAGTATTTTGCCAAGAAAACTCCATGGACATAAAAAAGGAGAAGCTTTGAGAAGAAAGTGGGAGTTTCCAAGGCATGCTCTGGTTCATGGGGTCATGGAGAGTTGAACACGATTAAGACGACTAAACAACAACAACAACTTTTCATGTACCTCTTCCTGCTTGCCATTTGTTAACATTTTCACTCTCGGGAATAACAGTTCACAAATGTGTGTTCTAATAATAGAGCTGTTTTAGAATACTCGCATTCATCAATTTCATATAAAACTTAGCATAACTGGAAATCTGGGGCTTGGGAAATAATGGGGCACAAAATGGACATTGTAACTCAAGGAGTTAGACTGGTGGTTCTCAAAGGGTGTGCCACAATGGTGTGGCAAGAGAGGGTGGCAAGTGCGACACGAAGATTCAAGGACAAACATTGAAACATTTCAGTATAGTATAGTATAGTACAGTATAGTATTAAAATAATTTTTATTTGCAGAATATGGATAGATATCTTTTCAGAATGAGAGCAAGAGCATCAAGGGATTCTGAAGACAATCCTAGTTGTGATCCAGAATCACCGGTCGATCAAAAAGGAGAAAGGCTCGGCTGCAAGAGTTGCCAGGAAGAGGCGCACAAGGCAGCTTCCAACCACCTTAGGGATGCCACTCCCGATTTGTGTAGGTTTTACACCTTAGCCCTTTCCTCTCCTGAAGAAGTTCCACAAGGCAGCAGGTAAGTGGTGATGTAGAAATTTAATAAAAATAATAAATAATAATAATAATAGGATACATTTTTAATTGTAGACTCACTTGGTATGTTCCTTCAGGCTTTGATATAATCGAAGTTCCATCAGCAAAGATGGCACAACACGTACTGTCCTCACAATTTGTTATGATCGTTGCAAAGTCTGGATTTTCTACACGCATGCATTTTACTTTCCTTGTGATGGTTTGGGGCTCGGTGTCTAGGAATGAAACCAGGTCGACAAACTTCAGAAGAGCATTTATACTGTGAACTGTGACAAAGCCTAAGATGAGTGGCAGAACAATGTTATTTCTCACAAGGATGGCTTCAAAACTCTTGTCATTTACTATTAAACTTGCCATCGTATCCTTGGAGCTCAGACTTATAACACTTTCTGCCAGTTGAATACTTTCCGATAAATACACTTCAATAAATTTGGTTTCTATACACAGCAGTAGCTGTTTCAACCATCTCGTTCTGCTCATTCTGCCCTGATATGTTGGCACCTTTCAGGATTTTGGACGTAGCTCATTGCATGATGAATCTCTCCCTGCTTTAAGAGAATACCAGAATTCAATGCATTGGGCAGGACGAAAGAATAAATTAAATTCTGTTCAAGATTCAAAAGTATTATCTGATGCATTACCAGCAATCAGCAACACCTGACTGAGAGCAACTGCTTATTTAACCACCATTCTTGGTGCAAAAAGGTCTGTATGTTGGTAAGAAATCATCTAAATGCCTCCATCTTGCTATATCGAGGATGAGGTTCTTCAGGCTTCCCTAGGTAAGATGGAAGATTCTGCTTGTGGCAAATATAACTTTGTTCTCTGATCATCACAATAACTGTCACAAGTGAGCAGATTGAGGACAGCCGCCACCATCAGCAGCTATACTGCAACTCTCAATCTGTTTAATCTTTGAGAACAAAAACATAGGACACCTTTCTTGTCTCTGGTCCATCACCAGGATTCAGAAGATGAATAACTAAAATCAGCTGAATGTAATTATTCAAAATAGCTTTTACAATTGATGTAAATGAATTTCTCCTTGTGGAAATGATAAAGTACTGTAATATGTTAAAGCCAACTGAAAACACAGGAATTTAAACGGTCCCACCTTTGTTTTTTTGCAATGAGAAAGGATTATACGAGAACCATGCACATACCTGTTTCTTCACTGTCAGCGGACTCAACCATTTCAACACACTCTTGGAAGAAAGTGGTTATTCTGGTGCCATCAGCATGATCTACTATTCTGGAACCATCGCTTTTCTCCACCACAACGACCATATCTTCCCTTATGGTCATTACCTGGAGAAATAGAAGATTTGTTGTTGGCATCCATCTTTCCCAAGAGGCAATTGAGGGTGCCACTGGGGTGAAGTCAAATTCTACACCAGCAGCACTGAAGTGACCTCCCTGGGGCACAAGCCTGGCCAGGGTGCATGGAGGTCCTGGTCTGCCCAGGCAATAAGGACCCCCTCTTGGCCTCACTGATGTGGTCCAGAGCAATACGTTTGGCTCTAGCTTGGTTGCAGGAATTGCCGGAAGGAGGCATATCAGGCACCATCCAACCATCATAGGGTCTCCACTCTGGATATGTATAGGGTTTACTCCAGGGGTCAACAAACTTTTTCAGCAGGGGGCCAGACTATTTTTTTTGGGGGGGGGGGGAATGAACGAATTCCTATGTCCCACAAATAACCCAGAGAAGCATTTTAAATAAAAGGGCACATTTTACTCATGTAAAAACATGCTGATTCCCGGACGTTCTGCAGGCTGGATTTAGAAGGCGATTGGGCTGGTTTTACTCCATGGGTAGGCAAACTAAGGCCCGGGGGCCGGATCCGGCCCAATCACTTTCTAAATCCGGCCCGTGGATGGTCTGGGAATCAGCATGTTTTTACATGAGCAGAATGTGTCCTTTTATTTAAAATACATCTCTGGGTTATTTGTGGGGCATAGGAATTCGTTCATTCCCCGCTCCTCCCCCCCAAATATAGTCCGGCCCCCCACAAGGTCTGAGGGACAGTAGACTGGTCCCCTGCTGAAAAAGTTTGCTGATCCCTGGTTTACTCCTTAGCCTTTCCTTCTCCTGAAGATATCTCGCAAGGCAGGAGAGGTTTAGGATCAGAGTTTTCCTTCTCCTAGATGGGCTACCTTCCCAGGTTGACGAGCCCCATCTGCCCCTCACTTCCCTCTGCAGCAGGGGCAGAAACTGCCTTCTTGATCATTGGAGCCACTATTAGTCTCATCTGCTCAATCTGCAAGAGCCTGTCTTCGCATACAGGGGAAGTTCTTAAGTCACCGAGGGTTTGAGACCCATCGGTTGCCCTCGCCAGGTTTAGCGGGCCAGTCAAAATCATTTCCAGGGTGTGGCCGCTATCACATGCTGACAGCTTCTAGGAGCCGCAGGTGAGAGCTGAGTGCAGAGTGGGGACCAAAGGAGGACAAACTACCCAAGAAAGAATGCAACAGGTCTCCCACCAGAGGTACTACACTTCCCCTAAACCCTATACGTGCCAATAGAAGAATACTGGAGTTTTATCGGTGGATTGATCCTGAACATGAAATCAGAACATTTTACAGTCGTACCTTGGTTTTCAAACAGCTTAGTTCTAGAACGTTTTGGCTCCCGAATGCCACAAACGTGGAAATGAGTGTTCCACTTTGCAAACTATTTTTTGGAAGCCGAACGTCCGACGGGGCTTCCAATTGGCTGCAGGAGCTTCCCGCAGCCAGTCAGAAACCGCGCTTTGGTTCTGAACGTTTTGGAAGTCGAACGGACTTCTGGAACGGATTCCGTTCGACTTCCGAGGTATGACTGCATTACATATTTGGGAGGTGCATGCTTGCTCCTCACACCCTTTTATTAAAAGAACGTAGTATCTTTGCATGCTTTACTATGAAAGAACTACAGAGAAACAAAAGTAGCATGTGATCACTGTGCCACTTGGAGGTAGGAGAATGCCATGGGAGATTACAAACACAGTATTACCGTTCCAGTAACTGGGTCGGTGGCCTGGTAGGCCAGCAGTGGCTTCAGGTCCAGCCTCTCTGAGCCCTTGGTGCCTATTTGAATGCCTAATGGGGTAGTGGTGATCCAGGTGCCTGCCAGGGCATCTGGGGATTGTTCCATATCCAACAGGTGATCCTGAGCAGCGACTTCAGCTGCTTCAACTTTTAGTGCCGGAGCACCCTTGGTACCTTTTCCTAGAGAAGAAGAAAAATTAGGATCACTTAAATACACTAACAGCACTATATCATCATCATCATCGCTGCTGCTACCACCACAACCTTCTGTGGGGTCAAAATTTATTTCTCCCCTGTCAGGGAACTGACATCGGAGCCTGAGGCGGAGGGAAGGCTCTCAAATGATGCTGGAGAAGGGCCAAGCAGGGAGAGAGGCAGTTCAGCAGAGGGGGAAGCAAATCAACGTTACACCAGGGATAAAGGGGGGCAGATGGGGGAATCGGCGAGAGGGCTCCAGGACTCTTCACTGGACACCAGCGGGGAGAGCACAGGTCCTCCGCTACCCACGCCCTCCCTGCGCAGAAGACTTCCGCGCAGAGAAAGTAGGAGGAGACTAGGCGTCAAACAACTTTTATGTTGGAAGAGGTTTAAGAAACGCCCACTGACAGATTCTGCTAGCGACTGAGGCAGCCACGAATTGAAGGGCTGTCCAGACAGAAAGGTTTAACAAGGCAACATAGCCAGGAGAGGCGGCAACTTACGCACGAGCAACCCCATACCCATTATATCCCCTGACGGAAAAAAATCCTACACAGAATGACAGGCAGGAACCCTGAAGTTTGGAAGACTTATTTCTTCCCATTAGCAGTAGGAATTCACTGTGGGTTCAATTTTCAGATACCTGCATAGCTTCGAAATTTGTCTGTACCAACATATTGGTGTCTTTTCACCGAAGCCAGATTAAATGTATTCCCCTCAGAAGTGCTGGATGGCAGACTGAGAGGCATCCCTTATCAAAATAGGATGTGTGCATGCTCTCAGGATGTCGAAGGTACGAGGCATATTTTATTGCATTGTGGACAATATGATCAAGATAGGGAACTATTGATTAAACCACTATTGGCAAATTGGCCGGGTCAATCTGAAGCCTACTATACCAAATATCTTCTGGACAACAAGTCCAATAATATCACAGTGGCCATGGCAAAGTTTCTTTCAGTAGTTATACAAATCAAATATCAGCATACCCATGACTAAACAAATAAGCTTCCCTGGGGGGTTTTCTGTACGAATCTGTATTTTATTCTGAATCCATTTTATGGGTCGTTGGACCGCAATAAAGATGATTATTATTATTATTATTTCTTCCTTGCTGCTCTTGGGCTGACCTTGTCTGAGAACAGAACTGGTCTTCTCTATACCACAGCTAGTCCCAAGAACAGAGAGATGAATGCTGAGGCTGCTCCTAAGGAACATGCTCACGACGATCTTTCTCAGTCAGCTGCTGACTCAACATTTTTAACGAGGTTTCAAGAGACCCTACTGACTTGCAAGAGATAGGCTTGCAAGGGGTCTTAAGGCATGGGCTTTCCCTGTCCTTCCACTTGCGAAAGATTAAAGCTCAGCCTGTGCCTTTCAATATGATCTGTTGTTACAAGTGTATGTCTAGATTAAATATATGCCCACTCTACATTAAAATCCAAACCACCCTCCTAAGAGGAACAGAAATAGTTTCCTTAGAAGAAAAAAGCATGCATTGTCTAAACGCATGCTGATACTTCCATTTTCTATTGGTTTTTCACAATTTTATATATTTTAACTTTAACCATTTCAAACATTAAAATAAAAGGTTCTTTTGAACCCTCAGACCTCCTTCCCTCCCTCCATGGGTTCCATATTTAAGATTAAATTTACTGCATCTTTTACCATTGTCCATCTGTTGTATGTCCATAGTTACCATAGTTAATTCCATATTACAAGTGTCATTACATCCCTGCCAGTGATTTTAACTGTTTACAGTGGTCTTTTAAATAAATTAAAAATTTACTCCAATCTTTTAAAAAATACTTGATCTTCCTGGTTTTGGGTACATGTTTATACTTTAATTTACCACTCCGTATCCCCAATACCTAAATGAAAGAGTGGTTTATTGTACAGAAAAGTAAGACAGAGAATATAGAGCTATACTTTACACTCATGATATATGAATGTCCTTGGATAAATGCGAGCAGCAATTAATTCATTCACACACTCTTATACAGCAAAGAGTCTCTATTTACCTAAAGGCCTACAGAGTGAGTGCAACATTTGTCTCATGAAGGTAAAGGTACCCCTGACCATTAGGTCCAGTCATGACCGACTCTGGGGTTGTGGAGCTCATCTCGCTCTATGGGCCGAGGGAGCCGGCATACAGCTTCCAGGTCATGTGGCCAGCATGACTAAGCCGCTTCTGGCGAACCAGAGCAGCGCACGGAAACGCCGTTTACCTTCCCGCCGGAGGGGCACCTATTTATCTACTTGCACTTTTACGTGTTTTCGAACTGCTAGGTTGGCAGGAGCAGGAACTGAGCAACGGGAGCTCACCCCGTCATTGCGGGGATTCGAACCGCCGACCTTCTGATCGGCAAGTCCTAGGCTCTGTTGGTTTAACCCACAGCGCCACCCGCGTCCCTTCGAGTGCAACATTTGTCTCATAAAGGTAAAGGGACCCCTGACCATTTGGTCCAGTCGTGACCAACTCTGGGGTTGCGGCGCTCATCTTGCTTTACTGGCCAAGGGAGCTGGCGTCTCATAGACATGCTTAAAAAAAGAAGGGCGAGATTTATACTATTTTGAATTGTGATTGCCATCTTGATATCAGACCAAATGGTAAAGTATGTGGGGACATAAAACATGAATCAGGCAATAAAAGTTTCAGATTACTCAGCCCCCTGACCACCTACTAGATTTCTTGGTGCTTGTATCAGGAGGAGGTGTGGCCTCTGTATGTGGTGTACTTGCAGGAGGTGGAGGTGGTAAAACAGGACCAGAATCAGGGCTTCTGATCACTGTGCCATCAGCAAACAGTATCTAGGGAAGAAAAAAAACAGTCTTAAAATCCTTAGAGTCAATGACATTTACACTCAGCAAATAGAACTATCAGGGCAATCCGAAGTAAGCCTCAATGAACTCAGTGGGACTTAAAGGTGGGACTTAAAGGTAAAGGTAAAGGTAAAGGGACCCCTGCCCGTTAGGTCCAGTCGTGACTGACTCTGGGGTTGCGGCGCTCATCTCGCTTTATTGGCCAAGGGAGCCGGTGTACAGCTTCCGAGTCATGTGGCCAGCATGACTCAGCTGCTTCTGGCGAACCAGAGCAGCGCACGGAAACGCCGTTTACCTTCCCACCGGAGCGGTACCTGTTTATCTACTTGCACTTTGACGTGCTTTTGAACTGCTAGGTTGGCAGGAGCAGGGACCGAGCAACGGGAGCTCATCCCGTCGCGGGGATTCAAACCACTGACCTTCTGATCGGCAAGTCCTAGACTCTATGGTTTAAGCCACAGCGCCACCCGCATCCCCAATGGGACACTCACAGGTAATAGGATTACAGCCTAAAATGCTCAAATATGGGTGGCATAAATGAGGAACTAGCTCAGGAAGATTTTTTGGGGGGTGGGGAAACACTGATATAGAGAAATACAATAGCAACAGACCCCTGGCTGAAAGTAACTCTTAACAGGGGCTATATTTTGAATTAAGAAATGACCTAAAGGCTAGGAACATTTGCTAAGCGCCCTGACTCACTTGTACCCACATGAGCAAAGAGAGAACTCAGAATGTTGCAGCTGAGGAGGTTTTCTTATTTACCATCACCAGCCAGACTTTTGGGCACGTAAAACTGCAGGAGGTATAAGTTGCATTTGTGGAATACTGATTTATAACTAATGCTTTTTGTGGGCTGACAAAGTGAAGAGTAACTCTACTTGGCATTTTGGGAATATGTTATAGTTAAATAAAAGTCTAAGCAGGAATTGAAATATGTACAGCCGATGGGAAATGAAGAAGGGGGATTTTGTGCTGCGGTAACCATCACTTCAGGAAATAATAAAACTGAATCTTAGTCAATGCCAAATGAATTTTGTTAGCATACCTGAGTGGATCCATCCAACATGTACTTTATGACAGTTCCTTGTCTCGTAGTAACTCTAGACACTTCCTGATCTATTGGGTTCTTCACTGCTTTTTGCAGCTGTGAGTGCTTCACCCTTTGGGGATAACTCTGCCTAGTAAATATCTCAAAAATAGATTCCCTGGCTTTGTTCGCAGGGTCCTCCTCTGTTTCAGCCTCAGCCTTGCCTTCGTTGGCCTCATCCTTTAAGGCATCATCTGCCACAGATTCATCAAGGGGCTTGACTTCGTCTGCCTTGTCTTCATTTCCTTTGGTCTTGCTTGCTATGGTTTCATGGGCCTTCACTTGCTCTTCTTTGGCTTCCGGTGTCTTCATTTCATCCGTTTTGCCCTCGTCCAATTTAGCTTCGTCTACTTTGCTTCCTTCATCTTCACTCTTGGCCTTGTTTCCCATTTCTTCACCTTTCACGGATCAAAACATGATGCCCCTTAGCAGGTAATAATTATTAGCAACTGCAAACTATGGAGCTAACTAATATATGCCAAAATATCAGGGTGGCAAATGAATGACTTCAAGATAGATATTGTCCAGATGTTACGCCCAATTTATGTTGAGAGCCATTCTATATGGATGACAGAAGTTCTACTTATTTAAACATGGAACCACAAAAACCATGTAGAAAAGTGAGGGGAATCTAAGATTAACAGCAAAAATGGACATATGGGGGACAGTGCAAAAACCCTCCCTGTGGTTGCAGATCACATCCTCTCAACCCCAGCCATAAGAAGTCTACTCACTGGTGGAAGAGAGTTCTGCACTCCTTATCTACGCACCTCTTTCAAAAATCAGACACTTGTCACCTCTGTCTACATGATCAGGGCATTTTGTGTTTAAATACACACAACTGCTGCAGTCATATTTATTTTGGCACTAAAAGTATCAGTACGTTAGTCAAAACTGCATTTAAAACGTGTTTATTAGGAGAAATTTGCACTAAAACGGTGATGGAATAAAAACAACAACCTGCCAATGGCTACGAAATGTGGATAATTTAATTTAAAAATGGGAAAATGAGAAACTGGGGGAACAAAACTTGACAGATCTTTCCATTCCTACCTATCGTACAAAGGTAAGGGTCACACCCATTGCTCCACACACCTCCCCCTGGCCCCACACACCACTGGCATACAGCCCTAAAAGATTGTTCAGGCTGAAAACAGAGCTCTCCCTTCAGACCTATATGTCATACCATTCAGCAGTCCCACCAACCTCATGTCATTATTGTTACCACATCTGCTTCTACCCCCACCTCCACCCTCACCTCTTATGCAGTTGCAGCAGATGTTGGAGAGCAAAACACAGCAAGTATCTGCAACACTTCCCTTCCAACCAGCTCCATCGTGGCATTATATGGCAGCAGACATCAGCCCTCAGTTCCCACCCATCTCCACCTGGATTCAGAATGCCTTCAAAATGAATACTTTTGCAATAGCATGTTGTGCTCGCGTAACAATGATCAGCACTAACCTGTGAATTTTTGGCCAAGAAAGGTTAGTACCAATCCATTGGGACAGGACACATTCAAACTATTGAAAACACGGATATCTGGAATAGGTGGCGTTTGGATCAACTCGTCTATATCTACCTAGAGAATAAAAGAGACACAGAAAATAGCATTTCTAAAACTATTTTTAAAAGGTAAAGGACCCCTGGACGGTTAAGCCCAGTCAAAGGCGACTATGGGGTTGCAGCACTCAACTTGCTTTCAGGCCGAGGGAGCCAGTGTTTGTCCACAGACAGTTTTCTGGGTCATGTAGCCAGAATGACTAAACCACTTCTGGCGCAATGGGACACCGTGACGGAAACCAGAGCACACAGAAACACCGTTTAGCTTCCTGCTACAATAGTACCTATTTATCTATTTGCACTGGCGTGCTTTCAAACTGCTAGGCTGGCAGGAGCTGGGACAGAGCAACGGGAGCTCACTCTGTTGTGGGGATTTGAACCGCCAATCTTCCAAACGGCAAGCCCAAGAGGCTCAGTGGTCTACACCACAGCACCACCCGCATCCTCCGTGTGCCAGTAGCGGTTTAGTCATGCTGGCCACATGACCCGGAAAGCTGTCTGTGGACAAACACCGGCTCCCTCGGCCTGAAAACGAGATGAGCGCCAGAACCCCATAGTCGCCTTTGAATGGACTTAACCATCCGGGGTCCTTTACCTCTCAGTGTACTAGGACAATGATATACATTCCCTCAGGGCTCAGGAACCATACTTAGTAGGAAATACAGCAACACCTTTTTCTCATCTTGCTTTGAAGAGTCATCTGGAGAGCCAGTCACTGTGAGACGGGAGCTCATTTTGGCAGATGGTAAGTTTTTGCCTGATTTTTCTTTAGAAGGCTTAGTCTTTCCTGTAGTTGTAGTTGTAGTAGCCGGAGTAGAAACAGGCGAAGTAACCAGAGCAGACGTGGGCACATTTACGGAAGGGATAGTCAAAATGGCCGCTAAATTGGGATCACTTTCTTCTGCAGGGGAACAAAATGGTTTCTATGAAATAGAAGAATATCACAGACATGTAAATTTCTTGTGTATTTAGGCAAACTTGGGGAAAATATGATTTTTCAAAATGTTTGTTTAAAGACAAAAGAAGAAAGTTGAAGTACAACTGGGTACCTAAGGCCACATGGAGATGATGTGCTCTTGTTCTGCGTCACTGGTTAAAATCTGAGTTTATGGGTTAGGCCTTAGGCCAAGCTCTAAGACAGGCCACAGCTGAGGATTCAATTCTGGCGAGGTTCAAAGTGCCAGAGACACAAGGTTTTGACCCATAAAGCCTTAAATACCTCAAGGACCACTGCTCCCCATAAGAAATGATCCAGACCCTGTGATCAACAGCTGAGGCCCTTCTTCGTGTGCCTCTTCCATAAGAGGTCCAGAGGGCAGCAGCACGAGAATTAAACAGATATGACAAAGATCTTAGAAAACAATTTCATAATTTTCTTCATTTTGCTTGTTTTACCTTCTGCTTTTCCTGATGCTCCATAGCAGCTAAAGGAGAGATGGATTTCATTTTCTAAGGTTGCAGAAAATGATCCAAACTTGCTCACAGCTTTCGATTGATTCAATGGTTTGTCTAAAGAAGAAGTGAAAGAAGACAACACCAGTTTTTAATATTAAATTGAGTTGCTTTCTCTCTTAAGGGGTAGCTAAGCCTTTTTGACTCTACGGTCACATTAATCCTTGGCCAACTCCCTGGGAGGAGCAAACGTTGGTTATTTCTTAGAACTTTGGTCTTTCTAATTTTCTAGGGAAACTTCAATGATATAACACTCATCATACTTTTCACATCATTTTATTTATATACAACTGATGCTAACACACTGACCTGGCTCTGGCTCTTGTTCACCTGGGGAGTCACCTCTTTCTTCATTAGTTTCTTTCTCTTGTTCACATTTCCGAGGGTCTACGATATGAATGAAGAAACAGTGGTTGTCCTTTATTACCTTCACTTTGACCAAAGTTGCCCCTAGGAGAAAAGGAAAGAAAAACAGTAAACAGAATTAAAATGGTCACCAAAGACTTGCGTTTCTGGTACCAGAGAATGAATGAGGCCAAAATTAAATAAAACAGATTGCTAGAGTATTTGCTGAACTGGTTTGCACTGGTTCCCAAGGTTAGATAGAGCTGTTTCCACATTAACTTCTCTAATTACATTTAAAATGTTAAAATGTGACTGCAAAATATTCATTCTCCAATTTTACAAAAGTAAAATGTAAGTAGCATTTAAAACATAACTTTCAATCAAATGTTTTCCTTGAGGCATAGAAATATATCCTTAGAACCAGGATTCTAATCAACTTAGTCCAGAGTTTTATTTTAGAATATGGTGCTCCTCATTATCAGTGAATGCCAAAGCATATCTCATACATTATCCTCTAAGTTTTATTACCACAGTATTATTGTGTTTATATTCCTCCTTTCTTCCAACAAGCTCCAGGAGGCATGCATTGTTTTCCTTCTCCCCATGTTATCCTCACAACAAGCCTGTAAGGTAAAGTCAGACTAGGAGACAGCAGCTGGCTGACGCTCACCCAGTGAGTTGCATGGCTGAGTGAGATTTGAACCCTGGTCTCCCATCTCTAACACTCTAACAAATGCTGGGGGGGGGTGGCAGGGGCGGAGGAAGGGGGGTGCGGTGGGGGCAGGCCACCGTGGGTGTCACCACTGTGGGGGATGATAAAATGCTGGGTGCCCAAGTGAGCCCAAGACATATGTCTCTCCTATGCCACAACAGCTGCGAGAATATTGCTAGCGAAGAATTGGAAGAAACAAGATTTACCAACTACCGAAGAATGGCAGATGAAGATGATGGACTATATGGAACTTGCCAAACTGACCAGGAGACTCCGAGACCAGGGAGAAGAGATGGCGGAAGAAGATTAGAAGAAGTTTAAGGAATATTTGAAAAAAATATGTTAATATTTAAATCTTAGAATAGCTTTGGAAGTGGATATAGGCGGTAGGGTTAGAAGTAGAAGATAGTGTATTTTATAAGTGATAAAATGTGAAGTTTTTTATGGTTAAAGTAAGTGTGGGGGGGGGGGGAAGATGGTTAGAAATTATGATATATGTAAACTGCTAAAGATGAAGTAAAATGAAAATCAGATAGGTGGGACTTGGGGAAGCCCACTTAACAATGTTTAGTAAATAAGGTTATGACAAGAATTTGTTTGTATTGTTTGTCTTTTCTGTTTTTTATTTGTGTTATAAAATGAATAAAAAAAAATGGGGGGGGGGGAGACATACGTCTCTCCTGGGAGTGACGTGGTGGCTTGGGCGCCCGCAGGCTCCGCACTGCTCCAAACAGTCTGCCCACCGCCTTGCCCTCAGCTATAGGGCAGCTGAGTGGGAGAAGGCAGACAGACTCCTCAGAGGCCCTGTGGAGCATCCGGCCCCGGCTGGCCCCGCCCCAGTGCGCAGGGCACTTGCGCCACCCCAGGTGCCCGACCGGCTTGCTCCGCCGCTGGGTGGTGCCTGAGGGAAGATGGCTCACCAATGGCGACTCAGTGAATTCTTGGCAGAGGCAAAATTCAAATCAGGAGCTCCTGATTCATAGCTTAGTCTGTTAACCACAACGCTACACTATTACTACTTCAACAGTGAAACGACTATCAATACTGATTCTAAATGCATGCTTAGAAACCCATAGAAATGCCAAGTGCGAAAGAATCACCTTTTTCAAACGTTATCCTTTCTGCCTGGATTTGTCCTCCATCAGTAGGGAACAGATATCGGGTAGTCCCTGCAACTTGAATGGGATTCTCAGCCATATTGTATCCAAGAAACTAGGACAGAACAGTTGCAGGAAAAGCTATAATTAGACAGAAGTTTTCAGCCAAGGAAAACTGGAATACTCTATCAGCAAGATGACTCCACCGCAATTTTGTGACTCATGAAGTGTGTGGTTCTTTCCTGCATCAATTTATTTCTTTATAATCGAAATTATTTCAATAAAATATAAATATTCTGAAAACCCAGGAAGTGTGTGAATTCTGCCCTTTATATAGCTATCATCTATATGGCTCCCCTCTAAGAAAAAGTGGTGCAGAACAACAAGCTCCTCCCTTCCTCTGTAGCTACACATAACCAGAGAGCTTCCATACAGTGGTATTTGTTGACTCTTGCATATGGCCATATTTTTATATTAAAAAAAACACACCTTGTGGGGTTTATTAAGAGATTTCATATACAGTGGTACCTCTGGATGTGAACGGGATCCGTTCCAGAGCCCTGTTCGCATCCTGAGTAGAACGCAACCTGTGTCTGCGTGTGCGCAGGTCGCGATTCGCCGCTTATGCCCATGCGCTTGACGTCATTTTGAGCATCTGCGCATGCGCAAGCTGCGAAACCCAGAAGTAACCCATTCCATTACTTCTGGGTTGCCGCAGGACGGAACCTGAAAAGATTTAACCCGAAGCTACTTTAACCCGAGGTATGACTGTATTTGCACACTTAAAAAAAGAAGCAGTTTTTGATAGGCTGCCATGGAGAGACAAGATATACAGGCACCATATGAAAAAAGGCAATATCTTCCTAATAGGAGTTACACACCTCATATTCTTTCACGGGTGGCTGAGGAGGGGTAATTTGTTTAGTTTGCCCGGCCAGCTTTGCCTGATCTTCAGTGTCTGGTGATTTAGCCGACTCTGGTGATCTGGACGGCGATTTTTTTTCTTTGTTCGTTTTCTTTTTGGATGCCTTTCCTTCATCAGAGGCTGCTTGCTCCTTACTCTGGCCTTTTTTCTTGCCAGGTTTCTCCTTCTTCTCGGCTTTCTTTAATTCTTTCAACCGCTCTTCCTCTAACAGCCGCTCCTGCTCTTCCTTCCAAGCCTGTCCAAACAATTAAAGACTTCAGCACCTAAATTAACATGATGGTCTTGACTTTGCAGCGCATGGAAAACTTTCCGTTTCAACCTTTTTTTGAGTCACTATTGGATTACTTTTAGTTTAACCCTCCTTCCCTCCTTTTTAAAAATGTCAATATTTTAAGTGCTTTTAATATATTATTTAAAGCCCTGTAATTATCTGTTTCCAAAACTTTTCAATACAAACTGAAAGTGTGTGTGTACAGCTTATACAAAAAAAAAAAAAAATCATTACTATTATCACTCTGCAGCTTCTGTTGCTGTCATAAGTATGTTTTATTTATTTAAGCATTTATTTAATTTGTATACCGCCCTTCATCCGAAGATCTCAGGGCGGTTCACAGCAAAAATATACAAGATAAAAACACAACATGCATAATAAAAACAGGAACAAAAACAAAACACCCTTAGGTGCATAAAAACACTTGGAACAAATGAAATTATTTTTGGATTAGGCTTTTCCCTTCCCTTTTTTGTTTTTTTGTTACCTTGAGAGAGTCATCTCTGACAAAAATGTTTTTTTCTTTCTCAACTGCAGGTTCTGGAGAAACGTCGACTTTACTTTTGGTAGGAGCTTTGAGAATTGAGATAAAGATAAAGCATTTTCAAATGTATGTTGCAACAGCAACCACCAGCTACCAAGAAAGATTTGTTAAAAGAGCAATAGAACGAATGCAACACCAAAGCTTAAAAAGTAGAGCTCAAATTCCCATATTTGGCACAAGCAATCTGGCTATTACTCTATCTCTTTCCATCATCTCATATGCTCCCTTATACTCTGAAAAAAATCATTTAAAGGCACGTTAATTTTAACTTGGCAACATTTATTTGTAAGCTACATTAAAGTATGGAGATCACGGGCCAAATTTCCTTGAGCTGTAAAAGAAAAATGTCTTCAATCTTAATAATGAGCTCGTGTGCAAGCCCTGGTAGGAGTCAATAAAGGGAGACCCCTAAGATGCAGAAATAACAACAAGAAACATATCGGTCACATACTATGGGCAAAAGACACTTCGTATCACCATCCACTGCATACTGCAATTACACATTCACAAATCACACAGCAACCCCTCTCTCATACTCCAATCTCACTAGCTATGAGGTTTGAAAAAAGGACTTTAGCCACTTTGGAAACAAATTTGGAGGGGATGGGTGAGTTTCTTGCAGAGATGGAGTGGTTAACCCTCCCCCACCAGCTACAATATCCAGGTCAACCACTGTCTCCAAACAATTAGGCTTGGAGAAAACCCTTCTATTGCAAGCAAACAAAGGTTTATTTCCAAGCCTAATTGCAGCAAGAGGGGTTATCCTTTCCAGTCCCCCCAGCTGTGGCCCTTTTTGAAAATGATCCTCCCTTGCTGCAGGTAGGCTTGAACAAAGCCTTCTATGGCACCCAAAACAAGGCCTTTGGGTGGGCAATTCCCTAACACAGGTAAATGGAGCTGGCTTATATAATTTGCTGCATGCTTCCATTCATGCCTAGAGATTGCAAGTTGTTTTCTGAATAAGAACATGGCTAAGACTGCATTCTTGTTACACATGCTTACCTGGCCCACTGAACTTACCTCTGAGTAGGCATATGTAGTAAACTTACTTTTGGACTTCTTCTGTGCAGCACCCTTTTTGCCAGTAGGTGGGGACTTGACTTCGACAGGTGCTTTTTCTGCTAACTCTTTAGCTAACCTAAGAGCTTCCAGTTCTTTTGCCATTTTTTCTTCCTGATATTTTACTTCTTCTCTTACTATCCATTCATCTATGGAAGCAGCCACCAATTCCAGGTAATTCCTGGAAAAAAGAATTTCTACTATTATCGATTATAAAACACAGTGATCAAGAATCTTTGTCTTCTCATATGAAAGAATTAAAACCCTTAAATAGTTTATATTGCATTTTATATTTAAAAATATTTCTGCATTATTAACTCTGTGGATTATTAAAAAAACAAACAAAAGCAAATCGGATCTGCACAGCAGCTGACGAAATGGTTCACCTCTGGAAACTGCTGGCTGCTATGGGGTGACAGAAAGAGAACTTGCATGCTTGACTTTTTGGAGTTTCAATCAGCACTGTGCAAGTGTGCAACTGCTTACTAGCTAGATGTGTGCTGTATGTAAACATGAGATGCTAGCATAGGCAATGGCAGCTGGTCAGCCATGCATCTGCACAGGGCAGACTGAGCTATCCTCCTCCTTCCTCACTTGTCCACCATTGCTTTCGGTTAAGGACATTAATTCTCACTCTTAAGAGCACAAAGCCCCAAATGCTGCAACCTTCCCACATCAGGGAGTTGCTTCTGTTCCTTGATCATTTGGGTTGCCCCATACTGAATGTTTTCCAACTCTGCAATATCCTGTTTCTGAGGTGTGAAGGGACACGGGTGGCGCTGTGGGTTAAACCACAGAGCCTAGGACTTGCCGATCAGAAGGTCGGCGGTTTGAATCCCCGCGACGGGGTGAGCTCCCGTTGCTCAGTCCCAGCTCTTGCCAACCTAGCAGTTCGAAAGCACGTCAAAGTGCAAGTAGATAAATAGGTACCGGTCCGGCGGGAAGGTAAATGGCGTTTCCATGCACTGCTCTGGTTCGCCAGAAGCAGCTTAGTCATGCTGGCCACATGACCCGGAAAGCTGTACGCCGGCTCCCTTGGCCAATAAAGCGAGATAAGCGTCGCAACCCCAGAGTCAGTCACGACTGGACCTAATGGTCAGGGGTCCCTTTAGCTTTTAAGCAGAACAATACTGTGATCCAAGAGTAGTCACACCATATAATGGCTTTATGGCATTGGCAACTTTATTTTCAATCCCTTTCCTCATGTTCCTTAATGTAGAATTTGCCTTTTTCACAGCTGCCACCCAGTGGGTCAACATATTCATCAAACTCTGCACTATGCTTCATTCCAGGTCCCTCACCACCTATTCCATATATTCAAAACGAAGTGTTTTGGGGTGGGAGTTTTTTGCCGCAATGTGCACCTGTTTACACTTGCTTGCACTTGCCATTCTCATCATGAATCACCATCATCTCCTTTTCATGCTGTATTCCACGCCTATGGCTTCTGGGCTATTTGGAGGCATTGCCTGAAGAACCTCTCACCTGAATCCAACGTCAGAATGCAACGCAACATTCCAGGACTCTTCAAACTGGCAACGTTGGTTCATAGGATTATGAAGGACTATCAGCAAGGAGTTATCTTGAGTGTGATAATAAGAATCAATGCACTTGTAATGCTGGATTGCATTGTGAAGAACCTGAGAACGAAAGGAAAACATAACTCAACTTTTGTAAGTGACTAGCAATGGGGAAAGGGGCATTCAGGGGAACAGTTTTAACATAAAAAACATATTTATAGCATACTTAACGTAACTTTTTTGTAACTAATACTAGACATTGATTGCCCAGATGGTGACCACCATCAGGAAAGGGACAAGGAAAGTGCAATCTAGTTGCTTTTGCTTGCAGCAGCTTTCAATACCATTGAGCAGTTTATCCTCTTGCACAGTTTCCATGGCTTGGTGGCACGGTGTTGCTGTGGCTATTATTGATTTCATTTAATGAATTTGTTAGTTGTTTTATCTTGCCCAGGGCAACCTGAAGGTTCCATTCCTACCTACAGGGTTCAGTTCAGAAAATACTGTTGGGAGATTACATGTCTACCCACTAGCAGTTGTGCCACAGGGCACTATTCTTATTTCCAATGTTGTCTAATATCTCTATAAAGGCATTGGAGCGGACATTAGGAGATTTAGGGACCAGTGTCATTAACACACTGATGACACCAGCTCTATCTTAGTTAATATACAGGCTCTGTGACAGGTTGATTGTATCATGTGTATGCAAATACATTTTATTGCAGAAGAGCTATGATGGAAGAGTAACTCCCCCTCTGCCCATAAAAAGGTGCCCAGCAAGTTCTTCATATGTAAATAAGAGAAGGAACATCTCTTTTACTAAGTCCTATGTGACCTATTTTCTGTATCAAGGGAAAGGACACTCATAGAAGTCAAGGTGGGCGCAGTAAATGACACCTCTACTCTTTCCAACAAGCAATACCTATGATGGTATCCAAGATAAAACAGAATACAAAGACAGTTTCCCCTGCTTTGGTGAAAAGCGTGCAATTAAGATTTGAAAGGGTGGCTAAATGCAAATGGTTAAGAAACATCACTCATCAGCTTTACATCTGAAGCAGGGGTATAGAAATGAAATGCTCACTATCCTTTTCTGTCCCCCCACCCCCATCATGAAGAAAAAGCAACTAAAAATACCTGGAAGAGAAGGTGTGGTTGAAAATGTTCTGCAAAACTCCAGTCTTTCAAACACCGCTGCTGGGTCTCCTGTATGGCAACTAATTCTGTATCTGTATCTGTATTTGAACGTATCTGAAGAAACACCAAGAGGTATAAAACAATCACATATAACGAAGGCCACAGAGCAGGGGTTTAAGCAGTGGTTGGATGGCCATCTGTCATGCATGATCCAGTTGAGATTCCTGCATTGCTAGGAGTTGGAGTATATAATTCTCAGGGGTCCTTTTCAACTCTACAGTTCTATGATTCTAACCTTTCTTTCTTTCTTTCTTTCTTTCTTTCTTTCTTTCTTTTGGCTTGAGAGTCACAAAACCAATTTTTAATTTAGTAAATGGGAAGACTTGGACAGATACTTCCAGATAAGCATCAACACCCATCCTGACACAAACTATCACATAGATTCGCTCTCAAATAATCTATCCAAGTAAGTTTGGCATGGATCTGTTCAGATAAAGGAGAAAGCCGCCACTAAGAATGGAAGCTGGAATGGAATGTGTCACCTGCCTCTCCTTTCAATAAAAAACTCAAAACAAGTAAAAAAGTGGGAGGGACAGGGGACGGACACCTAGATGTGAGACCAGGAAGAACTAAAAGAATTAATTAGTTCCCCAAAATGAGTACTAATAGGATTTATTACAGCTCAGTCTATTTTGGAACACAGGTTTTTTCTTCAAGAGCAATCTTGAACTTTCAAATTATATAAAGCAATGGAAACAGCTTCAACAAATACTAGCTGACCGCAACCCCAGAGTTGTTTGCGACTGGACTTAGTTAAGGGGTCAGGGGTCCTTTACCTTTACCTTTAAGTCTAGAGAACTGCCCATACTGAAAGGAGACAGAATCGCAGGCAGCACAGAATGAAAATGGGTAAGAATTTTTAACTGGTTATGATTTTAGAGTACAACAACGTTGCATTAGAAGATCCTATTCTACTTTTATTAGCGTACATATAATCTTTAAGAGGAAAGGTTTTGAATCACCAAAGAGCATCCATCTATTATATATACATTTGAAGTTAAAAACACACCGAAAATTCTCAGCTGCCATAATTCACATGTACCGACTCCACTTCCATATCATACTGTAAAGCACATTTCAACCACAGTATTTCTTACCTTATTTTCAAGAGAAGCGTTGAGATCACTCTTACATTCAGCAACCCGATCTGAAAAATAAAGCTAAATAGATGGATGGATGGATGGATGGATAAGAGATGCATACACTAACACACCCACAGACATATTTTATCTTTTCATCTGGTTGTTTGGCTGTTCCTGTTACTTAAATGCTGGTGGCACAAACTCCGTCCTGCTCTACCCTGATAAACGGTCTCTACGTTTTTTAGAGCACCGGCTTGCCTCTTTCTCACAACATTCCTCTCTCCAAATAATAATGTCTGTTTATTATAAGGATTTTCCACAAAAATCCTTGGGTCAGCAAGTGCATGAACCAGGAGCGAGAATTTGCTTCTTTATGGTGCAATCCCATTCAAAAGAAATCAATGGACTTTACTCCCAGTATATAGAATTGTAGCCTTAATTCTTTTTCTCCTTAATCTGAAATGGACAATCTTTGTGTCTTTGTGTTTCACATACACACATACTCTTTAACAATGAATGAGAAGCGAGGGTGCACCTCTGGCCGATGTGATTGGCTGAGCCTGTGTGATGCCGCAGCCAATTGGCTCATGTAGCATTCCCCCTGTTTAGCTCTGACACCTAAGCTGTGCTGTGTGCAAGGATTGCACCTGGCTTTTTCCGGCAGGAAGACTGGACCCGGGACCACCTGTTTATGAGCTCTGCTGCACTACACGGCTTGCATTCTTATTGCAGCTTTTTTGCATAGCTAAGTTTGTGGACTGGCAGCTACACTCTACTGATGGGAGTGCATAGGAGCCCAACTATGCAACAGTCTAGCATAAACTAGCTGCTGGTTCTGCCTGTTGGGATATGAGTGCTCAGCAGCTGCGAACTAGCAGCTCATTGTTTACATCGTGTGATTCATCTGATGTTTCTGAGCGTGAGACAGGATGTTCAACGCTCTTCTCAGGGTTGTGTTCTCAGTGTAACCTGAGACCTTCCTGTTGTTGCTGTAAAGGGGGAGTCAGTGAGTTGTACGGAGGTTTCTGAGAGAGCAGACATGTTTTGTACAGTGTACAGTCCGGGAATAAAGCAGAATGAGTCAGACTACTTCCAGACTGTTTTCTTTCTCCTGCTGACATGCAAGGGGGAAGGGAGTGTGCATCTCTCAAGAGGGAGGTGTCGCTTATTTCAGATCTCCCTGGACTGACCGAAGACCAGCCAGGGGCAGATCACCGGCAACAGGCCCCAGTGCCTGGGAAGAGGAGTCAGCCTTTCCCGAGGGGGCCGTTTCCCAACACTGCCAGCCCGCTGGATTGCCTTGTGATTCTTTAAGGAACCTAACTGACTTTCAGGGATAAGCTTTGCTTAGCTGTTGGTATTCTCTGTAGATAGTTTGCTAATACGGGTGTATTTTGGCAGACTGATCACCAATGAGAAAAACGAGCGCTTTGTTTTAATACCAAAGTGAAGGCAGAGGGAAAGGGAAAGAGGCTCTTTCCAAATAAAGCATACCTGAATTGTAAAGTCCTGATGGTCTCTTAATACCGTTGTCAAATGAAAAAGAGAAAAATTGTCGACTACGAAAAGCACTGTCAGTGAAAAGCCCTATGAACAGGAGGTGCAAATCAGAGAAATTCCGAAGTCAGAATGGGAGTTCCCTAATCTCCAGTTTAAGTTTCAACATTCAAAGTGGCAGCACAGAAACAATGTGGGAAAAGCAGACTGGCCTCCTGTGGACTCTGGCAGTGTCACGTGGTCTGTGAATAGTGTAGCTGCTCATCTGCAACATGGCCTGAGGGCAAGTGGACTGTGGAGAGGGACTGACCTCTGAAAAATATGGACCATGACTTCACTGCGAAGGAGAGTGAAGGCATGTCAAATAACTTTGAATCTTTTCGGCTCTGAAGGAATATCGTAAATAGACTAAAAATGCTAAGAGCAAAAGAGAATACTGTGACCTATACAGTACTATAAGACTCGGGTTTCTGACAGCATCAGCACAATTCTCTAGGTATGTTTACTTGGAAGAACCTTCAACAGTGCTTATTCCTTAGTACTTGTTTTTAGGATTGTAGCCATCTCCAAACATATACAACATTACCAAGCTCAGTATAAATTCTTTTAACAGCTGTTGTTGGCATCTGTCTATTTTGGGAGACAATGGAGGAGTACACCTTTGGGAGTAAAGTCAAACCACTGGAGAGTTACAGTGCCTGCTGTGCCTATAGAGACCAATATGGGAGAGACATGTTTCCTTGCAGGTGGGGCAGATGAAGGCATCTGGTTTCACTAGTAGAGGTGCACCATGGTGTTTTCTTTCTGTGTGTTCTTAAGTAGCATACCTGCATTCTTTAGTACTGTAATCTGTTTTATGACCTCAGCATTCTCCCATCCTAAAGGTAAAGGGACCCCTGACCATTAGTTCCAGTCGTGGCCGACTCTGGGATTGCGGTGCTCATCTCGCTTTATTGGCCGAGGGAGCCGGCGTACAGCTTCTGGGTCATTTGGCCAGCAGGACTAAGCCGCTTCTGGCCAACCAGAGCAGCACACGGAAACGCCGTTTACCTTCCTGCCAGAGCGGTACCTATTTATCTACTTGTACCTTGACGTGCTTTCGAACTGTTAGGTTGGCAGGAGCAGGGACTGAGCAACGGGAGCTCACCCCATCACAGGGATTCAAACCACTGACCTTCTGATCGGCAAGCCCAAGAGGCTCAGTGGTTTAGACCACAGCGCCACCTGCGTCCCATTCTCCCATCCTACTATAGATCAGGCCCTAGCAGTCAAACTTTTTCTTCCTTATTCTAACTGCCCTGCCTTTAAATCCTCTTCCTACTCTGCCTCTGAGCTCTCATCATCCCTGCTTAGCTAGGATACTTCCATCTCTTTCATCCTTTGGCTAACAACACTTAGCTTTCTCCTATCTCTAGCTCTTCTTTTGGGTTTTTCAAAATAACCACTTTCTCTGTGATCTGTGCAAAATGTGTATGCAGAGCCATCTTGGAGATGCCACACGTCACCATTGCAGAGCAGAAGTCTGAGAACAGGGGCTTCAGCAATTTTGCTTTGGGTGTGGGTGTGGACCAAGGCAAACAATGGCCATGCTGGAAAATGTATCTCTTGGCCAAGATGACTTACAAAGCATGCTCTAAAATCTCTTTTTGAACTTGTGCCTTTACTGCCCTTTGTTTCAGCAGCAAATGTATATGCAGTGGTACCTCGGGTTAAGTACTTAATTCGTTCCGGAGGTCCGTACTTAACCTGAAACTGTTCTTAACCTGAAGCACCACTTTAGCTAATGGGGCCTCCTGCTGCTGCTGCGCCACCGGAGCACGATTTCTGTTCTCATCCTGAAGCAAAGTTCTTAACCTGAAGCACTATTTCTGGGTTAGCAGAGTCTGTAACGTGAAGCGTATGTAACCCAAGGTTACATCTTTCAGTAAGAGGTCTAGCAATAACACGCACCATTTTAATACATGGTTGTGAATTTTTCTTGATTTTACTGTTTTATCTTTCATAAACAGCTTTGAGGTGTGTTTTTTTAAACAATCAAGTGATATATAAATTTCATTAAATAAATAAATAAAAATTATGATAACCTCCGTACCTGATTTGTTCAGATATTCCTGTGATATTTTTAGGTCCATCAATTCTTGTCTCAGTTGTCTGGCAAACTCAGCAGGATTATCCCATGGGATGTAAGAAATCTCACCACCACCACCAAGCATTCTGCCACAGCCTTCTAGCTGTCCAGAGTCATCAACCTTTGTCAGCCTCAGACTTTCAAATGTAAACACTTTAAAAGCTCGCTCTATTTCAGCCCAGTTCATGTGTTCTGTAGGAAGATCAAGGCACAGAAAGTAAACTCAGCGATGTCAGCAAAGTGTGTCCCATGATGAGATATTTTTCCTACAGGCACTGGTCACTTTTCATTGATATACAGGAATCCCTCCCACTTGCGCATGATCGGCTTGTGCGCAACCGTGTATATGTGCGGTGCCAGGAAATAGTAATTTAATTCATACCAGGAAATGGAGGGAGAAAGCTGGTGTCAGGGGCTGGATTGAGGAGGAATTGTGGGAGCTCCCCCTCCCTTTCTGAACCTTCCCAAGGGCAGGAGGACAGTATTGATTTAGAACAGTGGTTTGCAGAGGGGCATAGACCAGAGGGGGAAAGCTGGGAAATACTGGGTGAGAAACAGCTAGAAGAGGAAATGCCAGGAGAGGGACAGCTGGCAGATTCAGTGTCCTTGCAAAGAATCCCTAACCCCTCTTCGCCTAAGACTAGATGGGCTTTGAGAGTGCTAGAACAGAAAGTGTAGCGGCAACAAGCTCAGATTACCAGATGTAGGAGTGACATAGATTAATAGGGACGGAGGGGGTGCACCTTAACTGGGAGCAACGCCATTTCTAGAGAGATATGCATTCCTTTCTCTCTCGCTGTGATTATTACTGGTAAGAATGCTCCTTTTGTTTGATCTGCTTATTTACTGCCACCAAGGGAGGGATCTGGTCCCCCAAAGCCTGACAGCTGGAGAGTCCTCGTGGCTCGTGAGGAGACCCATCCCGGAGCTCGAGGAGGACTTCAGTAAGGGCAGGGAAGGGACTGGAGGCGCAGCAGGGCTTTGTTGAGGCTGCTCAGCCTCCCTGCCTAACACCTGAAACGTGGAGTAGCACAGCAGCAGCATACGAGCTGGGCGATACCTGGTTTTCAACACTGTGATAGATCAGTAGCTGAATATCGTGACGTACTGATATATCACGATGTCTGGAATTGCCCAACCCTATCACTCCTGCTCACCTCTCAGCTGATCAAGGCAATTTGAACTGGCGATACATCGTGGCTTCCTGGCTGCCGCCAGCACAGCTCAGGCAGGCAGGCGGAAATGAGGTGCCGGCAGCGGCTGGGGAGCCGCAATGTACTGCCAGCTCAAAAAGTCTGAAACTGGTATCGCGGTTTGAAGGCCATACCAGTTTCAGACAATTAATCGCAATATCGCCCAGCTCTACAGCTACTTTTCCACACATTGTCCAGGCAGCCCCAGAGCTTCAATTCCAGTTGTGGATCTTTCTTAGTACAGTATTTTTGATCTGGGTTGCAGAGAGAGTGGCAGAGCGGGCATTTAAAGGGTGCTCCCCACTTATGTGATTTCCACTTATGCACGTGGGGCACTGGAACGTAACCCCTGCATAAGTGGGGAGTCGCTTGTACTGTGTAGGAGTGCAAATATCCAGATTGTGGGGTCAGGTGGGATTACGATGAGGAATTATAAAATATGCATCAAGCCATTGTGTCCACGATGAATGCGTTGTGTTGGCTGGGTTTGATATATTGGCAATAATTTCTGACCAAATCCCACAACCCTCTGCATCTCTGGCCATTTTCTCTACTGTCCATTTCTCTTGCTTGACAAGTCACGTTCACAGCCCAGTTGCTTTGCCAGGCATGCATCCTGGGCCATAGAGATAGTGGGCAAGTTTCTTTGATGTAGCTTTTCTGATATGTTAATCCTAGGATGTTAATCTTAGGAAACAGATCTCACATGAAGGTGATAATGATCGCTGTCCTCCTGGCCATCCTTCTTATCATGTATATTGCTTGTTTATCACCTCAGGGGTTGCCAAATGTACTCCTTTGTAGTTCTGTTCTTTGTTTACCCCAGAAATATGTGTGCTTAATTAATTTTGGTAGTTTAACTTTCCCCTACGTGGGGTTTGTTGAACTGCTCAGAAGAAATCTGATTGGTTCTTACGAACACTCTGTAAAAAGTTCTTTTGTGAATAAAACAACCTGGGCCGAGGGGTAGAGAGAGAGAGAGAAATTATAATACGCACCCTTCCCAGAGTCTTGCTGGTTCAAGCCTCTGTGTGTATTCTTATTAATCAGAGTTCAATCCTTCCTTTACTTTGTGAACGCCTCAGTACTGTACTATACTACCTATTTTTAAAAATACAATGTACGGCTTACAGCCCAGACTTATGAATTGGGGAAAGGATTCAGGAACAAGACGAACAATGACTTGCACTGCAACAGGTGAAGCACAGTCCCTTAGTGCCTGGCAACCGGAGCAGAATTAAAGACAACTGTACCCTATTTACCAGGAAACCTCTCTTATTACCATTTACAGTTCACACTTGTACCAGCCTCTTCAGGCCAAGGGAGGCCTATAATACATTAAACAATGTGTGAAGGGACTCAAACCTTTACCTGGTCCTATAAAAATACCTTATAACCACCTTTTGGGACTTTGGGGGAAACTGTTTACAGTAAAGGAAGCATGTTACCGCTAGTGCAATAGTGCATGAGCTCATGGATTCTGGCAAGGCGTCTGGTATTGGTTCCAGGTGGCGGAAGAGGGAATTTAAGAAGATCCATCAAGGGCAGTTTGCACATCATTTCATCTTCAACCTTGGCTGGGTCTAAACCACCCTGCAACTGAAGAGAAAAAAGAAACAAATATTAACCGATGTTAATGCCCTATATATCCTACATAAAAATATTATTGAACTTGAAAATTTAACTGAAAACTGGCACTTAGATTCAGCTTGGATACCGAGATCCAACTCTGAGGGCTTTCTGGCAGTCCCCTCACTATGATAAGTTAAATTACAGAAAACCAGTCAAAGGGTCTTCTCAGTAGTTGCACCCACCCTGTGAAACAGCCTCCCATCAGATGTCAAGGAAATAAACTATCTGACTTTTAGAAGACATCTGAAGACATCCCTGTATAGGGAAGTTTTTAATATTTGATGTCCTACTGTGTGGAAGCCACCCAGAGTGGCTGGGGGAACCCAGTCAGATGGGCAGGGTATAAATATATTATTGGTGGTGCTGTGGTCTAAACCACTGAGCCTTTTGGGTTTGGCAATTGGAAGGTCAGTGGTTCAAATCCGCACAACACTCCTGTTGCTCTGTCCCAGCTCCTGCCAACCTAGCAGTTCTAAAGCACGCCAGTGCAAAACGATAAATAGGTACTGCTGTGAAGGGAAGGTAAATGGCATTCCGTGAGCTCTGGTTTCTGTCACGGTGTTCCATAGTGCCAGAAGCGGTTTAGTCATGCTGGCCATATGGCCCGGAAAACTGTCTGCGGACAAACGTCAGCTCCCTCAGCCTGAAGCGAGATGAGTGCCGCAACCCCATAGTTGCCTTTGACTGGACTTAACCGTCCAGGGGTCCTTTACTTCTTTTTACCTATTATTATTATTATTATTATGCAATGAGTGTGAAGTTAGTTCCAGCCTCTGAAGTCCTTTGGGTCCTAGCAAATTTATAGGAAAATGTTCCTACTTGCTTATTTCCCCCTCATTGTTCAAAGTGTCATTATTTACGCATTTAATGCTACTGATGTAAGAAAGAAAGAAAGAAAGAAAGAAAGAAAGAGAAAAGAAAAGAAAAGAAAAGAAAAGAAAAGAAAAGAAAAGAAAAGAAAAGAAAGACTAAACTGTACCACATTCTACCTTTAGGAAGTACAATCTCTGGGACAGGGTATCATGGTAGTTCAGTATAAGAGGCCATTTCTGATCCGTGGTCTTTTCTTTATTTTCAGGATAAAAGGAGTTGTAAAGATTCTGTTAATGAAAGTAAAAAACACAAATTTAAAATATCTATATTTCTAAACAACAAAATAGTAATACTTGGCAATACAAACCTTTTTCTCACTCTCAGGAAGGGCAAGAGAAGGCAGGATCGAAACCATGTGACTTGCAATGGTATGATCCAGCCCATCTTCACGAGGCTCTGGAACCACCAAGCTTGGTGGTGTAAGATTCTGTTCTGATGCAACAACCTAGCAAAAGAAAACATAAATAGAATAACTTCATGGCTGTCATGGATAGCATGAGCATCAGGATACTCAGAATACCAGCAGAATCCCAAATCTGTCCATTAGCAGGAACAAGGAATATTGGGACCCACCCAGCTTAGGATGGAGTCACTATAAATAATAATAACAACAATAACAACAACAATTTATTACTTCTACCCCACCCATCTGGCTGGGTTTCCTCAGTCACTCTGGGTGGCTTTCAACAGAACATTAAAAACAGAATAAAACTTCAAACATTAAAAGCTTCACTAAACAGGGCTGCCTTCAGATGTCTTCAACAACTATGAAAACTGTTCACTGAGAACTGGGACGGTTATAACTGAGAAAGATCCAGTCCTGTTACTAGTAAAGCAGTTCTCTCCCCATAAGGTCACTTTCCCATGCATAATGTGTGAAGGACTTTTAGCTGCACACAAAACCTTTTTTAAAAAATGACAACTATTCTTGAATATACAGTGATACCTCTACATGCGAACGGGATCCGTTCCGGAGTCCCGTTCGCATCTAGAGGTAAATGTAACTAGCGACAGCATGTCTGCGCCCGCGCGTGTCGCTTTCCGCCGCTTCTGCGCATGATGTCATTTTTAGCATCTGCGCATGCGCAAGCGGCGAAACCCGGAAGTAACGCGTTCCGTTACTTCTGGGTTGCCGTGGAGTGCAACTCGAACGTGCTCAACTCGAAGCATATTCAACCCGAGGTATGACTGTACTGAAGACTGTGCTTACCTGTTGCAACATGCAATCCAGTATCAAGGCAACAGAAACAATCTCATCAGGGACTGGGTTCAGGAGGTCATTATAATACCTCATGTCTACATCTGTAATCAAAAAGTAATGTTGTCCTTCCTTCGTATATAATATTTGTACCTGTCTGTCATCACACTGAAATTTGTGTGGTCACCAGCAGATGGTGCTAGCATCGCAAAGTGTCATATGAACTACAGTGAATTGACAATCTAGTGTGGGGTTTTCCCGAGAACCAAAGAAGCTTGAGACCAGCAGACCCAGCTCTGAGCAGTATGCAGGCAAGTCCCTGGCCTAGTTTGACCCCAATGACCCTCCGTCCTCATCTCTGCTCAAAGATGGGCCGGCTGGGCTTGGGTTTTCACAGCCTACCAGAACACCTCAAACTCTTGTATTTGGGCATGGGCTTCCTGGGCTGTGGCAGAAGGAGGAAGCATCAGCGACAGTGTTGCTTCATCCTTAGTAGTCGCTGCCATGTCCTCACGGTGGCTGTGGCCTGGAAAAGTCCCCAGAGGAGGCTGGCAGCTCCAGAGTCCATTGCTTGTGGTGTAGTGGTTAAGAGCGGTAGTCTCGTAATCTGGGGAACCGGGTTCGCGTCTCCGCTCCTCCACATGCAGCTGCTGGGTGACCTTGGGCTAGTCACACTTCTCTGAAGTCTCTCAGCCCCACTCACCTCACAGAGTGCTTGTTGTGGGGGAGGAAGGGAAAGGAGAATGTTAGCCGCTTTGAGACTCCTTAAAGGTTGTGAAATCCAAACTCTTCTTCTTCAGCAGGAGGAAAATTCAGGAATTCCCCCCAAGCTATAGCACAGATTGGCATAACTGCTTATGGCATCAGCAACAGCACATATGCAGGTGAGGAAGGAGGAGACTGCTTGGGGCTGGAGAGCAGAGATGAGAAGGGGGCAACGAAGAGCTACAAAATCAACATGTGGATGTTCCATGTGCAAGGGGAAACTTGGAAGGGAGGTGGTTTGAAAAAGGAGGGTGAAGGCGAAAAGGGGAGGTGCAAATGGGGTTGGAAAATAGTGGTGGCTTTAGAAATGGGGAGGTTAAAAGGAAGGTTAGTAATTGCACTGGGTAGGGAGATCTAACCGGTTAAATGGGAGTCTATGTGCAAGGAGGAGTTGCAAAAAAGGGAAGGAGTGGTAGCTTCAGAATTGATGGGGAAAGCAAAAGGTAGTTGCAATGTATGGGAGCAGGAAGATCCAGGAGGTTAGGTGCAAGATGGGTATAAGAAATGGACCTGTAGTTGATGGAAAGAAGGGATATACAACGGCTGATCATCCATACTTGAGAATATAAAATCTACCCTGAAATAAACAGCAAGTTTTTGACATTCAGTATGCCTTGATGCAGTGAAAATGGTTAAGAATCGCTTCAGAAGGCATCTCATTACAGAAGTTGGAATTTTCAGGTTCTGGATGGCAGCCTGAATCAAAACTCATCACCCCACTGCTACCTGCAGAAGGTTTACACATATTTTGCCCTATTTCTCCAGCATGTTGAAAAGGAATCACTCTTTTCAATGACAAAGTTTAGGAATAACTTGAAGACACTTCACACATACCTGTTGTTAAAACTGGTGCAGCGGGCTCTTCCGCTGCCTGCTTTCTCCTTGAAGGTGTAGGTGGAGCAGCGGGTGGTACCTTGTGAAACAAAAACATTTATGACAATACAGCCATCTTATATTCAAATCTTCAACCCAGTTATTGCAGTGCTTGAATGAAGTACTTAAACAGGCTGTCAATTTTGCTGCTGGACACTCTTTGTGAGTAATGTGATGCAAGGAACTACTGCAGGTTTGAGTCACATAGAGTGCTGAAGGAATCTTGGGATCACCTGGAGGAGAATTTCTGAATTAATGTAGAAATTAGGCTGTCCTTTCCATGACTTAGATGAACCCCCTGCTTTCCGATACAATTCACATAACCAGTTTAACCATTTACAAGATGATGCATATTTATGCAGAAATGTACTCCTATGCACAATTTTACATGGAAATATATCTGCTACCAAGCATGGACGTGGTCTCTGACCTCAGCCTTGCTCTTCTTTTCTACTACGGGGACATTAATAAACTTGGTGGATTTCAAGTAGTGCTGATGCTGTCTTTTCCAGTCCAGGCAGTCATACATCAAACATGCCACAACTTCAAAGAGATCCGTTCCAAATTCAAGCTACATAAAAGAAAAGGAGGAAATATAAAGACTGGCTTTATAATATTCAGAACACATGGGAACTCAGCCAACTTCTAAGCAATGAATTATACATCTTATTGAATAACACAACAAGCATGATTCAGTTTGAATGCATTTTAATATTAATATTATCCCACCTCAAAAAATGCCCAGATTTCAATTATGGGAGAGCTCCTCTTTGTTCTTCCACTCACCAGCACATGGCAGTAAATCCATACCACCAAAGACCAGAATTCCAAGCCAAATGACAACTACAGTAAATGCTTTTTCTTTCCATCATCCATTTAAGAGAATGTGGTATACAAGACATATTGTTTTGCAAACGAAGCTTCTGTTTAACCCTGCCCAATGATCAGAGATGAACAATGCGGCAGTTACTTCCCTGTGATGCAATCACACACCCCTAAGGAAAATGTTGGAATTAACCAACCACGTGGCATGCCTAACTGCACTGACGGTTGACAAGGCACATTGGAGACTGGAATGCAAGCCAGGAGTAGCAGACCTCAGAAAAACTATTTCTCTTAGTCAACCAACTGCCACCCAACTGGACACATCTCCTGTTACAATGCTGCATCACCCAAGGGGATATAGACCATCACAAATAAACAAAGTTTAGCCAAATTTCTGTCTCCCCCCCCCTACTGTATTTTGATTACTACACTAGTCCCTAGGACAGGTACGGGAAACCATTTTGGTGTCAAGTGCCACAGACGGGCCAAATTTGACAAGTGGCTGTAGTCACCCACCTGTCATGATGACACCATACAAACTGACAGCTGGGTTGTCCCAACTATCTCTCAAAATCCCTTGTATAGTTTTGCAAATCTCGCCATGCTTCCTCTTTAAACATTCCGTCTTGGAGGCTTATAAGTGGAGTGTGGGAAAACTTGTAAAGCCCTTTAAGCAACTGAATGAGTGAGCTTCTTTCTCCTCTTCCCCACCCTCTGCTGCCTGCTTGGGATGGGTAGGAGGAGGAGACAGGAGTCTTTAAACATCTGAGCAGGAAGCAGGGCTGAAAGCGAAAGGAGTCTGTACAATGCAGACGTCTTTCTATTCGTTGCCACCCGCTCAGAGGAGCACTCTCCCTTTCAGACCGCTCTTGATTGAACCTCTGCTTTTCAGAGGTTCCAGCACGAGTGCTGGGCTGCTTGAACCAATGAATGATGCATTAAACCCTGTCCTCCCGCCAATCAGCTGACAGCACCAGATATATCATTTGATGGGTGTGTGGGTTGGCACTTTTGGGAAAAATGGCTTCGTGGGCCAAAGTGGACTCTCTGGAAGGCCAAGATTCACTATGGGCTGCAGGTTCCCCATCTCTGCTCTGGAAAGCCTCAAACTGAACCTTAAGGGTATACTGATCTGTAACAATACCTTGGTGAGGGACTATGCTAAACCTAAGGGTTCAGACTAACAGCTATTCCCACTCCAGAATGAGAAACAAATGTCACACCATGCACTATTGCCCACTTACCCAACACAACTGCTTCTTGTAAGACAACGGGCACAAGAGAATTCCTCCCATATGGCCCGTACCATCCCCAAATCTGATCCAAAGTGTTGGAGAAGGCCTTAGATCCTATTTAGGGGGTGCATGGGCAAAGAGAGCGGGGAAATGATCAATGGCGCAAGGAGAAATCCATGCACTAATGGAATGTTAACCTTAGTGCGACATCAAATATAACCCAATACGCCTAGCCAGGGCCTTTAGTTCAGGGCGAACTCACAGGAACTCAGTTCTGGCACCTCTCAGGTAGGCACCATTGCCATTCTAAGAAAATGAGGGTGAGTTCTGGGACCATATTTCTAGAAAAATAGCACTGCTACTAACCAACATGTCAGTGTTACTCCAGTCAGCAGGAAAGGAAGACTCATTGACTAGGTGATGGAGTCGAGCTATCTGAAAAAGATTTGATCCTGGTTTCCCACTATTCAGAATTGGTTCCAAATATTTCCAGAAGGTTTTCAGGTCCTTGGCAGCTTTCTGCTTCTTCTTCTTTTCAGCTTCGACAACTAGGGTTGCATGAGCATGGAATTATTTTAGCAGGCAAGTATGCCCATAGCAAATCTTAAACATACTTTGGGCAAAAAGGATTAAGCCACGGTCAGCTCACTCTTTTGCAAAGCCTATTTAATAATCTAAGCTTTGGTCAGATAACATGATACATAGGAATGGATGAATCTGTCAACTTTGGTTTCTTTCGGCTTTGTCATATTTCTAAGTTCAGTTCTCTACCTTTCCATGACAGCTTTTTTTTGTTAAGTCCTCTTGAAAACTGATCAGAATTTTAGTGAGAATTTCTCCTAATTGTGATGGACTGCTTGGAAGCAGAGGAATGGCAGGAGGAACCAGCTGGGGAACCCAAAGGGGGAAAAGCTCAGAGCCCAGGGAGCGGTGGTGGGACAACAATGAGTGGTCAGAGGGAGATGAGGAAGAGGTGTTGAAAGCTGAAGAGGTAACAGGGCTTAGTGAGCTGGGAGTCTGTGGCAAAGACAAGTCCAGAGGCAGAGGAAGAAGTTGAACCAGGCAAGTGGGAGGAAGGAGGTCAAGAAGCAGAGATGAACCAAGCTGGTGAAGTTTCATGGGTATCTCCCCCTCCTGCTGTGACAAGCTCCCTTCTCCCCAACTCCCAGAAACAGAAGAAGCATGAAACAGGAGGAGCAAAGTCTCCGATTGCTGGGGGGGGGGGAGCCCTGGAGAGGAGGAGACATAGATGGTTGTGGGGAGACAGGGAGTTTTAGTCTTGGCAACTGATTTCATGGAGTAAGACTTACAGGGAATAAGCTGCTGTGCTCATTAGGCCTGACACCCAGTCAGGTCTGTGCTAATAAAGAGTTAACGCCAACTGGGAGCCGTTGGAAATGGCCAGCTCATTCCGTGACACTAATGTACACATTTTGTAAAGCAATTTTCCCTAATGTAATGTACTTCTTCCTCCTTTCCTGTTTGGTCTATTCTTTTGAATAGGATTTACTCCTCGATTTCTACATTCCTGTCATGAGCTTCATATTAAGAGCTCAAATTTATCTTGCTTGTTTCCCATACCCTGGGCTTTAGTACAGAAACTGAAACCACAAGTCATTCCCTCCAGCTGTTTCCGTAAATGAAGCTATTATTCCCAGTACTAGGTATTCCTGTCATCTGTAATATTGTTTCCCTCCCCCATAGGATTTAGTTTAAAGCTTTCCTGGGCAGGCTCACAAAACTCTTAGCAAATGTGTGATGTTCTATTGTGTCTTTGTATATTTGTTGGAAGCTTCTCAGAATGTCTGAGGCAACCCAGGCAAAAAGACGGGGTACACAAAATTATTATTATTATTATTATTATTAAGCTAGTATGCACTTGCTAGCTATAAGTGAGTTTGGGGTGGGAGGAAGAAGTATCAGTTTGACTCCCCAATGTTTTTCTGCAAGGACTGTGCCCTGTGCCATGATCACCAATCCTTATTACTCTTCTGATTCATCCAGAAATGGACTTAGCTCAGGAATAAGATACAGATTTTAAAGTCTATTGAAATATCAATAGTATATCTTGGGTTTGGGGTTTTTTCTTCTAACAGCTAATTAAAGTGCTCAAAGCATGCGACAACAAAAATGCCCATCTAAAACAAGAATAAGAATGGTGGATCTTCAGTTTCATATCACATACAACTGCTAATCATCAGCTCACCTTCTGCTTCAAGAAATGGTTCTTCCTGCAGAGCAACTCCTTCCAGGTAGGTCTGGAGTGGCTCATAATTGTCAGAAGAAATCTTAATGACGCTTGCAACATTGATCCCAAGATCGGATAGCACAGGCAGAAGTTGAGGGTAGGGAAAACCACTAATTATGAAATAATACTGAGCACCGTCATCTGGTTCATCATCTGTTCAAAACATCATACAAAGCTCATTGGTTTTATTAAAGCATAATATTGAGAAAGCATCCAAATTGGCAGTTTACATATATATGGTAGATGGCTTGCATATAAGCTATTTTCCATAAATACATCTATTACAAATCCTGCTTTTCAAATGCATGTAACCTTTGAAGACTTAGAGTGTGGATTGTATCATATGCAATTTATAAGGGGAATGGGTGTAACTCAGGAGGGGGAAGGGAGGCAGGGAGAAACCCTTTTGAAATAAGGTTATTAGTGTGCAACTATTTAACTAACATTTAGTGTTTGGAGAGAGTGGATAAATGTATGTCCTGCCCAAGTAGTATCATTCCCTTTGTTGTCTTCAGAAAGGCATTTCCAAGGAAAAAATTTCCTGCCAATGCTGGAATGTGCTGCCATGGAATGGATGAAAGAGGCAGTAAAGGGATCCCTTATTTTATTTCTGAGGTGTTTCCCAGCAAGCATTGCCAAAGCTATAACTGACAGGTGACATTTAAAGGGTTATACCATATTGAGATTCACCGAGCAAGCAATGGAAGGCAACATGGCGGTGGGGGAGCATCCCATCTCCTTTCAAGGGAGCAGGAAATGGGAACAATTATCCAAGGAATACCCTGCTCTTCCTATGCCTGTTTATTCAGCACCTGAAATGCTTCTGGATACACATTATCTTCTATTACTAAGTACAATAATTGTTTCTGAATGAGAAGAAGGCTCTCCCCTTTGCCTGTGTGCACAAGGCAGCCACAAAGAGAAATGAAAGACCTTCTCTAGTATTTACAGGCAAATTTTGCAAGCTGTGAGCCTAAACATGCTTTGCTGAATGCTAAGTTCCTCTTGAAACTAGCAGGACAAATTTCTAAAAATATGTGAAATCTAAAAGCAAAGATCAAAAGGATTTGCTTAATCGTCATTTACTGTCTTCATATATTCTATGTTTGCTGGCTTCCTGTAATTTAATTTATTACATTCTAATATCATGTCTCATATGCTTGGGCTCCTCAGAATGCCAGGATTAGCCACAGCTTCCTCTTAGTGTGAATCAGTCTGAAGTCCTGAATCTGTAGTTCTTTTGACATGAAGCATATTTGTATTTTACACACCGATGTATTTGTCAAGATCATCTTCTTCTCCACGTCGTTTAAGTTTGGTGTCTTTCTTAACGGTAGCTGCTGACGCACTCGGTGACTCGGGTCCCTTCTTCTTCCCTTTGCCTTTGGCACTGGGAGGTTTCTCCTTTTTGCCGCCTTTCCCTTTCCCTTTCCCCTTCTCGTCTTTCTCCTTGTCCTTGTCCTCGGTTGTCTACCAAATTAGATAAACTACATGCACATCTTATGAAAAACAACAGGGGGAAATATTACATTGGCGTAATACAATCATTTGTATTCCTATCTGAGGCAGCTGGCTCCAAATCTAGTAAGTGTCCTGAAAAGGAAAAATGAGTCCCTTTCCACCCCCTTGCTCCTTCCTACTGAAGCATCCCTGCATGGTGCAGGAACATAGCTGTCAACTTACAGATTTGAAAATAAGGGACCAGCAGCCTCGAAAATAAGGGACCAGCAGCCAAAATATGGGATTTTCCAAGCACAGGTATGTTCAACTTCTGAGCCCCTCCGAGCCAAAGGCAGAAAGCCCAGCCAGCAGCCAAACAAAGCCTCAAGTGGTGGTTCCCACAGCGCAGCAACCCGGCAAGGGGATGCAGCAAGGAAAACCACCGTCACCTCTCCGCTGGGAAGCGCTGAGCAAAGGCGAGTCCCCAGGCAACGCAGCCGATTTGATTAGCACAAGGCATGCAAGCTCCACCCCCCAGTTGTTCTTAGACTTCTTATTGGGTGAGCAACGCAGCCAAGCAACACAGTTGGAGCCTCCCTCCTCCCTGGCTGGCAGGGAGGGAGGGAGAGGAGCTGCTTCCTTTGAAACCCGGGAAATTTAAGGGACATCATCAATAAGCAGCGGGACATAGTGCTGGGATAAGAGACTTTCCTGCCAAATAAGGGACAGTTGACAGCTATGTGCAGGAAGGAGAGTTTGTTTACTGCACAACACACTTCTCCCTCAACCCTAATGCCCTCCAGGATACTCGCTATAACCTGCTGGAGCCCAAGCAGGCAACTTCCTTCTTTTCCCTACGATATTTTAGTTTCCTTCTCACCCCTCAACGAATACTTTGACGTTCCACACACCCTGACAACTCAGATTCTTCTCAGACCATTTAAAATACCCTCCCCTCCCCCCATTTTAACTGGCAATGCTTCCAAACGAATAGTCATCCAAACACTCAAGTTTGCTACTAGTCAGAGCGGTTACATTTTTATTCTGCCCTTCCTCAAGGGAAGTATCTCTGCTTCCACTTTATGGCTTATATCTAATCAGGGAAGGCAGGCACTCTGGCACTGGAAGAGGCAAATAGTTATAAGATAGCAATGTTATTATATTACTCAAGTCAGCCCATCAGTCCATCCAGCCCACTACTGCCTACCCAGGCTGGAAGCTGCTCTTCCATTCTCAAAGGTCTTTCTAAACCATGGGTGAAAACTCATGTGAAAACACCAGGCAGGCCCCACAAATAACCCAGAGATGCATTTTAAATAAAAGGACACATTCTACTCATGTAAAAACACGCTGATTCCCAGACTGTCTGCGGGCCATATTTAGAAGGCGATTGGGCCAGATCCGGCCCCCGGGCCTTAGTTTGCCTACCCATGGCCTAAGCCAAGGTCTCCCTACATCTGAAAGTTTAATAAATTTCTGGCCAATTTTAATCCCATAACATGTTGTCATGAGTCATTATTCCACCAGGGAGTCGCCTGGGGTTGGGGTCAGGGGTCTCTGCCTGTCCACGCAATGCTAAACTGCATTTAAGCTAGCAGGAAAATCCACTGGCAAAGTAACCTCCTCGCCCCTTGCTTCAGGGTTTTGTTGTGACCAGGGCAGGATTGTACCCTGGGTTGGCATGATGTTGGGCCATTTCTCTGGGCTTGCTTGAGGAATGTGTGTGTGTGCGTGTGCATGCGCGCTTTAGATCTGGCAGATGCATGCCTGAACTTAATACACCTAGTTTCATTCCGCTGTACTGGGCAACTTCTGGCATCTTAAGTGTTGCCTTGCCAATGGCACTCCTTTTCTGTCAAAATCACTTAATACCACCTCCCAAGGCCCTTCAGCCTCCCAGGAAAGTTAGGACCGCTGCCTAAACAGTAACAACAGCAAGAACAACTAAAATTAAACTCAGTTTAAATAAATGCAGAGTACTAATGAATACCACAGATAAGCAAAGTTAGAAAAATATAACCCATCTCTGAATGCAACAAAAAATAATACAGGCTGCTATTTCAACAAATTGCTTATGATTCAAGTGGTATTTTGTTTCTCATTTGACTAAAAGTACAATTTGTTATGTTTCAGCTCCGAAGTCCATTGAATTCAATAGGACTTACTCCCAGGTGATCCTAAAATACCTTCTTTTCAGCAGCCCTTCTCTGCAGGTCCTTCTGTTTAATGCAGAGCATCTGATATTTAATTAACTTTCCAATCAGAGTTACGGGAAGTGCTTCTCCATTATTGAGAATGATTTTTGCCACCTCTAACACCTGCAAAGAGAAAGCGAATGATTACTGCTTCAGTATGAAATTCAGTATATGTGGTGTCCTGGAACAGGAGACATAAGCATACTGGTTAAAGATAGGGAATGAGGAATAGGGATGTACCAGTCTGGCTTGCAAGTCTGGCCTGTCTTCAAAGGTAAGGAAAATCAGCTATAGAGCCTGTTCCAACATCTCTGGAAAGGCTGTAATTCACCAATAGCAACCTGGGCAAAACAGGACATGATTCTGTGTTGGCAAATTTTGGTGAGTGTAGCAAACAGAAGTGTGAGCCTGCCATATTTGACCTGGTGCGAAATTACACCATGGATGTGGGTGTCATGGAAACACAGATGCTTAGGACATGGGACAACGATATGCCCATGATGCAGTCCCATTCCAGTAGAACAAGCACTATTGGTTTGGCATTCAAGCGGTGTTCATAGATTCCACCATACCTTCAGGTTCAGATTTCAGGTATGATATGGCACTGCTATAACATAGCTGTTTTTAAGTACAATTTGTTCGGACAGTAAACCAACAAATGGGAACCTTGCTATTATTTGTACCTGCAAACACAAATGGAAACTAACCAATGGCAGTTTCAGAATTACTTTTGGGTACTAGAGTTTCCATCCGGGTACAATTTCCCCCTTTCTTGTTCATACTGATTCTGCTGGTGTGTAGCCTAATTGGGGTGGAATAAGGTTATTGAATTTTCTTTGGGTGATGACAGCAGTAAGAACATACGGCTACGTTGTCCAGATGTGTGGCATTGACAAGCTGTTTTATGACTATGTTTTTTACAGCTTGTTTCCACCAAATTTCATATAACTTACTAACATCTGGGATTTTTTCCTTACATTCACATAACCACTTAAAAACAACAACATGACACAAAAACTCATCAATAGTTTTTAGAAGAGAGAGGCGTTGCATGATAATGACTCTTAAAACGTTCTTCCAAGGTTGACAGTATTTCTAAGGAAGACTTTATATAAAACATTTCTCTAATTTTCTTTTTAAGCATACTGGATCTATTTATAGCTTTTGAATGAATGAGGTGTTACTCCACAGTTCTGACATCCTCTCATACCCTCACACCTCTGGAGAAATTGCACTCGACTGCATATGGTGTCGATTTTGCTTTCATAGATATGGACGACTGTTCTTGCTGCATGTCTGAAGCTGGCAGGCTTCATGTTGAGAATGCAGTCAAAGGGCTTCACTCTCGACAAATGCAAGGGCAGAGAAAGATGCTATGTAGTTCCTAGCCTACAGCTACCAGGGTTCATATGGTGGATGAGGGAGAGTCACTTTCACTTTGTACCATCAACTGCAGGCTGCACTGGAACTGTGTAAAGGATTAATAGTTTCGGAGGACTTAAACAAGTCAGCAAAGTTGGAAACCGTCTAAATGATATCCTAAATGCAGCAAGTTTTCACCAAAGGGTACCATCCCTTTGGGGGGCATTACTTTGGGTGTAAGAAAGCAAGGGGAAAGAGCCAAGTCTCACTCTCCTGAGCATGGAGAGTGTAATTAAAGTGATAATTACAGGTGCATCTTTCCATGGTTAACTGAAACATGAGCACAACTCCTAACATATTTATATCTACTCTAATTGAAGTCTGGAGGGCTGGGTGCGAGTGTGGTTCCTGTTAACTACATTTATTTTTATTATTATAAAGTAACACTGTTTATTATTCTTAGGACAATGCTGGATTAGCCTGCGCTAGGACCAGAGGGCCAGTGATTCAGGAAGGAGATGCAGATACTACTATGCACTACAGCAGTGTAGGGAAGGAACATCAGGTCTTAATAATACTAGTGGCTTGTCTGTAGTCTTAAACCTGAAGATGCTTTGAAGGAACACCAGGCTGGTTAATGGGATCCAGGAAAAGCATGCCAACCTTGCTCATGTGACTGAGACCTGGTGGCCTTCTACAGTCCACTGCACCTAGAGGAGTGCCTAACAAAGTGAAAGAAAAAAATGTTCCAGAAATTCTAAACAATTATTTGTTTATGCCCTGGAAGCTCAAATCTTGCAAACCATGGTTTGGTATGATGACTTTATAGAGTCCAAACCTATACAAGTCCAGTTGTGCGTTGCGTGGCCTTGAAGCTGTCTGTCTTGTTTTGGACTCCAAAATAAGTGCAGACGTGTGAAATGACCTCTGAAGTAGCACTTGGCTGCTCACCATATAACATCCTGACACATCATTGCTTACCCTTAGTATGTTGACTAGAAATGGTATAGTGTACACTATTCTACATCTAGCGTCTCATAAAAAAAAAGTTTCAAGGTTTTCTTCAGTACCAGCTGCAAAGCAAACAGCCCCAGCCATGAAAGCATTCTCTTCCGAAGAGACAAGAGCTAGAAAAGTAATCCAAGCAAAGGTAATTAAAAATGCTTTCACTCACCTCAGTATACAAAGGCGGTTCTTTTTCCTTTTCTTTTTCTTTTTCTTTTTCTTTGCCCTTTGGTTTGCTTACTTCTCCACTTCCCATGATCTGTAAAACATATGTAATGTAATGAACAAAGACAAGAGAATCAATTTTCTGAATTTATTTTATGCTCCACTAGGTTTGTAATAGGGACACGGGTGGCGCTGTGGTCTAAACCACTGAGCCTCTGGGCTTGCCGATCGGAAGGTCGGCAGTTCAAATCCCTGTGACGGGGTGAGCTCCCATTGCTCGGTCCCTGATCCTGCCAACCTAGCAGTTCAAAAGCACACAGTGCAAGTAGATAAATAGGCACCGCTCCGGCAGGAAGGTAAACAGCATTTCCGTGCGCTGCTCTGGTTTCTCCAGAAGCGGCTTAGTCATGCTGGCCACATGACCCGGAAAAACTGTCTGTGGACAAACATCGGCTCCCTCGGCCAGTAAAGCAAGATGAACGCCGCAACCCCAGAGTCGTTCGCGACTGGACTTAACTGTCAGGGGTCCTTTACCTTTAGGTTTAGGATTATAATACTCAGACATCCTGAGAGTGAGATGTTTTGCGTAATGTAGACTACTTTTGCTGAGTCTGAAGACTTGGGGAAAGGTAAAATTTACCGTTTTTAAAAATTTTGACTAGCAAGCTCCTATGCCATATCACAATCTAATTTTGAAATTCAAAAATGGCTTATCATGTGCATGCCCAATGATCCTTTGCACAAACAGAACTGGTTTTGCTACTCCTTAAATCCCTAGCCTAATCTTTTAAGGAGAGTACATGTATTGAACTCTAAGGAAAGTAAGTATATTGAACTCTACATGGCTTATAAACATGCTGCATGTTAGACATTTAAAACTATCCTGACCAAAGTCTTAAACTACTGCTAATAAAGCTCTTGAAAGGTATAGTGTCAAGACTCAACAGAGAGTACAGGCTTCTTGCTCCAAGATTTCCACTCAGATATCTGACAAAGCAAAGCGGGTAAAACAGCTTCCAATTTCGTTCCTCCAATCCAGTTTCAAGGGATGCAAATGAGCCCCAGGGTGATTCCTCTCAATCCAGCTACATCTAGTCTTTGAATTCTGCCTCTCTGTCAGTGCCCACGTCCTTCTCCTCCAGCTTATTCTGAGAATCATATCCCAGGAGACCAGAAAGCGTATTTCCATCCCGTGGCAATGGGGTGAGCATTATTTTACATCACTATTGGTAGAGATGCATTCTCGTTTCAGTTTTAACCCCAGCATCCACACCCCACCTCTCACCATTATAAATACCAAATACCTGTGCTAATGTTCCTTCCCAAGTCACCACACTAAAGAGCCTCCGCATTGGCACCTGCACAGCAAGAGACAGGGCCTTTGTGTGAAGTTCATCCTCGGTTTGTTCCCCAACAACCATTGCGATACTGGGAATCCAATTTTCCTATGCCAAATTTAAAAAAAAACCAATTTTTACATTCAAGAAGTATAGACAACTACTCTTACCACCAGATGGCAATATTATACTGCAGAATAATTTTCTCAGTATTCAAAATTCAGTGACAATTCTCTGTATGATTTAGACATACATACTATGTCTGGTTGTGAAAATAATATGAAGCAAAGTTTCAAATTTATAATTTCTTACACACTTAGAAATGTATGGCGGATCAAAATACACTTCAGAACAAATGGAATTTTATATTAATATCTGCAAAGGCAATGACAAGCTAGGCTTTTAAAATGATTGCTCAAATATGACCTTGTATTTTCCATCAGGATATATACGGTAAGCTGTTAAATGCTAATGGTTTCCAAAGAGAGCTGTCACATTTGCCAATTCTTACTATCCTTTGTCTGCACTTCAAATACACCTAATTCTTTAACTCCTATTTTTGAGGTCCACCCAAAATACTGAAACCAGCCACAGCAAAATTCAAATCTAAAGCCATTATGCTAGATTTCCGAATCAAAAAGAGGGCTTCAGTGATGTAAGACAAACGCTTGACAGTGTGGAAAGTAATCAGGATTGTCCTTGTGTTGCTATCTGTAAATGGCCCTTCTTTCAAGTAATACACATCTCCAGTGTTAGCCAATAAATACACTTTGTTAGTCTTGCTTATTAAAGGGCTGCTTGAAAGGTTGGCAGGACCATTATGAAATTAATGGGTAATGACCTTAATAATAATGTATCAATAATGTATCAAGCCATTGTGCATTTCACAGTTGTCAATAATAAAGTCCAGCAGCATTTGGGGTGCCAAATGTGACCTTCAGCAACTCTGCCACATTCCACACAAATTACTGAATTGTCTTCAAGGCTAAGATACTAATGATCCTTTTAATAAGAAATTGACTGAGCAATGGCTGATACTGTATCACTACATCAGCCTCTGTCAGCATCTCCTTTAAATTAGCTGCACAGGTGTCATCTGGATTTACAGGGGCTTGAGGGAAGAGCAGAACGTGGCATTTATTTTATTTAGGATTTTTCATTTATATATATATATATGATATAAAAAATAAAAGCACAATAAAGCAATTAAACAGAAATCCATGCAATATTAGTTGCAACTGAATTATGTCCCACTAATTTCCGTTGGATATGAAACTATCAGGCACTGTAGATAACCCTAAGAAGGGCAGTAAAGCTGTGAAACTAGTGACTTGCTTAACTATGCTGACTAGTCACTTTAAAGCATTAGGCTCATCTAAGCTATGGTTTTCCCAGTAGTGATATATGGAAATGAGAGCTGGACCATCAAGAAGGCTGATCGCCGAAGAATGGATGCTTTGGATTATGGTGCTGGAAGAGACTCTTGAGAGTCCCATGGACTGCAAGAAGATCAAACCTCTCCATTCTGAAGGAAATCAGCCCTGAGCGCTCACTGGAAGGACAGATCCTGAAGCTGAGACTCCAGTACTTTGGCCACCTCATGAGAAGCAAAGACTCCCTGGAAAAGACCCTGATGTTGGGAAAGATGGCGGGCACAAGGAGAAGGGGACGACAGAGGACGAGATGGTGGGACAGTGTTCTCAAAGCTACCAGCATGAGTCTGACCAAACTGCGGGAGGCCGTGGAAGACAGGAGGGCCTGGTGTGCTCTGGTCCAGGGGGTCACAAAGAGGCGGACACGACTAAACGACTAAACAACAACAAAAGTCTACTGTCTGCAGCTGGGCTTAGAAATGCCTATTGCCACAAAGGATCAGGCTGCTCATGAATTTGTGGCTGAAATAAAATCTGATTTGAGGATCTCACAGCTCATTTTTTTATTCAGTGTATTTAAAATACATGAACCCACCCTCACCCCCGCCAAATGAAGAATCCAGGGAACTGTAGTTTGTTAAGGGTGTTGAGAATTGTAGCTCTGTAAGGGAAAATACAATTCCCAGGGTTATTTGGGTGAAGTGATGTGCTTTAAATGTTTGGTGTGCTCTTGTTAGTCTCAGACCAAAATGATTCATTAGCTCCTTCCTCAAGGCTGAGTATTGACACCTGTCCAAGGATCAAAGAAACTTCAAGGGCTAAGCAGCCAGTGGGGTATAGTGGTTAGTGTGTTGGACTAGGACCTGGGAGACCCGGATTTGAATCTCCCCTCAGCCCTGAAGCTCACTGGGCAACCTGGGGGTCAGTCAAGGCCTCTCAGACTAAACCTACACCTTACAGGGTTGTTGTGCAGATGGAATTAGGAAGCAAGAGAACCATGGAGGCCACCTGGGGGAGGGGGGAAGGTGAAATATAAATGCAAATAATAACAAAAATGAAATAATCCTTTATTGTACACCACCTTGAGCTCCTTGGAGAAAATGAGGGATGTAAATGTGCTAAATTCCACTTTAAATTCCACCAAGGATAAGCGTAGGGCTCGCCTGGGCTACAACACATCACATGTCCTTCCTTCAGTGTAAAACGCACTAAACAAAGAGGGAGACTCTGAAGCAAAACTAGGATCTCTAGCACAGGTGAGCTCAAGTGAAGCTTGTGCATGTGTGTGTATGTGTGTACATATATATTTGTGTACATGTGTGTGTATCTGTGTATATATGTGTGCATATATGTTGTGTGTGTGTGTGTGTGTGTGTGTATGTATGTGTGTGTGCACATATATGTTTATGTGTGTACAGGTGTGTGTATGTGTATATATGCAATGCTTTTTTCTGGGGGGGACGCAGGGGTACGCCTACCCCTAAGCATTTTGTGAATCTTTGTACTTTTGTCCATTTACTGTTATTTATTTTCCCCAATTTGAACTATAAAACGGTGGTTTTCTTGAGTCAAAATGAGAGTACTCCTAAACAATTTTTAAAGAAAAAAATCACTATATGTGTGTGCAAATATGTGTACGTGTGTGTACACATGTGTGTGTATATGTTTGTGTTTGTGTACATATGTGTGTGTATCTGTGTGTACGTTTGTGTATGTGTGCATATATGTGTGTGTACACGTATATGTGTGTATATATGTTTATGCATACATATGTGTGTGCACACATGTATTATGAATGTGTGTGTGTACATGTGTCTCCCCGCCCCACCCCACCCAACGCACCTCATCTGTGTACCCGTGTGTACCTTTGTGTGTGTGTGTGCGTGTGTGTGCATATATGTGTGTGTACACGTATATGTGTGTATATACGTTTGTGTTTACATATATGCGTGTACACATGAATGTGTGCGTGTGTGTACACGTGTGTCTCCCCGCGCCCCCCCCCAACGCACCTCCTCTAACCGGGCAGACACCAGCCCAGCCTCCCAGTTCTTGGAGCCGGTCCCGGGTGGCGCCGAGGCCGCGCTGCCGCTCTTGGGCCGCTTGGGCGCCATGGCCGGTTTCCCCGGAGGGAGAGGAAGAGTCCGAGCGTCGCCTTGGCAACCAGAAGCGGGCCGGCCCTTCGCGCATGCGCCCAAAGAGCCGCCGCCGTCGCCAGGGCAACCCAGCGCCGCCTGGCCTGCGGGCGAGCGAGGCCTGCCCTTCGGCTTGGCTGGCAGTTGCGAGGGCGGGTCGCGAAAGCAGCTCCGAAACATAATTATTAATCCAATAGGCGTTAATTTACGGCCCCTCTTTTTATTTATCCACGTATTTATTTGGCGCCACTGGCTGTTCAGCACGAAAATCCGTGTTTCTCAGCATCCTTTTTCCTACCTCAGCCTCTCCCGCCCTCGCAGTTTTTCTTTGAAATGGGCATAACCGTTTGCTCACATTTGGATGTTGGGAAACCTGCCTTGGGGGAAAAATGCATCATTTGCTTTCATGCTGTAAACCGGCCTGTGGTCTCAAGAGCGGCGTGCGCTTTTACTAAATAATAATAAAAATACCTGTCAAAATGTTGCGCTTCAGTGTTTGTGTGTGTTCTCACAGTGTTAACAGTGCATAGGACTGCAATCATGCTGATTCTTCAAAAATGTGTATTACGCTATGAATTGCAACTCTCTCTGTGTAAAATAATAATAATAATAATAATAATAATTTATACCCTGCCCATCTGGCTGGGTTTCCCCAGCCACTCTGGGCGGCTTCCAACAAAACACTAAAATACAATAACCTATTAAACATTAAAAGCTTCCCTAAAGAGGGCTGTCTTTAGATGTCTTCTAAAAGTTTGGTAGTTATTTTTCTCTGCCTGCATTTTTGCGCTCTTCTTGGGCATGGCTCCGGACTCTCCTTAGGGACATGGCTTTGGGGCTGTCACATTGAACTCCTGCACTTAAAATGTACCACTAAGCTTAACGCATGATCCTATTACACTGAGACAACTCAAGATATGATATTGAAAAATATAGAGGGGGAAAGTGTATCATAAGGCACTTCGAAGGTTTGGAAGGCATATTAAAGGCAGCCTCGAAAGGAAAAATGTACATGTGTATATAAATCACATAATCTGACATCACAATACGTAATATTATTTGAAAGCATAGCACATCCACTCCATGTCCACCTCCGAGGATAATGGCAAAGATGTACTTGGTCTTTGTCCTTCACCTGTAGTTTGTACCAAAGGTGCAATCTCTTCAGCCACTGCAGGCTAATAAGTGCAAGATCAGAGGCTTCTCACTAGATGCCCAGGATCCTCTCACCTTTCCCACCAGTGAAGAGCAAAGTTTATTTAGGGTATTTTATTTTATTTTATTTTATTTATGTACAGTACAGTCCTTTCAACAGAAGACTTTACATCCAAAATAAACCAGAATACAAGCAAAAACATGACTCATATATTTTCATTTGTACCAAATTCTTCCAAATTCGCTTGTTTTTCTATTCTTTAATGTTAGTCTTCTTCTTTTAACTCCTTGTTCTTAGCCTCTTAAATCACCTATGTATCCTTAACAATTTTCCAAATATTGCCCTATGCCTCCCTCCCCCCAACCCACTGCTTCCCTTCACCCACATGCAATCTTCTCTATATAATATTGTTTCTTGTTGTGTAAATTAAAGTTGTATTTATTGCTTCGTATATACTATGATGTCATCTTGTATCCTTGCGCACTTTAGCTATTGCATATTAAATTTGAGCTCCAATCCCAGTTCTTTCCATATATTCCTTTACACACTCCCACTCTTGGTAAATTTTTTGATTAGAACAGCCACTAATTGTTGCCGTTAATTTTGCCATCTCAGCAAATTCACAAATTTTAGCTCTCCATTCTGATAGTTGTGGTATTTTTTCTGTTTTCCAATTTTTTGCCACAAGTAATCTGGTTGCTGCTGTTGCGTATAGGAATACATTTCTTTTGTCCTTGGGGATGTCACTGGATTTTAAGCCCAGCAAATATGCTTTTGGCTTTTTGGAGATTGAACTCTTAAATATAATTTTAAGCTCTTCATGTACCACTATCCAAAATTGCTTAACCACCTTGCACCCCCACCACATATGATACATCGTTCCTACCTCTGTTTGGCATTTCCAACAGAGATTTGAGTATTTTTTATAAATCCTTGCTAATTTTACTGGGGTAAGATACCAATGGTACAACATCTTCGTTAAATTTTCTTTTATCAGATAGCAAGCTGTAAAATTTATATCAATTTTCCATAGCCTGTGGGGAGCAAAGTTTCATAGCTTCTTCAGTATTTTACAAATTAGGCTCTGGAGAAGTGTGTGACTCCTTGCACAACCCAGGTATTTAATGTTGTTCTTAATCATCATTATAATTATATGCTATCTGCAGGTTTAGACACTGCAATGTTAAATTATCTGTCTGCCCCATTCGTGTAGAATGTGGTGGGGGTGGTTGATTTTTATATCAAGAAGGGACACTTGGGTGAAGGAGCTGAACTCTTCCACCTTGTTCCTCCCCATAGTCAATCACTTAGACATACACACACCTGCCCAGCCTGGCTTGTATTGGACACAGGCTGGGGGGAAAATGCTGGCTAGCCATGGAGAGCAAAGGTGAATATGTTACACACACACACCCCAATCCCTTTTATACATGAACAGAGCAGAAACTTGATTAAATAGATGTGACTGTCACCACTCCATCAAGTTCAGCCTATATACTTCGCACTAGTTCAACGTACAGGGAACTTTAGCTTGACCTCAGTGTAGTACTTTCATTAACAGACCAGAAATAAAAGGAAGTAGAAAGAAATAGAAGACTTTCCTTCTATATTATGGACCAAAGTCTACCATCGTTGGTTTTTTCTTTCTTTTTTGGGGGTTATGCTTGAAGTGTTTCTCTAAGACACTAGTCCAAAATCAATAGCGGGTTGGTTAGGTCTGAATTTGAAAGCTGCAGTTCTACACAGACGGATGCTGGGAAGATTTGCCTTATAATGTATCTAACAAATTACAAATCCAAATGGGATTTACGTGAAACCAGTATTCTGGGGCTCTTGGCATGTCTTGGAAGAAGAGTGAGCAAACTGAACTCACACAATAGTGTTGGAGCATGACCTCAGCCTGGACGCATACTGTGCAGTGACTTGGAGGTCTGCACAGGTGTGGGCAAGCCAGGCTCACTCTCTGGCCGAAATCACATTCCAAATATTACCATATGTTCCCACACGGAGACGAAAGAAGAGAGAGGATTGCTGCTTGGGAGAGAGCAGGAGAGCTGCCAAGATAAAGAATTCATTACAGGGGAGTCATGTTGTGATCTTACACTGGAGACAAGTGAAATATTTTGTGTGATTTAACATTCTGTGAAAATATCCCAAAACACATGGTTTCCCCCACCTCTACCCCTAACTCTATTATACCCATCTGGCTGCTCAGAGCCAGGAATCTTTATTTAAATTTCAAGCAAGCCTTGAAATGTTGCTCTTTGCTGACTTATTGATTCAGTCCAAAATTTCGGCTGGGAGGATACTGCCCTTCCCTGTTCATTCAAGTGCCTGAGCTAGTAGCAACCAAACGCTTTTAGTCTAGTACAAATGGGGAGGAGAGATAAATTGTGTGCAAAAAGAAAGACGAAAAGAAAGGAAGAAGGGAAAGGAAAGGAAGAAGGGAAGGTCACCTAAATAGTTGGACGAACCAGTCCTTTAAAAAAGCTGGAGGATGGAAAATTTGACCAGAAAAGGTAATAGACTTAAAAGATGGTTGGGAAATTTTAATTGCTACAAAATATAGCCACCTGGCTACTGGTTGAATTTGGGCAACTGGGGCATATGGCACCTATATTGCTCTAGCAATATAATTGCCATCCCCAGGCCCCAATTTAAAGTCCAGGTGATGTCCTTTAAAGTCTTGAGCAGGTTGGCACCAGACTACCTAAAGAGCTGCCTGCACCTGTTATCAACTGGCCTGTACCTTAAGATCTGCTCTGAAGACTTTACAGCAACAGTTAGGTTGGCTGGCACGTAGAGCAGGGGCTTATTGTCAGTGGCCCCACAGTTATGGAATTCAATCTTACATGCGATCAGGAAGGCCCCTCCCTCAGTACATGTACACAGGCCTTGAATATAAACTTTCATGTCATGGTCTCTAGTGGCTAACCGTAAACTGAGCTATAGAAATGATGTTGTGTGGCCTCGTTTTTGTATGTAACATATGCTAGGCTATTTTTTTTTTTTTTTTGTATGCTGGTTTTTGTGAAGTAGATGTTCAAAATTACATTTTATTGATAATGGGTGATATCCAATTAAGGCATATTCAGAGTAGAGCCAGCCACTGAAATCAATGGACTTTGAGTGAAGGCATATCCTGAAATACAGCAGTGTACTGGATTCTATCCAATCTTAAGTCTTCTCAGCCAGTGTCTCTGGAACATAGGATTGTGCATGTCATTTTTGAAATAGGCTTACAGATTTAGTGTCTACAGTGACGTACCAATACACTGAACGCCCCCATTCCTTCTTATCAGTATATATTATTATTCAGTGTCTATTTAATAAGTGTTATCAATAGCTGCCAGGGAATTAAATTTGAGTTGCTTATTTTATGTATGTATGCATATTACTCAAAAGAGGTTTACACTCTCTATGAAATTTAATGTCAAGGCGCAACTAAGAATATTTGATTTGACATTAATTGACAGTTGTTATTTGACAGTGTTTGCCATACGACACGCAGGAGCGATCTGCATTTGACTGCTTTTGACAGATGATGTGTAGTAGCAATTGGCAATATTTGATAGCTGACATGTGAGAACAGTCAGCAAGTTTCTGGCAGCTGCCATGCAATAGCAGCACTCAGTAAACAAATATCAGCTTTTGAACCAGGCCTCCTTTCAGCCAAGCAAACCTCTGCTTTAAAAGAAGGCTAAAACTGAGCAAGCTACATTTGGAAATTGCATTTTGATAACTTGTGGAATTTCGGCGTTTTCTAAATCCCATAGCTGATGCAGACCTCCATTTGAACCCTGTTCTTTGTAAGCAGTTTTCCCCACGTTAACTGGATTTGTTTCATGTTAAGATGGCAATTTCAGCAGCAGCAGCAAAGCTTATTTCCTTTTACTTAAAAGCCAGGCAGTGATGCTAGAGTTGACGCGCCAGAAGAGTGTGCTGCAAGCCTCTCCTTGGGAGTTGCTTTCATGCACGTCATTCTGGAGCCCCAGGAAAGCCTTTTTTCTGTCCTGTTGTTGTTTAGTCGTTTAGTCGTGTCCGCCTCTTCGTGACCCCCTGGACCAGAGCATGCCAGGCCCTCCTCTCTTCCACTGCCTCCCGCAGTTTGGTCAAACTCATGCTTCGAGAACACTGTCCAACCAGCTCGTCCTCTGTCATCCCCTTCTCCTTGTGCCCTCCATCTTTCCCAACATCAGGGTCTTTTCCAGGGAGTCTTCTCTTCTCACGAGGTGGTCAAAGTCTTGGAGCCTCAGCTTCAGGATCTGTCCTTCCAGTGAGCACTCAGGGCTGATTTCCTTCAGAATGGAGAGGTTTGATCTTCTTGCAGTCCATGGGACTCTCAAGAGTCTCCTCCAGCACCAGAATTCAAAAGCATCAATTCTTCGGCGATCAGCCTTCTTTATGGTCCAGCTCTCACTTAGTTTTGTTAAAATAAAGACATAATCCCAAGTTTGTTATAATGGCAGGAAAAGCTTGCTAGCTTTAAGTTTAACGTAACACTGTATCTATTGTCTGTGAAATGGTTATGTTTTTCCGTTTGATTGAAATGTTACAACCCAGTCCTTGGGAAGAATTTAGCATGCCTGAGCCCATTGGGTCAGTGCTATGGAGAGCTCAGTTGGTTAGAGTGTGGTGCTGATAATTGCTGAGGTTAGAGGTTTGATTCCTGTATGGGACAGCTGCATATTTCTGTGTTGCAGGGGAGTGGACCCTCAAGGTCCCTTCCAACTCTACAATTCTATGACTCTATGAAAATGTGTTTGTTGTTGTTGTCGTTTAGTCGTGTCCGCCTCTTCGTGACCCCCTGGACCAGAGCACGCCAGGCCCTCCTCTCTTCCACTGCCTCCCGCAGTTTGGTCAAACTCATGCTGGTAGCTTCGAGAACACTGTCCCACCATCTCGTCCTCTGTCGTCCCCTTCTCCTTGTGCCCTCCATCTTTCCCAACACCAGGGTCTTTTCCAGAGAGTCTTCTCTTCTCATGAGGTGGCCCAAGTCTTGGAGCCTCAGCTTCAGGATCTGTCCTTCCAGTGAGCACTCAGGGCTGATTTCCTTCAGAATGGAGAGGTTTGATCTTCTTGCAGTCCATGGGACTCTCAAGAGTCTCTTCCAGCACCATAATTCAAAAGCATCAATTCTTTAGTGATCAGCCTTCTTTATGGTCCAGCTCTCACTTCCATACATCACTACTGGAAAAACCATAGCTTTAACTATACAGCATAGTTCATAGCTTCTCTGAGTTATTCAAGCCCCTTCGCCACGGCAAGGCAGTGATCCATGAAGGGGTCTATGAAAATACATGCTATTAAATTCTAAACTTTGATGACTCTTGGAGAACACGGCTGTGCCAGTCTACTCATAAGTAAGTGAGCTCAGTGGGGCTTACTTCCAAGTATGTAGAGGCTTGTGCTTGTTTGGCCAAAACTACAACTGCAAACATTCAGATGTCAAGGAGATAAGTAACTGCAATCTTTAGAAAATATCTGAAGGCAATCCTGTATAGGGAAGTTTTAAAATATTTTATTATGTTTTTATATATGCTGGAAGCCACACAGCGTGGCTGGGGCAACCCAGTCAGATGGGCAGGGTATAAATAATAAAATTATTATTAAGGAAGAAGACATCCCTATTTTCATCAGAGAAGTGTTGGAGAGTATGGATTTCCTTGTATGTATAATCTGAGCAGTGGCACACTGCGACTCTCAGCCGAAACTTCAAATGTAGTTTCCCCCTGTACACGTGTAATAATTGACACATTTGGGTGAGGACACGCAATAACAGCTGGCTATCTTGAGCAGACAGAATAGAGATTTGCCATTGTGCTCCACCTCTAGCCTTACTCAGGCCACATTCAAGCATGCTAAAAACATTTAAATCTGCTGCGCTGCAGCTGTCCCGGGGCTCCTGGCAGCACTCTTGAACTTCTGTGCATTGGAGAAGGTGGCACATGATTGCCTAAGGAGATGGTGGGAGGTTGAACTATCAAATTCCAGATTTCAACAATAAAAGCCCTACATTTCCTGAGAACTATTTTTTTATAGTTCCTTCAGATGCCCAAAACCTGTTATATTTTCTTAGCTTGCTAGCATGGACCCCATCTGAGAGCTGTTTCCATAACTAGGCAACCCAGTTAGAGCAGGAATTCCTCACGTAGTGGGGAGCTGATACAGGAAGAACACCTGCCTGTGAATTGTTTATGACTATGAATCAGAAAGAAGGCGACAAGGCAGATGGCCTGGCATTGCTAGTGTTTCTAATTGTCATTTGAGAAGGAGGACTTAGTCTGCGGTGCCAAAAGCTCAGTGGTGGAGGAGAAGGATAAACAGCGTGATGAAAGTGGAAGGGCTATTAATGATCACACCACAACATGTTTTCAGCTAAGCTGAGCTGTTGGGTCATACAGTTGAAATGAACACACAAAAAGCTGAAGATCCTTATGTATTTATTTATTTATTTATTTATTTATTTATTTATAAAACACTCTAAATTAATATGTTGTTTTGATTTTCTAGTAGTATTATAACAAAACTGGATTCATTCATTTATTTAGTATACTGCCCATCATCCACAGATCTCAGGGCTGGTCACAACATAAAAATACAAGATAAAAACACAAAATACATAATAAAAACAACAACAAAACAAATCACAGATCAATAAACCTCCTCTCACAAACACATTTAAAAGGGTATAGGATGATAATCAGCCGAAGGCCTGGTTGAAGAGAATCGTTTTTGCCTGGTACCTAAAGGCACCTGGGGGAATAGCATCTCAGATATCAGCCACCTGGAGACTCTTCTGCCCGTAGTCGCAGCCACAGTTCTCCCCACTCCAGCCGAGGAGTAAAGGGACATCATGGTGGGAGGGGGGGAATAGCTATTCTGGACAGCTGAAAAGAGAGACAGAAAAGAGAAGCAACCTCAGACCATCTCAGCATGGAATCTAGCAGGTCTGCAGATTCTGATCCACATATTGTTCTGGTTGCTGAGGATCAGATGAGTTCACTTCAGAAGCTGAGCCCACTGAATTCTTCCCTCACCCCTAAGGCTTGGGGTTGGATATGCTTGATGAAGAAGAGAACTATCACACATTTGTGGGCGACCACTTCAGTATTTCTTGCTTCTCCTTGTCAAAATCCATTTGTACAGAACACATTTGTAGAGCAGACATACGGTACATTATTCATCTTGTTGACAATCCCTCCTATTTGAACCCGATGATAGTTGACACCAGTGGTTTACCTAAAAACTGCTAGCAAATGCAGTCACAAATCCTGAATAGGGATGGAAGAATCTGTCGATTTCAGTTTCTCTCAACTTCTCTTTCCCCCCAAATCTTAAATTCAGTTCTCCATATTTCCACACTAGTGTGCAATTTTTTTAATTATAAAAAGTCCTCATGAAAATTAATCAGCATTTAAATCAAATTTCTGCTAATATACACACGTGAATGCAATGGTGTCCAACTTACACATTTTTACAAAGCAGTTTTGCCTAATATACACATTATTCGCTAGGATACTCATTTTCATGCACACTTTACCATAGCATACTCATGTTTGTACACGTTCATTGGCTGGGAAATTGTGAATTTCGAAGGATGGCTATGTTTCAGTTCTTGTATTGTTTGGGGAAAGGCAAATTAGGGAGGTTATGTCTAAATGGAAACAGAATCAAATTTCTCGCTGCAAATAACAAGGAACATTCCTATATGCAATATCTTCTGGAGGGAGAGAGGAAAACAAAACTGTTAAAATGGCTGGATCTCCTCTATGTTACTCCTCCCGCAATTTCTCTTTCAGACAGTTGCCTCTCCTTCTCTCTCTCTCTCTCTCTCTCTCTCTCTCTCTCTCTCTCTCTCTGAAGCTCTGAGCAGCTGTTGTCCATCTGGCTGCCCTTGGTTCCTTGTCAGCTGTTTGATGTCACCTATCAATCTTCCATTTTTGCTGCAAATCTCTGATGATCAAGTTTCACATTTCTAGGCCCCTGGTTATAAAGCTGCCTTCATTGGCATTATCAGTAATTATAACAAAAAAATCTTAGGAAACTCCTCGTTGCATAAACAGACACTCAATTCCCATCTGTTGCTTTAGGACATTCATATTTGGACAAACCACCCCAGATTTTTTGATGAGCTGTTCCACCACATATACCCTAAACTTAATTCAGCTGCCTTTCTGAAAAGAAAATTTTTAATAGCTTAAAGTCACTATTTTACTCTCTCGTTGTTAACCCTTATGTTGCATTGACTTCTTTGCGATTTCAGTGCTCCTCAACATCTCCTTAACCTTATATCAACTGAACTGAAGTCAAGATGAAAGGCACCTTCTGTTCTTTTATCATGCGCTGTAGCCAGAGCCCCCAATGCTCCCATACTCCAGCACAGGGAATCACCAATTGCAACCCGGATATGAAATGTCTGATAGCTCAGTTGGCTGCAGCATGATGCTGATAATGCCAGGGTTGCAGGTTCGATCCCTGTTAGGGACAGCTGCATAGTCCGGCACTGCAATCGATTGGATTAAATGATCCTCAGGGTCCCTTCCAACTCTATGATTCCATGAGTGTAGCAGAGCCACTCTGATCCTGTAAAATCCACAAAAGATATATGAGTGATACTTAAGAATTTAACATGGGTGCCAACCCCCAAACCCGGGGCAGACTTATAGGATGACTTAAAGGTAAGTATAAAGGCTGACAAGCAGGTAGTCCAGTTCCCGTCAACTGTCCAGTTTTAAGCTACAGTGGTACCTCGGGTTACATACGCTTCAGGTTACATATGCTTCAGGTTACACACTCCGCTAACCCAGAAATAGTGCTTCAGGTTAAGAACTTTGCTTCAGGATAAGAACAGAAATCGGGTTCCAGCGGTGCGGCGGCAGCAGGAGGCCCCATTAGCGAAAGTGGTGCTTCAGGTTAACAACAGTTTCAGGTTAAGAATGGACCTCCGGACCTACTTAACCCGAGGTACCACTGTACTCCAAATCTTTAACCCTTATCACTCACCTTAAGATTCCGGTTTTCTAAACAATCACATTAAGACATCAATACACTATCGAGACTTGGACAACAGCGTGGATTGGAGTGGAGTCAGGGAAGGCTGCACAGGCAAATAGGCAGTTGAAAATATGTTGTTTAGTCATTTAGTCATGTCTGCCTCTTCGTGACCCCCTGGACCAGAGCACGCCAGGCACTTCTGTCTTCCACTGCCTCCTGCAGTTTGGTCAAACTCATGTTTGTAGCTTCGAGAACACTGTCCCACCATCTCGTCCTCTGTCGTCCCCTTCTCCTTGTGCCCTCCATCTTTCCCAACATCAGGGTCTTGCAGTCCATGGGACTCTCAAGAGTCTTCTCCAGCACCAGAATTCAAAAGTATCAGTTGAATATATATATATATATATATATATATATATCTATATATATATATACACAAATAAAGCTGTATTCAACAGACGAAAGGATATATGATTTTTTACATGACTGAGAATCGCAGAGCCACGGACGGAGAACTTTAAAGCATTAAGATCGGGATGTGGAAAATATGAAAACAATGAGAAGAGGCAGGACTGAAGATTTGGAGATATGCTTCAGAGGTCCAGACTATGGGGAGCCTGGAAAAATTAATAATTACAATTTGGTCTTTTTTTATTTTAGTTTTTTGTTTTTAAGTGGATTAGGATGTGGACATGATGATTGGCTGTTTTTATTGGAAAATCAATAAAATGATTAAAATAAGAGACATCAATACACTATTGCTTTCAGACATTTTTATTTAGCTGTTGGAAGTAGGTGGATTCAGGAGCAAAGGAGGCATCACCGCATGGCTATTGTGTCAGAGCCACAGGGGCAGCTCCTCAACTGGCTGCACTTCTACTGGGGACCATTTGCCAAGGTGAAACTACCTGTGCCATCAACCAACAAAGCTGAGTTATTGCTAGGCCTACCGAACCCAACTTAAGCAGAGACTCTCCTCCACAAATGGGAAGGGTTTAAACTTCAGAAAGAAATAGAAAATGGGGTGGGCCCTGTGAAGAATACCTTGTCCTCTGGTTTCTGGCCTCTCACCTTGAGATTTCACTCTTTCCATTGAAGACACTGAGAAGGAAGTTCAGGTCAAATCAAGATCTGGCAATCCAATCTCTGCATAGCTGTCAACTTTTCCCTTTTCTTGCGAGGAATCCTATTCGGTATAAGGGAATTTCCCTTAAAAAAAGGGAAACGTTGACAGCTATGAATCTCTGGGAGGCAGCACCCTCACCCAAGTACAGTGGTACCTCGGGTTAAGTACTTAATTCGTTCTGGAGGTCCGTTCTTAACCCGAAACTGTTCTTAACCTGAAGCACTACTTTATCTAATGGGGCCTCCCACTGCTGCTGCGCGATTTCTGTTCTCATCCTGAAGCAAAGTTCTTAACCTGAAGCACTATTTCTGGGTTAGTGGAGTGAGTAACCTGAAGCGTATGTAACCTGAAGTGTATGGAACCCGAGGTACCACTGTACAATTCTTTGAGGAAAGTCACTGAAGTTTAATTAGTCTGGATACACACACATATCTATACAGTGTAGATATATGTTCATAGCTCACAGTCTTTCCTGTCCATCTTCAAGTGTGCATTTTTGACAGTCAGCAGTGCTGTTAAATATATACAGTGCAACTCGGATTACAGACGCTTCAGGTTACAGATGCTTCAGGTTACAGACTCCACTAACCCAGAAATAGTACCCCAGGTTAAGAACTTTGCTTCAGGATAAGAACAGAAATTGTGCCACAGCAGCGCAGCAGCAGTGGGAGGCCCCATTAGCTAAAGTGGTGCTTCAGGTTAAGAACAGTTTCAGGTTAAGAACAGACTTCCAGAACGAATTAAGTTCTTAACCCGAGGTACCACTGTATAGGCCATTCCCCCCACTCTGTCCAAGAAGCCCCAGGCTGTTTAGCACAGACATTTGCCCTGGTCTTGACAATGAGGCAGAGGAATAGGAGCCGACTACGTCCTATGGGAAGCGAGAGAGTTTTCTTCGTTCACTGTGACAGTATGGGCTAATAGAAGGAAAATATTGATGTTTTATTAAATTACTCCTCTATTTCAGATCACATAACATGTCTAAGATCTAAACAATGATCGTGCTCTGGAGGAATGCCTGTCTGAGACTGATGAGATAAACGTTGTGTGGGAAGATCTCTCAAGGTTTGCTAAATTACTTCCCTTATTTAATTAGAAATTAATTGAAAACACTCCTCGTTCAACAGCTCTATACTTAAAACCTGATTTGTTGATAATAGCCTCGTTCCCCTTGCGATATTCCCTACAGATTTGACCGTAATTATGTCCCTGATTTTACACTTTCAGGTCCTCTTGAAAGAAAACTAGAATTGGAGATAATTGATTAATAGGCATATAAGGCAATGTGTGAAGCCACATCCCGGGCAAATCTCTAACCGAGAAACATTGCTTGTAAATTGCACAATGATAATTTATGAGCTGAATGGGGTAGGAAATGGAGATCTTTTTGTCAATAGAATGATGGTTGGCCAGAAACCAAATTAATGCAGAAAGAGATAATTTAAGTGGCTGGTAATTTAGAAATAAGGAAAAATTAGCATTATGTTACTGTACTGAACATAATTAGATGCTCACAGCTACCTTTCAACCAAATGGCTCCCACATGCACTGTATCAATATTACTACCTTTATATAAAACACTCGGCACATTTCTTTAAATGCTTGCATTTCATTCATTTTATACATAGATGAACCACAGCCAGGCTTCCTTTCATTGTTAGCGTGTGGAATGTTGAAGTATGTTTTAATCGGTTTTTAGTTTGTTGCTGATTTTTTGCTTTTGAAGGTTAAAGAGTTGTTTCTGCTGATATTTCATTGTTTTATTCTCTTGTGAACTTTGAGGGTTTTAAAAAAATACAACCCAATGGTGTATGAATTTTATGAAATAAAATAAATATGGTCTATGAATAGGCAGCCAAGCAGAACTCTTACTTGGATGAAGTTTATTCATGAGAAAATGGTGAACGTGATGCTTTTCATATTTAGTGAGCAGGGATGTTAAGTGATGTGCTAGACTGGTGACTGGGAGCGGCCGCCGGGACCATATAACACCAGTCCTGAAAGACCTACATTGGCTCCCAGTACGGTTCTGAGCACAATTCAAAGTGTTGGTGCTGACCTTTAAAGCCCTAAATGGCCTCGGTCCAGTATACCTGAAAGAGCGTCTCCACCCGCATTGTTCAGCCCGGACACTGAAGTCCAGCACCGAGGGCCTTCTGGCAGTTCCCTTATTGCGAGAAGTGAGGTTACAGGGAACCAGGCAGAGATGCAGGCATTGTGGTGAAACACTGCCCCCCCCAATAATTGGATGCATAATTTCTTCTCCTCTTGGAGGTGTTTGGTGAAGGGACCCCCCAATTTCTCTGTCCACAAATAGGCTGGGGACCTTTGCACAACTTTGCACAACCATATGAAGGTGACCTGAAAACTACAACTAATCCAGAATGTGGCAGCTAGACTGGTGACTGGGAGCGGCCGCTGAGACCACATAACACCAGTCTTGAAATACCTACATTGGCTCCCAGTACGTTTCTGAGTGCTCACTGGAAGGACAGATCCTGAAGCTGAGACTCCAATACTTTGGCCACCTCATGAGAAGAGAAGACTCCCTGGAAAAGACCCTGATGTTGGGAAAGATGGAGGGCGCAGGGAGAAGGGGACGACAGAGGACGAGATGGTGGGACAGTGTTCTTGAAGCTACCAGCATGAGTTTGACCAAACTGCGGGAGGCAGTGGAAGACAAGAGTGCCTGGCGTGCTCTGGTCCATGGGGTCACGAAGAGTCGGACACAACTAAACAACAACAACAATAACACGTTTCTGAGAACTATTCAAAGTGTTGGTGCTGACCTTTAAAGCCCTAAACGGCCTCAGTCCAGTATATCTGAACGAGCGTCTCCACCTCCATTGTTCTACCCGGACACTGAGGTCCAGCACCGAGGGCCTTCTGGCGGTTCCCTCACTGCGAGAAGCCAAGTTACAGGGAACCAGGCAGAGAGTCTTTTCGGTAGTGGCACCCTCCCTGTGGAACGCGCTCCTACCAGATGTCAAAGAGAACTACAACTACCAGACTCTTAGAAGACATCTGAAGGCAGCCCTGTTTAGGGAAGCTTTTGATGTTTGATGTATTACGGTATTTTGTTGGAAGCCGCCCAGAGTAGCTGGGGAAGCCTAGCCGGATGGGTGGTGTATAAATAAATTATTAAAAATTATTATTATTATTATTATTATTATTATTATTATTATTATTATTTACCTTGTTTCCAAAGGACCTGGACAGTACAGGTTTTGTATTTACATTTCTAAGGAATCTTTTTAAGACAGCAGAAGGTGTTTTTTTTCTGGCCTCCCGCCTTCCCTCCCTCCAATCACAAAGGGAGATGGCAACGGATGAAAGTGAAAAGAGACAAAAGCCATAAATTAACCAGGGA